GGGTTTGGTCGATCACTGCATGCAATCTCAATGATATATGTTCTTTACAAAAAAATCAATACAGTAAATCAATATGTTAAAAAGATAATCTTTAATACATTCCTAATAAATAACTTCACTCTTGAAGAGAAAACTGCACGCCATTGTTAAGGCATAACTTCTTTTTTGGTTATTTTGTTTCACGCATGAATATGACTAAAACGCTTCTTTTTTGTAGTTTATACAGTTCGTATTGTTGAACTGAGTAGAAATCAGAGCGAATGAATATATTTACAAAAAGTATTTAAAATGTACAATTACCATTAACGGTTTCTGGTGAACGTTCTTTGTAAACAAATTCGCCCTACATAAAAGTCAAATAACTGCGCATTACGCGAACAGCGAATTCTTTCAAAAACCGCTAAACCTCAGTAGTCAAGACTCATAAGGAGCGCTGTGCCACGTTTGATCCAGTGGTCTGACGTCATAGCTCCTGCCTTTAGGTCCACGGCCACTACAAAGGAGGCTCGACCGGAAGTGCCGGCTCGGTTAGGATAGTAGTAACACGGGCAGGCATACACACCTACAAAGTGTTAAAACAAGGATGAGTGAGTTTATTGAGATTACTTTTTTTTCTGACAGGGTAAGTAACACTATGAGTTGAGGTCTTTATATCAGTTTTTTTCAGTATTTTCTTGTGTTGCTGTTCATTGCACAGTGGACACCCACTTAACACGGACATTGCTATATAACGGACAGTTTCGTTTGTCCCGGCGAAAAGCTCATATATTTCTTTAAAATTAACCCGCGTAAAACGGACACCAGTTAATACGGACAACGGACACTTTTATGAGTCCCGGGTCACAAATTCCCATATTTCGTCAACCTTGCTTTACGGATAATGGATGTCTGCGCTCTGTTTATGACTGTGACTGAATATCTTACCAGTGAAAACCTGACAGAAACAGTGAATGAGCTTTGAAAGGTTCTGTTTAATGTTCAGTCTTCCGGGCCTGGGGCCCGTTTCTCGAAAGTCCCGATAATTAACTGGCCCGTAAAGCTGTTGTTGTTTACATGCAAGGTAGAGGTTTCAATAGTTTTGCATCTAACATGATAAAACTATCAGTTAATGAAACAGAATGGAGTAGTTTGCTAGCCAGGACCCGCGCTCTTATTCTTTATATTTCGATTTGAAAATTTGATTTCGGGCCCGAAACGTTACCGGGGCTTTCGAGAAACGGGCCCCTGGTCGCAAACTAAAAACTTCAGTGCAAAGTAAAGTCATGGATTCCGTTGTTGTATTTAAAGACAGACACTTGGAAGATAGTTTAAGTGTGCCTAGTCCCTCGGTCTCATTATTCCGCGCGGCCAAAGCGTTTTGGGTCACGTGGTCCGTGCGAAGAAGCCCGTTCGCCTCGGATACGTTACCGAAGTGAATTGACCGAGAAACGCCGTACAGGGTCGACTAGGGAAAGCTTAAGTCTGAGACTATTATAAATGATCGTTAGATCCTTTAGGATGAACTTGTTACAGTTACTGCTGAGAAATTAAACAACGTTTACTCGTAAAAATGTCTGCTCAAGTCTTAAGATGGATAATTAATGTGTACTGTCCAATTCATTTTTTTTCTGGGGACCCTCTTAATACGACTCCAGGATAATACGGACACTAAGGCTTGTCTCCTTGGTGTCCGTATTTACCGGGTTCCCCAGTAAAAAGAAAAAAATTAAATTAAGCCGGGGACTTTTTGTGGATAATTCCTTATGTGAAAGCACTGAGAAAGTAAAACAAACCTTTTCCACTTTTCTTCTTGTTCTCAACAGGCTTGAAATGGATTGTGGGTATGGCACTAACTAGTTGCATGGGCTCTGCTTCAATGAGGCATGAATTCTTCTTATCCCAGCCAGCTCCCTCTAAAAACAATCCACGGATCCAAACACCATCCTTAAAATACCAAAAAAGCAAATAATCCGGCTGTGAGTGGCTAGTTTAGTATTGCGCTTCGTTTGGTTACATGAGCGTGCTGAAAAGGACAGGGAAGGCGTCGGAAAATCTGAAACGCCTAATTTTACGACCGGAGAGTCCTTTTTTAAAATTTTCTCTAACATCTAACATCACAACCCCACTTCCTTGGTGGTAACATGGAAACACGAACCTGTAATAACAAAACACAAGACAAATCAGTTATGTCCCTAAACCACAAATGCTCAAAAAAATGAAACGAACAAGAGGTTAAACAAACAAACAAAAAAACCAAAGACTTTGGAGTAGCACACACCATTAGAAGTGGTAGGTCCGCTTCAGAGTCTACCAAAACACGGATCACCGCGGACGACAAGTGTTTATTCCGAAAATGTACTATAATAGAGAGAGCTGTTTTAAATAAGTAGTTTTTACGCACAAAACCATTCATGGAATTTTGAGGCGCTAAGCTCCTCCAACGGCCCCCGCCCCCTTCCCCAACAAGAAACCAAGTTCACCTTTGGTTGTTGAGTAATGTTGCTGTCATCCACAGTAGACACAACAAACTCCCACGACAACGAGTCCACGGATATGTTGTTCTGTCGTGCGCATGTCTGAAGGACAGCAGTCAGGAAGCCTGTCGGGAAGGTAAAGCCGGACATCCAGAATATGACTGGTTGATGAGCTGTTGTAGCCCACTTGGCGAACTGCTCTACACGAAGGACAAGGTCACGTGTCCAGTTACCCAGCGGCTTGTTGGAAGGGTAAGCCTGGGAAGAAGATTTAACGTTAGTGGGATACATTTTGGATTCCTTTAATATAATTAATTCATAAGATAATGTTGTAACTTTAACAAGATAGCTATGCGTTTTTCACGCAGTCCTTCGTTGCTAGACTGTTTTTCATGTTTAGGAAACATGGCACTAATATAAAGGGTTTTAACCAAATGCCATTTAATAAGAGGAAATTTATATGCCAACACTAGGAAATGTATCAACAAAACGCAAGAACCTTTTGACAGGCTTATCCTCAACAAATCTTTTATGAAGAAAGTGGTTTTACTAAAAGGAAGAAACTTTAAAAACTGACAACAACATTCAACGTTGCCTTCCTCCCGCCAAGAAACTGTAACGCATCTTACTTAATGCAAGTTCTCAGAAAATGAAGAAACAAGTTGATGTTGAAAAGCACAATTACGTCAAACATTTGATACGAAAATTTTATCTTTAACTCATTACGAAAGTCCAAGTATTAACGGAAATCATTGTATAAAAATATGAAAACTCACCTTTCCCCAAAGGGGAGGCACCTTAGCATCAAAAATACAGTTGAATGTCTCCTCCAAATCAGATGACATAACAACAAGACCTTTGATTCCCTTTTCCAGGTCGATAAGAGACGATTTTATGATTCGCAACAACGCGTTATAACGTTCAATCTGATAACGAGAAAATAAGACAAAGATTAGGCATGCCTTGAAGAAAACATTTAATTCATAATGTCCCGAGCGTGAGACAAACAAAAATTAAGTCCTCGACGGCAGGATTCGACCTCATGACTTCCTAGAATATCAATAGGTTAACAACAAATTCACTAAGAAAAGCCGAAAATTAAAAATATAATTTGCGTCAATAGCTGCCCCAGCATCAGCACCAGTCAGCAAGTCAAAGCATTTGCTTCAAGTACTGTTAATCAGGGTTAACATCATTAGCTTAATCCAAGAGAGCTCATTCTCTCTTGCTTAATCTTGTGTGACAAGCCAGATTAGTGTTGTAATCATGTAATATAATCATTGTTCCTGAAAAGCCCCTTTGGGGAGGTAACAGTAAAGTATGTATGTATGTATGTATGTTTGTATGTATGTATGTATTAGTGTTGCAGTTGTAAAACAATTTTATTCTGTTGTTGAAATCTATCCTTTTATCACTTTAGTCTCACCTCTTGTAGTAGAACAACGTTCAGAGGGCTTGGATCATCCGACATGATCTTTGCTGTCTGTTCATAATCGATTTCTTCAGGAACTCTCTTTAGGACATCAGCTGCAAGTTCCAGGACCTGACAGGAAACAAAGTTGCTTAGATTGTGGCGTTATTGAGAAACACAGTGGTACAAACCTTACTCACTTTTTCCTCTCTGCTCTCGCCATGTCCAGCTGATGGGATCTGAGGTTGAAGCGACAGCAGCGTACCGAACAGATTTCTGTACAAAATGATGAATGTGACATATGTGAGTTCTCGAGTAGTAGCAGGGCCCGTAAAAAGTGCTGTCCAGAGGTCCCGCCGGGACAAGTAGATTTTCTTGCTGGGCAAGTAACTTTAAAAGAATACTTGCCCAATGGGCAAGGACCCAGGCAAGTCACCCTGTAGCAAAATCATTAACTAAGATGTACATGTAAGCAAGAAGTTGTCCTGGGCAAGCAAAATGTGAGCGCCGCTTGCCCAAAGGACAAGCTGGAATTCTAGTATTTTTTGGGCACTGAGTAGTAGCAATAGCCTGCTAATATGGCTCTAAGTTTTGTTTGTGGATAACCACTAAAGTGAGTACTAATATCCTTTAATGTAGTTCTCTAATTCATTTTTAGGTAGCCTGTAGAACAGGCGCTTTTTTGCGTTTTTCAGGAGAGCACGAAGCAGACGCACATTCCCTGTTGCGCGTATCTTAAGCTCCACGTCCGCTTCGCTGACTCGCCTGAAAAACGCGAAAAAATAGCACCTGTTCTGCAGGCTATCTTTTAGTTTTGAAGTAAGCCATTGTAACAATTGTCTCCCTCGCTGCCTTTTTTGTCTCGTCACGCAACGCTTCTCCTCAACAATGGAGGGGAAGAGACAAAAAGACTACTGTAACAAGTAAGAGTATACTGAACCTGACCTTGTTTCAATGATCTGACTGGCAATGTCTGCATTGGGATGCTGACCAAATGCCTCTGGATGATCCACATTGGGCAACATGCTAATGTACTCCTGTTAACAAAATTATGATCAAGGTCGGTATTTTTTAAGTTACACAAAATTACTTGAAATCCAAGTTAATTAAGAGTAAACGTTACAAAGTCCAAGCTAGCCGTATCTTAATTCCAACATACTGTACTTCACATTCCAACTCACTAAGTAACTCAGTGCGGTAACAAGATGATCTTACTGAAAAACGGCAAACAGGAAAAAATCCCGGGGGGGGACTCCGCATATGAAAGGGGTGGGGATGCTCGTCGGAAATTTTGAATTAAACCCCTAAAGGAGACCGATCTGGGCGTGGCCCAAGCTTTTTATGACCCCTAAAAGAGACCATGTTAAAACACAGACACTTGAATTATATGAATGGAGTAAATAAAACGAATTAAAAATATAGATATCAAATATATATTTTTACCTTTTTTCGCGTGCAACCCTAAACGAGACCTTCACGGCTAAATATGATGGCGTTTCGCCCAGAACACCCTAAGTGAGACCAAAATCCGAAATTTACACCCCTACGCGAGACGACGAGCATCCCCACCCCTTTCATATGCGGAGTCCCCCCTCCCCCCGGGAAAAAATCCAGGCTACATGGAAACAGCATCAATATTGTCTGAAGGTCCAACTGAAGCAAATTCCTAACCCCAACCCGAACCCAAACCTTTGCAAAACAAAAAGACAAGGCAGGTCAATAATTAGCCGGCGTCCAGATATCTTACCCTGTATGTTGACAGAGGCCCATCCTTTGGTATGTAATAGGTTGGCAGAGAAGACATTCTAAAAGGAAAAAAAGCTTTTTAGGAAAGAAATAACAGAAGTGTTTTGGATAACCAGTGAGTTGTTTGAACCTGGCAGCGACTTACTTGTAGTAGGGTGTTTGGATGGCGACATCACAGAACAGTTCATTGATGTATGAATGAAGTAGGCGTCTATCAAAATCATCCGTCACGTGACCACCATAATTCACACCTGCCACCTAAAAAATTGAAAGAGGAAAACAAGTTCCGTGTCAGAGTCTCTCAGGAACAGTTGTAACTTTAAGTTTGCAAGTTGGTTTTGAACTTTAAATATGCATTATGTAAAAAGACAACAACTTGTACATCAAATGACAAGAAAACAAATTCAAGTTGTACCTATTTTTGATACACTAAACTGATCTCACCGGCTTGTTGAATTTTATGCCGTGGCAAGTCAGTTGAGTGTGTTAGCGGTTATTATCTGACTTAATTCAAACTCATCGCAACTGGAAGGCATCCATCTGCACATCAGATCCATTCCGCAACCAAATTTCTAGCATTTGGCATAACTTACTACAGTTGCTTCACGTTTTTAAACTGCTCATACAACTGTCTCAGTTCAGTGGGATTCGATTTTACAACTGGATAGGTAACCTGACTCAACAAAGACACTCTGTTCTTCAAGTTACCAAATTCATACAGCAAGAAGCCCGCCATCTTACCAAATACTTCAAAGCGTCCCAAGGCGTCTCTTCATACTCGTCTAAGTAAATACTCAACAAGTTTTCAGACACTTCAAAATCAGAATCGTTAAATCCATACTGAATATTCCAACCCAGCATAAGAAACTTCCTTCTCTCCAGCAACACACTGTGAAAAAAACACAACGAGAAGAGAAGCTTTTTGTACTTCTCCTGTCTATGACAGCGACTGAACTGCTGCTCTGTGATCAGTTGGTACAGACGCTTCATGTTTGCTTTCAGGCCCTGAAGAAAGATAGAGAGATAAATCTTCATAAGGTAACGTCATATAATAGTGATCATTACGTATTCCCACCGTTCAAACAAACTCTACATTGCAATATAGTACGCTTCTAAATTATGAAAGATCCAGAGAGATGGGATCGGACGTCACCACATAAGATTGACCGCAAATGAGCGTTTTATCTCGGGTGAACGTCTGAAAAGGAGTTTTGGTGACAGAGACTGATGTTTCGACACCCCGTGCGGCAAATCATCATTATAGAGTGTAAGATACAAAGTGAAATATACATCGTCATTTGATTGTATTTAACTTGGGTTATAGACAGTTGAGCCGTGATGTTATTGGTTGTCTGACAGTTTAGCGCGATGTTATTGGCTGTGGAGACTAATCCGAGTGTTTACCAGGTAGTACCGACCTTAGGAGGTTCTGTTGTCATCTTGATGCCGACTTGTAGGATGGAGATTGGGAATTCCGGGTGCGGGCTGCTACTGAGCCAAAGTCTGAAGTCAGGGTGGGGCTCCTCAACCTGCAGCTGTTCAACAAGTTTGTCCAGCTGCGGCATCCAGCTCAGCGACAAGTGACAGTTGGCTAAGAACACCCAGTTACCCTGAAAACAAGCAATAATAAATTCTCAAGCTGATTGGTTTATTTCAGTCACGTAACTTAAAATCCTGTGCTATGATTGGTGACTCCCTGTAGGGGCCCGTTTATATAAATGAAGAGTTGTAACAACTTTTTACCCTTCCCAGCCAACATGGATGCGGTGGGTTTCTTCATGAATGTTGTAGAAGCTACCATTAGTTATGTTCTATAGTGTGGCTATATTTGTATCCTGCGGGCGGACTCACTTGTGCGAGTTCGGGGAAAATTTTGGCGGTAAAGCCGCCATCACGTCAACTTGCATAAGTGAGCGTTCTCGCAGGCTACTATGTTTGGTGTCTCTTAAATCTTCTGTATTTCATCCTTTGCTGATAAGAACAGACTGTCGGACGCTAGTCCATTGCAAACCTATGCGAGGAAGAAGTGTTTTTCAACTGCAACCTTTTATTGCCTTTGAAAGAATCTTCATTTCATGTTCTACGTATCATTAACTTACATCTTTCACTCCCTCTTTGATCATGCGCGTTGCTATGGGTGCCTGGCCTTGACCCAATGAGAGAGCATGGAAACGATTGGACATCCCAGAGTTCTCAGCAAGCTGTAACAATGCACTGGTCGGATCCTGCAAGTACGATATTGAACATCACAGCTTAGCATCGGACAAATCTTTCCTTTTCTGTCACCCCATTTGAACAACATTCAGCATGGACAGCAACAAACAAAACCAGTAAACAGACTGACAAGCAGACGTGAAGACAACAAAGTGAGAAACACATGAGAACTCACATAATCAATTAATGGCATTTGTATTCTCATATCTAGAACGGATTCTGTGCAATATAATCATTGTCTTCGCTCACAAAGTTTACCAGGAAGAAGGTGTTTCGTCACATCACAAATGTCAGTTTTAAGGTATCAATCGATCTGGGAAAGTTTCAACGAATCAGCTTACATGGCGTATCGTCGTTACACGATAAAGCGAAGTTGACAACAGACCTTTTATGTAGGGATGGGGCAAAATAAAGCGACAAAACGAAAGGACTGTTGACAAGCTAGAAAGGGCGTCAAAGCGAAGTAGTTTATGTGTGCGAAATTTGTTTGTTTTTGTATAAGAACCTACCACTCCAGGAGAAAGCACAAAAATTAGTGGAGTACGAGTTGAGGAATCTTCCACTACCGCTGCCATGTCCAACACGGGAGGCTCTACAAATCTGAATTTGAAAAATAAGATTTTGTGATTCAACTACTCCTCGAAAGGCACATAAATATCTTTTTTTTCCAGTTCAAAATAAGTCATTTAGAAAAAAGGACTTCAACAAGTTCTTGGAAATGGAAAGGTTCATTCAGGTCGACAGACGTAGAAAGAAACTGTCTTAAACAAAACACTGGTCCCAAAATATCCCGAAACAAATTCTCAGCCTCTACAAGCCACCAGGCATTTTCATAATTTCTGAACTTACTCAGTGACGCATCGCGAGGTTTTTAGAAATCTTATTCTGAGACATAAAATACCGGGTGATCAGATGACTTACTTGGAGCCAAGGTTGTTAACAATAAAGGATGTAGCAGTAAAAGACACTCGATCAGGACGGAGTGATCGAACAACTAACATCCGTTGCAGCTCATTGCACGCGTTCTCCCATTCCCCTGTAGAAGAAATAGATAGACAGAGAACATGAAAAGGGTGAGATCCTAAAAGTACAGCAAATTCCACAACGTTTGTCTAAGTTTCAGAACTAAAAAATATAGCAAATCACTGAAAAGTAGCGATCGTCATTCTGCTCATTCTGATTGGCTGTAAACTCAAAGGATCTTTTTCAGTCCTAAAGCGCCGATTTGGGCCTGGGTGCATGTCCACTATAACTTCTTTTACAATTGAGCAATTTGCCCGATGTTAGGACAGCCAAATAAGGCCCTAAACTGCACTGTTTTTCAACTCAGTTTCGGGTCTAATAAAGATCCAGACCCAGATCCATTGAATCTGCCGTTCACATATGCAGAAAAACCGACAAGAAGAAAGTGATTAACGGATAAACAGTTCTTGGTTACCCGGCAGTGGTGTGTTTTCCGGTTCAGAGCTTGTGTACCAAAGGTTCCAGTCTCTAGGATACTGCTCAAATGATGTAACAATTCCATGGAAATTTGGCAGCCTAACAATACAACAAAGGCAAAAATGATCAAAGAACATGACTTGTGTACAGTAACGTCTCTCACAACAGACAGTTAAAAAGCAAACACCCTCTAAAAAACATAAAGAACAACAGACAGTTAAAAAACAATTTGCATGACTATAATTATGTAGTTACACTATTGGAAAAAACAGGTTAAAGAATGCTAATGCAATGCAATGATTAAGTCAATCAATTTCAGTGGTGGTAAATCATTACATAATGCAATTTTGAATTTACGGTCTTCTGAATCATCAATTTCATATATCATGTCACATCGAATTGCAAGTTGGAAATGTTGGTTTCTTAGGAGAGGAGAAAACCAAACCGCAGTAGCCGCGGAAAAACCTCTGGGAGCAAGGAACCAACACCAAACTGAACCCTGCACATATGGCGGCGCTGGCATCGGCTGAGTGCTCTCACCAGTACGCCACGCTTGCACCCCACCCCCCACCCCCCTCCCCATGGTCCTTGATGAGATCCTGGTGCGAAGTTTCAAATCAAAGCTAGTGGGCATCACATCTTAGGTGAATGATGGATGATACCTCACTCACTTTTCGCATTTTGCGCATGACGGTGCTACGCTGTGTCAAAGAACTTACTTATCAAGCTCCGTGACGTTATCCCAGGAACTTTCATTCAGCCATTGAGTACAGGGGTTATCCATCTGACCTTCCCTGTCCAATACCTACAAAATAAACAGTCTTCATGATTAACTGTATTGGCTGCATATTAAATACATTCTTGGTGTATGACTATATCAAAATGACTTCAGGACTCAACGTAAAAAACTATACCAAAATCATTGCTATAGTTACTCTACACAACTCTAGATATTGTGTTCGCTCTTTTATTAATTCTAGTAACAGATCAAAGAAAAGATAGCCTGGGACCAGGCTCCGCGGCTCCGCAGAGGGGAAGACAAAAAAAAACGGAGTGAAACGGGAAAAAAAAAAACAGAACAAAAAATCAGAGACCGCTAAGCTCGCTTCGCTCGCCGTTTTTTCTCGCCCTCACCTTTTTTTTTAGCCTATTTTCCTCACTGCGGAGCCTGGTCCCAAGCTAAGAAAAGCCTACGTTAAACTAACGAGACAACAAACGAGAAAAAATAACTAAACATTTCTTGCAATGAATCAAAGCCGGCTAGCGGGTGCACTAAACTGCTCTGGTGTTCCACTTACCACTCCTCCTCGAAGGAAGAAATTGTATTCGTCCATATTGAGCTTTCCTGCAGCTTCCAGTATTTTAGAGCACATTTGGAAAGAGAACAGCAGCTTGTGGCGTTCAAAGAGACCACGGCATGTAAACCTGAACAAGAATTAAACAATTTAAATCAATCCGTAAAAGGACTGTAACTACGGAATACACCCAATTCAACCGAAGTGATGAGAACAGATTGTGATTATTATATAAATAAATAAATATTTTTTGTCTTTGCAACAAAACCTCTTTTCATCTAAGAGATTCATTAGCGCTTATTAGTATAATGGATTCTAGTGAAATCCAACAAGTGGTCTATTATCAATGCTGCTTTCTGATTGGTTGAGCTTCTACTAGGCTATATGTTGTAGCCCACTAGTAGCGAAAAGCGCCGGCTTTTTTGCTGCAGAAAGGATGAAAGTCTAGCTTTAACTAGCTAAAGTTGTTTTGTCTCTATATTTTTTACCAACTAGTTGGATTTTACTAAAACAATTGTTCCTCTCGCCCTCATGGCCTCTGAGTCAATAACCCACAGAGCTCACAGTTCGGGCTCGAGGAATAATTGTTAATTATTTTTCTGTCCTTCAATCAGACCTCTTGGAACTACGTAGCTGAGTTTGAACAAGTTCATTAGCGACCTTTTCAGACTAAAGCTGTTTTAAGAATGACCTTATTACACTCACTTGTACACTGCATAAGTGTGGAAATCATTCAGATTCTGAATTCGAATCTCGAGGTTGGGACTCCGCTGGCTCTTGTCAATGGAGTTGTTAAACAGATCGATGTAGGAGTCTAGAGAGAACTGGTACATAGGATCGATCTTACCCATATCATTTAGAACGAAGAAAAGGATAGAAGCGCGTTGTGCGCATGGCCGGTAACCCTAGCAACAAGAAATGGAGGAATATGGTTAGAAAACAAACATACGATCAACATATATTGACACCGGACATCAGTGTCACCAATAAATCTGCTTTTGCAAAAATATTCAAATGGTCGCGTCTGGGACACAAGCAGCGTTCAGCTCTGAAGAGGGACTAGCGCTCAAACGCCAGCTCTTGAATGTCTCCACAGGGTCTCAGTTAACTTAACTCAGTAGATAAATCCAATTCTTGTGCCTCACTAGCTTGCGCGCACGGCGTTGAAACGCGGAGGGCGCGCGAGGGAGGAACTAGCTCGTAGCACCACAGTCGTAGGGACAGGATATCTAGAACATTACAGTACCAATGAACAAGACGTTTGGAGTTTAGAATAAAACAAAGATTGGAGGTCTTCATTAAAAGGAAAAGCAATTACCTCTCTGGCTGCATCAATTTTGATCTCGGTTTGTTCGCTGACCTGCAGCTGCTCAGCTACATCTTGTGAAGTGGTTTTTGATGAATTCAACGTGTTCACAAGTTGCTCATCATCCAACAAGGAGCCTTGAGCTGTCTGCAGTAATCTGGTTCATAAAACAACTAACTCAGTTCAAGCAGCATTTAAAAGATATTTTACAGGAACAAGCAATCATATATGAAGGGCAGAAATACCCCAACGTCCGTGCAGAGCGAGAAAGTAAAAACCAGAGTTTACTCGTGGAAAAAGCAAAAACAATAAAGGCGCAGGCAAACAAATTCAAATCGAGCCAAGAAAGCATCGATATTGGTCATTTGAGATCGCGTGGGAGAGTGGGTGCGACTGTTTTATGGACGCCCGCGGTACTTCCTTTATTCGCTATTACGAGTATGGTTATTGAATTTTTACCTGTAGTCCCATGCTAAAATCAACACAACAGTAACCCAGCCTCAAACGCCACTTTAACATGGCCAAAGACTTGAGTAGAAAAACTCGGCATGTGGCATTGATTAGTTCAAGTTTTCCGCAGACTTGCTTAAACCGCTCACATTGTTATTGAAAAGGAAATTCAAAATTAATGAGTAAAGAGGATGTTTACCTTAATATCTCGTCTTCTAACTCCTCTAGTTTCTTTTTATTTGCAGCAATGTTGATGACAAGCGTATCTTTTTGTTCTTCAAGGTCCGGTCTTTCTTTACGGACCACGATACCAAGTAACTGTGCTTCAAGACCTGGAGCAGTGTGAACAAGCACAAACATTTATCAAACTGTACTAATATTAAGACCAAAAAAAACTGCTTATCTTTTGGAGTGATCTGAAGGTGTTCGGTTCCGGGCCCAATCAACATTTCTGTCTTTTTGTTGCATTTCTCTTCGCCACAGTGTTTCCCGCCTTGCAAACTACTAAGAAAAGCGTGGTACTTTCTGTGTTCGACATCCCGTCACTAAAGGAACTAGTCATCATTCTGTAGTTTGTTTGTTACTGAAAGAGGGTCATATTTAGCGTGCGTAGGCTACCGTTGCACGAATACGACCGTAATTTTACCTGCGGTGATGATAAAGCAACGAAACTGATAGTTTGGTAAATGATATTCTTCTACGTACCTTGCTCTTTGACCGCGAAGTTGACAATAGTGGTCTTAGTAGAGATTTCTGGAGTGTAGTGAGGATTACTGAGTTTCGTTGTTATGTAGAAACGGAATTCAGGGCTGTACTCTACCTCCTTGTCACCAAGGCGAATCAACAAACGACCACCTACAGACAAAACAATGTAAAACATAAAAACAGTTCGTATATCTGATACCACACTGACGAGTTTGAGCGTAAAAAATCCAAGTATTTCATCTACATCTATATATTTCATCAATGAACAGGAATATTTGCCAATAGATATGGCTTTTGTTTTCATAACAGAAGTAGAGGAATCTCTATCTTTTTTTGGGAGTATTTATTCTAAGTTCTAAGTTCTAAGTTGCTTTGGGTATCGCTCTTTCAAGCAATACAAAGAAGAGTCACGTGAAAGCAATCGAAGCTCAAGCTGACGTCACATTTTGATATCAGTGTGCCAACCAGAAGCGCATTGGTTTTCGAATTAAAAAATTCATTTGTTTCACTCACTACAAATTTGAATAACAAAAACAGTGATGTCTCCTATATGGCGTACTACTGTTGAGTTCGATTCTGTCGGGGACACAGTAACGTCTGTTTCGTGATTGAACACTTTCGTCTACGACTAGAAGCATTGGTATTTAATCCAATAAAGTCAGTGGTATGATCAGAGACTACACACCTGATTTGATGATTGACTTGTTCAGGATAGGGGCTAAAGATGGGTCTAATTCTTCCTGTGATATACAAATAAAAACAAGTGCAGATATAAGGTCTGCTCTACAATCCTCAAAGTAAAAAGTAGTAACCAAACTAACCAACTGATAACAAATGTTTGAATTGGGTACTAAGCTCGCAGACTATTTAGTATGCCCTATAACTAGAGTTAACTCGTTAGTCTTATACTACCAATAACTGAGCCGGGAACCTAGATAACATATAGCATCTTCACCAGCCCATAATACTTCAAAACAGAAAAAGGCGAGGAGAGGGAGGGAAGGGGTAGAGGTGCGAACAGGCCATAACTTGTAAGCCATGTACTCTACTCCACGACTGTAAAACTAGCACAGTTGAACTTACTTGCACATTTTGCAGTAAAACTGGATTACCAAACTGAATGGAGTTTTCCAATGTCCTGAGATAGTCCGATTGCTGCAAATCAATTATCTTCAGACCCTAAAAGGACAAAAAATTAAAATATTAAAAAATATATATGATGTCTCTTTATCAAATAAGAAATGCTCGTGGGAGTGAACAAGATCTTGTACTGACCTTCTTATTTTCCATGTTCTTGATCCATTTGATAGCTTGTCCTTGTGGATCGACCATGAGTGGCCATCTACAAAGAAATCACAATTACCCTTAAGTTCATATTCATTGAATATTGATGGAGGGCTTTATTATCAGTTCAATATTTTGCACTTGCTTTAGCTCTCCATTCCTAATTGATTCAGAAAACAGGCAAATTTCTCAAGCAATCGTAATTACAGCCACAGCAAAACCTCCTTGCTGTAAGCGGAAGGCAACTTGACTTCAACATCAGCAAAACTTTGAGAGCTATTGAAACAGTATGGAGAGAACTGTTAGTATCTTTTTCTCTGTATTCACGCCTGAAAGAGAGTTGAATGAAGAGCCTCCGCGACCCGAAGGCTCGCAGTACATATCGGTAGCTCTTGCGAGAGCCTTATAGTCTCCTGTCCTGTATATTATTTTAAAAGAAGTAATTTAGTACCTGTTTCCTCGTTTCACCATAACACCGTTCTCTGTTGAAAACGAATCCGACGGTAACCCCTGTTGGAAAATAAATGATGTAACAATTACACAAAAAGGTATATATTTACCCAGTAAGGAAATTAAGCTTTGGAGCGCTGCGTCAGCTCCTATCATGTTTCTTTTATCCGGAGTTTGCCGCGGCAAAGACAAAGCAAACTATCTAGAAACACACAAACCTGGATATTCCATTCCCTGACGGTGGTCGGTTTTGCCAGAAAGTTGGAAAATGAGAAGTTTGGATTGCATGCAACATTCAACTGACGAACCTATAAGACAAACAGGTGACAATGACTAAATTACGCCGTACCAACTACTTCCTTACTGTTTCATGTTTTAAAAAAAATGATGACGATGATGATGATGATGATGATGATGATGATGATGATGACGACGACGATGAGAGATGAGAGGATTAATCAGGATTTGAATCTCACGAAAAAAGAATGAATAAAAACAGTTAAGGAAGATATCTCTTCATTTTACTGACAGGCAACTCGGGAAGAAAATCAGAGTTCTCACAGCAAGGGACAAACCTATAACCAGATGCTGTACCACTCGGTTACAGGTGGTTGGTGGAAGCCGAGGCCATTAAACGAGGTTTATGTGTGACAAACATGCTGCATACTGCTAGGATTGAAGAGACGACAGGTGAAATGTGCGTATGATTCAAATGTGATGAAGAATTTTAAGCCTGATGAATATATGACAGTGATGTTTCTTCAGTCAGTGGCTCATGCGACTCGGGAAAAAAATATGAGTTCAACAGAAGTCGAATAGTTCCTCCTTTTCTTTCGCTAATAATAAAGTAGGGGAAAAAAACGAGTTCGACAGAAGTCGAATAGTCCCTCTTATTATGTTATTAATACACCAGTGACAGTTTTGTCTCTTACCTGTGCCAGCCACGTTTTCTCGACGAGTTCGTCTCTGTAATTAGACAGGAACGGTCCAGCATAAGATAAAAACGCAGCAGCAATCAGACAATCTCCCACTAAATAGCCGATGTTTTCCTCCAAAATCTGAAATTAAAGGTGAAAATCTGTTTGTTTGTAAAGGAGAAACGAGGGTTTTCTTATCCAACAACTTCCTGCAAGGTGGCCATTTGAATGAAACCTCTTCAGCAAAACTTTCAAATGACACGATCTATATTTCACGCTTTTTTTTAAGGGGTAATTCTTCTTAAATATTGATACTTCTATACTTCTAATGATCTGCGGGGATCAAACAAACTTATTGTTCTCTGTGTTAAGACAACCACTGATAGTTTATATTCATTTAGATATGCATCACCAACTAGGTGGAATGGACTCACTGAGGACCTGGCCCCCGTTGTTCAAAAGGTGGATAGCGCTATCCACCGGATAAATCTCTATCCACTGGATAGCACAATTCGTTTCCCAAATACTTATCCGCCGGATAGGGATTTTTCCGCTGGATAGAGCTATCCATCTTTCGAACAACCCGGGCCTGAGGATTATGACATTCTTGAAGAAGTTCAAATTCAAAGTACGGCAAATTTCGTTTCATCAAATATAATAGAGAGATTAACGCCAAACGGAAACGTGAGATTCAAGTTGAGAAATTTTCAAAATGAGAAATGAGCAGACGAAAACGGCTTAAAACGATTCTTATGGATAGAATTGGCGTCAATCTATCGATTTTCTTGTAGTTATGATGAACAGTAAACGACAAGTAAAGGGAAAACTTGGTCACGTGGTACAAATTCACGTTTGCCGTTTGCCGCAAACGCGATTCTTAATCTCTCTAATAATACAAGTAATGATACGTTATGTGTTAGTTGGCATATTCGCTGAACCAGTAGAGCAATGTTTGACAAACAGTTTTTATTTTACTCCACTTACATTTGCAGAAGCCCTGGATTTTGAGAGAGATTTAAAAAGAATAGCTATGTGTACATACAGGTGCAAGTAAGATGAAGGGTCCGGCGTGGCTTACCGTGACACTAGCTTCCCAACGGTCTCTTTCCCCTGCCAAACCAGACACTAATTTACCAGCTCTTTCAAGCTTCAGCTCAGTAATTTCAGCCTTTTTTCGCAACTCTTCCTTCTGAGCAGATTTTTCATCATACTGCCTCTTTAGCTCCTCCATTCGATCCGTTACCTACAAATTAACAATCATCAATCAGCATTTTAATTTGCTTTCTCGCTTCTCTTTGAGGGTTTGGCAAACCACTGGACTTTAGAGACTAATAGGGTCTTTACTTGGAAATTTATGAAGTAATTTGTCCAAACGAATAGCAGCACCCTTATGTGGTGGACGTAGATACAACAAAAATTCACTAATAAGGATTCTTTGATTTCATTCACCATGGCCGATACCACAGAGAGGGGAGGGGAAGGGGATGAACACCACACGACTGTACCCTGCAGAGTAGACTAAAGGAATCATAAGCACTGCCAGCAGTGACCCTTACATACATCAACTAAATTGCACGGTAAAGCTACAGAAAACCAAACAGATAGGGGGATGGACGTGGCTACCCGACATATTCCTCTAACCCAAAAGGTTCTCTTCAGACTACACAGCTTTTCCTACCTCCTTAAGCTTTGCCTTGGCTTCTGCAAGAACAGCCTGTTTCTCTTGAAGCTGTGATGTGGCTTGTGCCAGTCTCTGTTTCTTGGGTTCCACTACTCTGTATATTCGTCCATACACTTCCATTGCCCTGACCCACATACACAGTGACTTAGCAGCAAGTGACACGCGGCCAATGATCTCAGGCTGGAAGTCAGCTTGAGAGCAATACGTGCCAATTTTCTTCAGAATTCGATCAGTCATGTTGTCTTTGTCGTAGTTAACTAGCTGCTTGATGAAATTTTGATCGCCTGGTAAATAACCAAAAGAACAAATAGTCATGAATCTAATTTGCTCCATCTCCATACCTGAAAATTTACGAAATTCTTCAAAATCTCTCTTTAAGGAAAAAGTTCATACAATTCTGTTGAAAATATTTGAAGTTCAGGATAGATATGCTGACCTAAACACGATAATCTCCGATTTTAAAAAAATATTAGCCCCCGCTTATCTAAATAGCTGCCTCGATTTTCTTATCTCAATTTCTCTCGTGACTGACCTTTTTTATTATAAATATGGTACTTTTTCACTTTAACTATTCGTAATAAATCTTAAGCCGTCTACACACCACCTGCCTCGTTTAGCCTTGCTATTTGCAGGTGGTGTGATATTTGTATATTTAATGTAAGAAATAAAGATGTTGTTGTTGTTGTTGTTATATGACAAGGGTTGCTTACAAACGTCGTGCTATGAAAATCCGTGATTGATTAGAAATTCTATCTACGAATTTCCAAAAACCAAGCTGAGGTAACTTACAGTAAAACTGAAGCTTTCAAATAGCTTTTCAAAGCTATTTAGAGAAAATAGGTCAGGATGGCTTCTTTGTTAAGGAAGAAGGGAAAAATGTAATTTCTTTATTAAAATCTTTCGGATTTCACAATGCGTTCCCAAATTTGTTTGATAGGCATAATTTTTCTGACGACAAATGGTGCGGATAAATTTTCCGAGATGTACGATCAATGTATATAAGAATCACGAAGCTAAACGGACGATACAGTCTTTTTTATAAAAACCTTTTCTATAAGAACGTTCAGCCTGAAATTTGCCAAAATATTAAGAACATGCTGAGAACCTACTCGAGGCTCAGAGAAGAACAATTTATTTTTCACGGCTTTTATTTTCCTAAATCTAGAAAATCTGAATTACAAAAAATGTCCTACATGAGATCAGAGTGCAAGTAAAATTTTGCTGTTTCAACACATTCCCAAAAAGGGCAAGGGTAGGTTGGCGGGTTGGCGTGAGATAGAGGCTTTAGAAGTATCGAGGATGTGCTTGAACTTTGTGAAGTCTCATGTACAGTATGATGCATGGAGCGATGCCACGTTTAAGACTAAGTGTATAAATGCGATATATTCAAAACTACAACGAGCTCCCTGTCTTCAGATCTATATGTAGCTCAGAAGTTGCCGGATTTCCGTCATTGAAATTTAAGAACATCCGTAAGAACATTTCCAGGCGGAAACAGCCCAAAAAATAAGAACGGTGCAGGCTCAACTCAAAAAATAGAGAGGCTGTTATATAGAAATAAAAAAGGAGTGTATACCATGGTATCGTCAAGTATGCACTCACCCAACTGTCTCTTGGCCTCGGCCCAGGTTGGCTCCCCTCCTCTGAGTATCATAACAGCCTCCATGACTTTTTCAACCAAAGCTGGCGGCTTAGCGTACGATTTGATCTCTGTCATGTCTTTCTTGTTCAGTGATTCCAAAGCTTTAGTGGCTTCAGCAAGGGCCGGTAAAGCCTCATCCAGGTCATGTTGAGCATTTTCTGCCATTACTCGACATTTGTCTTCTTCTTCGGCGATTTTCTCACTCCTGGCTTGCACAATCTACAGAGTACAAGAGACAAAAGGCTTGTGTTAAGGTGCCAGGACAAAAATTGCTTTCACTGCTGCTGGCGACATTGGGCTGCAGTGGTCTAATATTTTCTATTCTGAGTGTATGGCTAGTACTAACTACTCCTATCCGGAGAAACAGAAAGATAGAGATAGAGGTGACAGCATTCGGAGATCAAGATAGATATCCCAAGGGAGGGGGGAGCACTCTAGAGTTAGAGTGACGAGGATGATCAAAAGGACGCAAAAATCAATACCCCAAAAAAATTCCCTTTGGCCTCAAACGAATTTGTTTTCCAGAATTTTTCCCTCTGGAAATGAGTCATTCTCTCCGAAGAAAAGTCAAATGAGGGGTTGGAAAATTAATGCAATGCCTTCTGGGTGATCTGTCAGCCATTTTGTCTTTTTTCGACGCCACAGACAGCCCAATAATTAACCTGAGGAGTGAAGTTATAGAGTAAAACAGAATTTCTACCTTTTGCTGCTCATCAGCGTCTCTTTTCTGTTGTACAATCACGACAAGATATTCTTCACATTGCTTTTGAAACTGTGCTACCTTTGTCTTTGCGTCCTCCAACTCAATTGACATGGACTCCACCTGAAGACAAATAAATATGTAGTTCTCTAGCTTGAGCTGTATCCAGCTTTTCAGGGGGCAAAGGAGGTGAGCAAAAAGAGGGGACAGCTTTCTCTCTTCCTGCCTCCCCTCCCTAGAATCTCCTCTCCCCTCACCCCTAAGGAAGGCCTGATACTCAGGCTATCAATTCCCAGAATCACTTGCTGGTTTGCACGTAACGTCATGGCGGACATGGTGGTGGTCAAGAACAAAAGCGTTTCTCTCCTCTGGGAACTAAACTCCATTTTCATGTAAATTCTTTGAGAAAATATTCTATTGTATTGACCACCAAGATAGCCGCCTTGTCACGTGGCTGCAAACCAAGAATAGACGAGCAGCACTATTTACCTTGATTCCCCGCAACAAAACTTACTCAGAAAAGATATCAATCTTATTAGGTGTAAATTCCAATACATTACGCTGTTTTGTAGCTGCACACTTTTTGTTCTCTTATTTTTCCATACTGAAATATTTGACAATGTTTCCCCATAAAAAAATAAATCCAATTTCATGTTCTGTAAGATAAAATTGTACAACAAATGACTATACCTTAGCTCTGGTATCGTCGATTTTGTCCAAGCCGTTTCTCAGTTTGCTTGCTGCATCTCCCAGTTCTTTTCTCTTCTCGTGAAGCAAACTAATCAAAGCAAGGATAAAGTGCAATGTCAGCAAAAAGGAAAGACAAAAAAAAAACGAAAGAGAACTGAGATGGTAGAAAATGAAAGAAAGTGAAATAACTACAGTGAAAAAAAAGAAACACTCTGCACAGTGGCAAAGAGGTTTTTGATCCTGGTGATTCGGAAGAAAAAAGACCGAGTTCTCCCAAAATGAGTCAATCCAATGACCTTTTGGTCAGTAGTCCAGATGCTCTGCGCTGTGCACAGTGTTTCTTAGTCAGAGTGTTAAGAGATTGTTACTTACGTCTTGTAACCGGATACAAGCTCAAGATAGTTGGTAGGAGTGACGTAGTTATGACGTTTAACTTCCAGTAACATTCGCTTGCTCGTATCCACCACTGATTTGTGAACTATTACAAATATGTTGGCCACATTACCCTTAGTCTGTAAAATATTGAACACAAGAGTTTGACATTTAAAATCCACCTGAGTAATGTAGAGTGAATTTTGGAATGACAGATACTGAGATGTACTTTATTGTACAGGTGCCAATCGGGGTTTGAAATCAAATGCTATTTTAAAAGTGTTGTAGTAAGATAGGGGGCATTATTTCTTACCTCCTCATCACTCAGGTCCATACTCTCCAAGTATTTCTCAGCCACCTCTAAAAGAGCATCTTGAGGCCACTCACTGAACCAGTCAATTGTGGTACAGTTGACAAACGCTGGGTACATTCGGATCCGGTTCCTTATGCACAAACACAAGGTTAGGAAAATTACGCTACGACAACTAATACCACAGTTTGTTAATAACTTATCTCAGCCTAAAAACGGTTTTAAGTGAACCCTTCAAAAGTGTAAGTATTTTGAAAAACTTTTCAAAACCTAAAACAACCACTGCACGCGGTTTTCGACGACTAGTTCGAACTACAGTTCCGACTTGTTGTTGGATTTTCTGCTTGGCTATGACTACTCGCAGCAATAACTTTTTGGTTTTTGGAAAGTTTAAGAAACGTTTTCCTTACCTGAATGGATCCCCTACTGGACTCATGCACAAGATGATATGAAGATTGCTTCTAACTCGTTCAATAAAGAAGTTGAACATGTTCTCTGGTGTATCAAAGATACCTTCCTTACGAGCCTCCTCCGAAAGAGCTGTGCGGACCTAAAAAAAAACAAAATAACTGTTCGAAATCCATTCAAAAGATGATTGAATTATCAAAGTAACAAAACCATGTACCTTGTTTATTCAGAACAAAAAAAGAGAACGTTAAAAGCGTCCTTTAAGATAATCATCCTATTCCAACACGGGGAAATTGGTAGATTTTATCTACGTCGGAATTAATAGTCTTGGTCAGTACCTACCTTTTCTAGTCCTTAAGGATCTTCGCTCACATACCGTGATGTGAATTCTCGAGCAAAGTCTGACCTATTCGACAGTATTTGCGTAAGGAGAGTGAGGTGCACGTTTTAGGCCGTCATTTGCAACTACTTTACCTCACGAAGAAAGTGCGCACCGCCTCCTTTGCGACTGAATTTGACGGAATTTTTACCAAATTATGACACATTTACTGTCTATAAAATACGTTCACAATATTCCATTCTCGTGTGTTAGGGCTAGTTCCTTTTTCCCTCATTTATGACCGCTAAGAAACAATAACCCGGAGCCATCGACAACAAATACGCCAATGACATACCTGCATAAATAAGGAGTAAAACATGCGTCCTATACTACTCGCGTAATTATCATTTCAGTTTCATCTAGTCTCCCTCTCCATAACTCAAAAGGGAATGACTCTTCACATACCTCTTCAAATTCTTCGGGTTTGTAAAGATTTGGGACCTCTCCACTGCTGAGGATGTTACCGATGTCTTCAAGAAATGATTCATCCAAGGCTTGAGTGTCATTGAACAGAAACACTGTGGGCTTGTTATCCACACCAGCCAGACTGTAAAGACGCTTCAAATCTTTGAGAAAAAAAAGGTCACTTTGAATAAAAAGGCTGTGCTTATTATTGTCAGTTTTCCATGAAAGAGTTTGTTAACTGTAAAACTCATCTCGAAGAAAGAGGGTGTGATTAGATTGTTCCTCAGAATAGGAATAAAAAGTAGCGATTTGTTTGGATGGAGAGACGAGGTAAAAGTCGGCTGATGCATTTGAAGATTTTAGGAATTTTCAGGCCTCTATTTAAAACCTTTCTTGACTCGCGCACAGTGAGAGACATCTCGCCGTCATGAAGGCGGATATTTTTTCTCTAAGACTTTCAAAAATCTCTCTAACATTCAAACAAAGATTTAAGACGTGGTGACAGAGAGTCCTCTGGATACAAGCGACACGTTCTCAAGATTTCTTCAAGCGAAGGTGAAGTAAGAAGGGTCTTTGTTGTATGTGATTTTTTCTGAGTTGAATTCTCAGGGAACACAGCCAAGTTTAGAGAGAGAAAGAGAATTTATCGTCGTCTGTCTACGTCTTCCATTAAACGTGGAATGTCATGAAGAGAACGACATGAACGACAAGATCATGCACAAAAAAGTGATGCACGCGCAGAGTTTCTGTTTTGCTTATAAGCCAACTGATGTTGTCGTTGCTATAACTCTCTACTATCAAAAGTTACCGCGAATAATAGTACAAACCTTCCCTGAACTCAGTCTTCCTGTAGTGCTTAGTCACCTCAATCTGGAACACTTTGAAGCCAATAATGTAGGCTGATAACCGACTCAAACTCTGGCGGCCACTCCCACCAATACCGATCAACAGCATGTTACCACGAGGCTGACCGATCACACGGATTATACGAGTCACTAGAAGGAAGGAGAAAAACACATCAAGAACTACCCAGCTTATTTCTGTTTTGGTCAGTGCGTTAATGCAGTTTTCGTAGCATAACTCGCTTATTTAGTTGTTCACAGCTTAGGCAAGGTAGAGTGACGGTCGCATTTCTTAGCTTAAACATAGATGATACCAAAGGTAGGTCTGGAAATTTGTAAATCAATGGTATTTTTCTAAAGCACCTTCAAATCATCGACCCTCACTTCTTATTGCTAGGCATTTAAAAATAACGAGGTACCAGAGAGGAAACACGTGCTCTCAACTGCTGTTGGAATTAAAGAGGCTAACAACTTGACGTGTACGTTTTAACGTGAGCTGAGAGGTTGACATTTGTGCAGTAAGCACAAAATAAGGACCAGTCTGTTAAGAAAGCGGTATGTTCCCCAAACACCTGAGGCAAAAACTACCAAACATTTCGATCAATTTATTTAGTAGTACATGTTTACAAAGCAGTGAAGAACCGTGGAGAAATCTGTAAGTATGATAGCCGACGATGAGTCTCGCCAACAGATTTAACATACCATGCTCAATAGCATCTCTGAAGAGAACAAGATCCATAGCAATGACTCCAGGCTCCATGTTGTAATCTTCCAGCTGATCTTCCATGTACTTCTTCAAGGCTTTGAAGTCCATCAAGTCTTCATACACGGCGCCATCTTTCATGAAATCACCTGCAGAATTCGTCAATGTTGATTATGTTAGTCTAAAGCCAGTGATATACAGTTCAATCTTTGTTGCTCAACAAACGGCGAGCGATGTTGTTGAAATCGTTGTAACTTGTTGGACGGAAAAGAGCTCATCTCATTTCTTGTTAAACAACGTTTAACATGTTTACATGTTGAATGTTAGGTCATGCTCCTAACTTACTCGCATTTTTTCCGCACTTTTTTTCGGCGCAGGTTACAGTTAGTGAATCCTACAGTCTCAGACGAAAATAGTTGGGACACTTCCACCGAACGCTGTTTTTTCACTTCTGGCCCGTCTTCTTCCAATGCTGTTTATCACAGTTAAATCCCCAAATCTTGCACACCAACATTGGGAGGGCAAGAAGACAGTAAAGTGTCTGTTGTTCTGATTGGTTCACGCGATAGTCTGCACCACTGTCATTGGCCAAACTAACAGTTTTGCATTTTTTTCGGCGCAGGTACATGTATTTACTCTCAGTTGTGACTGGCTCACAAGGTTGTCTGCGCCACTGTGATTGGCCAAACTAAAAGTTTTGCTCCCGGGCTTATGACAATAACTTACCGAAGATTGGTGGCTGTTTGTTGGGGCAGAGATTGTGAAAAGTGAGATCAAACATGGTGCCAAGCTTGTCACTCAACAATGCTACGAATGCTTCATGGTCATTAGCATCTATTAGGCGATCGGAGAAAACTCTGAAGACAAAACAACGGACACAATTTATCACCACACAGTATGATGTTATGGATATACGCTGATGCTATCAATATAGTCGATTTATGCTACAAATGAAGCTATTAAACGATTGGCTCGGTCAACACAATTACCGGGATCTCACCTGAAGCACTCATGTACCCACAGCCTGGAGATGGCCGTCTTTGTGTCATGAAAGTCTTTGTTGGCACGAAGCAAACCTTGGAATACCTATTGCAATATAGAATTCGTAAATAATTTACTACCATTAGACAAAGAATATCTAATGGCTCATACAATAACGTGCTAGCAATAACGATTTTGGCAACTTCAATCTTGTCTTTTATTTTACGACCATATTTGTCGCGCAAATTGATCACAGCTTCAAGAGCCTGCCTCAAAATAGAAATTCATATACGCCCAACTAGCTCGGCGAGCTCACACGATGCTTCGGAAAAAAAAAGGCTTTCATTTTTTAGCCTCTTCTTAGTGCTTAAAATCTAAATGGCTGACATATATGAAGTTAATAGATACTAAGAAACTGATCCTCAGCAGTACCACATAGTAAATAACTTACCCTGGAAATGTCTCTGAGGTTAAACAAGTAATGGATCTTGGTTGGTGTCGGTAGCATTTTAGCGATGATCGTGTTGTAAATGTCGATGGTTGCCTGAAAGAGAACATGCAAAATTACATGCCAAGGTTAACACAGCGGCCTCACTTAACGACTATAAAACTATATTTTAGCCAGAGGCGAGCGTTTTAGGTGCGGGTAAAATTTCTAGCACGGAAACAAGCCCAGCATGTTTCTTCAACTTGATCACATTGGAAATTTAATTGTTAGAATTGTACAGCCAATTACAAACGGTTTTGCCCCGAAACGTTACGGGGCGTTTCCAAAACGGAACAAGGTGGTATGATCGTGAATACGAGCCACTTTACACAAGTTGGCTTTCTGAAAACATTTCGGATCAGTGGCAGTTGTGTCTGGTAAGGGGAGGGGAAGGGCTTGTTCTGTAACATACATTCAGCTCATGACCGGCATCGGGTTAAATAGACTTCTCAAACTCATTAATAATTCATAAAGAAAATACAAAGAAAATTAATGTTCAATGAGTGTTTGGAAATCGGATGAAAAACTGCTCAGTATTTGCATCCTTAATTTCTCCTTCAAAAATGATTTTGTTTGAGAAGAAATATCAAACATTCGACACAGTGTTTCATCACCAGATGAAACACCTCGAAGTTCGTCAAAAATACTCCGCTGCGCGTCGTATTTTCAACTCTCTTCTCGGTGTTTCATCTGGTGATGAAACACTGCGTCTCATGTTTGATATATTACATGAAAATTAACCTGCGTCATAAGATCACCCAGAGGCTTCACGTCTTCTTCAAAGTCTTGCAACTTCTGATTAATCATTGTACCAAATATGCGCTTGATCTGACTTTCCTGACAATTAACAAAGACAAGAAACAGGCCTTCAGTTCATTGTGACACACGCATACAGTTACGTCCCTCAAGTTAAATCATGACCTATGTATGGCGGCTGTAGTGTTTAGGCCTGTGCATTTTTTTAACTGTAAGGAATACTTGCTAACCATTTTACAGTACAAAGACCTCTGTGAAATAAAAACCAAAATCTTTAGATAAGGCCAGTAGAGAGACCAACCAGAGAAAAGTCTTAATTTGTGACAAATCGACTATGATGATGATTTGGGTATCTATTTTCATAAATAAACACTATTTAACTAACCGTTACTTGAAGCATTGTTTATTGAGCTCTACAAAGGTGAATGAAATCTTTGGGTGTGACCATTCCAATGAAGGCAATGCATCAAGCATATATATCCTTTATAGTGAGCACTACTTACTTGCGGGAAAGTCATGTTGATGAGATTGAACCTGCTCTGCAGTCGTTTGGAGATCACCATCCTGCCTCCGCCAGGTGGACCCATGGATGCCAATACATGCATGTCCTGATATTTAAATAAGACATATATGGTTCTATATTGAACTCAAATTAACAGTTAAGAAAACATTATTAAAAAACAAAAAGGAAACGGATGAAAAAAAAAAACACGATAAAGCAAATTTAAGATAAAACAATCGTTTTGACATTAACATGGCTTGCGCAAAGGAGTGTTGCTCATTGCGAAAGGAAAGCACTACATACGGATTTAAAGGAAGAGAGTATATGCTTGCAACAGCTCCACTGCTGGACTGTTCTACTGCACTACTTCTCTAAATAAAGCTGTTTCTAAAGTGTTGAAGTTGGCTCGGGGTAGTGGAACCGTTAGCTTGTTCTTACAGTCTCTCACATTGACAGTACTATTTACTTGGATAAACAAAGTCAATGTCCCGGCTGCCAGCGATCTGACTAACCTTGATGTACTTTACTGTCTGTTTCTGTCGATCATACCAGAAGCCATAGTCCAGCCACAAGCGGATCAGTTCCAGTGGTGGTTGAGAGCCAAATGTGTCTTTAGCAGGCATGTTGAAGTCATCCATGAAGTTTATCAGCTGCTTGCCACCGATTGGTACATACACACCTTGATGCAAAGCGGAACAGCACATTAGAGAACGTAAGTCCAACTGCTGTTATCTCGGTGACATGAGTTTATTTACTATGACAAGACTCTGAATGAGTTGAAGCTTTACGGTACAGTCGCCCAAGAGTCAGATCTCGCCCGAGCAAGGCTTACCTTCACTGACAGCCGTGCAGTCACTGTCTTTTTCCGCTTACTACTATTTTTTGGTTTACCGAACGACAAATTGACATTTTTCAAAGTGCCTTCTGGGCTTTGCGGCTATAAAGTATGTATATGTAAATTAATTCCGGGGTTCAGGCGAGATAACTATCGAGCTACTTGACCAGTTACCGCAGCAACGTTACCTTTAGTTCGTTTCTCAACCTTGCTCTCAATGATTTCTTGAACATTGTTGGAAGACGTCTAAAACAGAAAAATAATAAGTGCCGTCAGATATTCTCCCCAATCACAAGATATTGAATAAGGTCAGCTCAACAGAACATGGTTTTGAATGTTTTAGTATCGTATTTGCTTATCGGACACAGCTGAATTCGACAAAACACGTCTAACATGGTGACCCTCAAACAAATCAGGCATAAGGTATCCAGTTAAGGTCGTGAGTTCACACTTGAATACTTTTCTAAGCTTGGTAACGCCCGGTCACCACATTTGGCAAATGCTGCACATGCATTTTGTTTGAAATGTTGGTGCAGTGGTAAAAAAAGCACTCCACACCAGTCGGGTACCAATCGTGGAAGTAACGCTAAATGTAGGCTGAGTTTGTTGTTGGTTCTCTCCGTTGCTTCGACAGAATTTTCTTTAAAGGTTACTCCAGCGAAAACCCTCTCCTTCCCCTTCGAATACTGAAGAGCTCCTAAGTATTTTGAGGTTAACCAAATATCACTACATGTACATTTTTGTACATTTGTTCTAACTGGCTCACAACACCACAGAAAAAGGAATTAAACTTTGTTTTATGTGGAGTCATAAACAGGTAAACTGAAGATGAGTCCGTTTTCTGACCTACCTGTGCTGACAGATTGATTACCAAGAGACTGTAGATTTTAGGGTCCAATCTCTGCAACACCTTCTGGGCCAAGGAAGTCTTGCCAGTCCCCACAGGTCCCGTAAGAAGGACAGGTCGCTTAGCTTGAAGCAAGCTATACACCAAGAAGTCATATCTTACAGTGTCCACAGTGGGGACCATGATTTTGTAGAATGGTGTACTACAACAAAAGAAAATAGGTTGAAAATTTGATAGAAATATAATCAAAGCTTATTATCCATAACAAATTACCCTTGATCCTTGTCAACATCCTACTTGAAAAAGGAAGCGGTTAAGAGACACAGGAACTTTAGGTAGATCGAAAGCCAAATTTCTCTTTGTACTAAGATCTACGGCGGGGGGAAACGCGGAGCTAAGAAATTTTTAAAATTGGTGTTTTCTTTTAACTTAAAGTTACCATGATTTAAGGCAAAATTACAAAAGAACATTGTTGAAAGCGCTTATAGAAAGAAATGCTTGTTAATAATCAAGATCAACCCGAATCTAGACACTAGATCAATCAAGGTGAATAAAAAAGCACAACAAAAGAGCTCTGAATGTGTGATTAAAGCCACAAATAAACGTTATACCATGCAACGCAGAGTTAGTAATCAATAATCGTGAACGTACTTTGGTGTGTAACGCCATCCACTTCTCAGCTTATCTTCCCACAATGCCCAGGCCTTTTGTTTGGTGTCCACGTGATATTCATACACAGTGTCCTGACAAAAGAAAAAATAGTTGTTTTAAGTACAGTTACGTTAAATGAGATGACAACTTCCAGCACAGCAAACTTGTTACATTTAAATTAGTTTCAAACTTCCATAACAGCCTTGAACCTTGCGCTCGTAGCAACCAACCAGCCCTGAAGCACTATTACGTTCGGTATTTTCATCCCTAAATTTGAGGACCATTATGAAAGACAAAGAGCTGTGTAAGATTTCTTGCACCACAGGACTACTCTCCACGCTTCCAGCCAATTGCATAACAGCACCCTCCGTTTCACGAATCTCTCTTTGGCATCTCGCTAAGGTCACCAGTTTAGCCTGCGTAGCAAGCGTTTCCATGCGGTTTCGGAGCGAAGAAGGTAGAACGAGAGTCTTTCTTTGCTTCGAAACCAAACGGAAACGCTTGCTACGCAGGCTGTCAACAGTTGAGCTTCAGCTATTTCTGATGTTTCAACAAAGAAAGCAACACCAAAAGAAGGGTACTGAGGCCTCATCCCTGAAGAACTTGGGCGGGAATATTTTTTATTTACCTTAGCAGGGAATTGGCCTTCAATTTCTCGAAGAAAGTTGTCCATTTTCTTCCTGCTGTCTTCGTCCACTGATGCACAAATGGACCAGATTAACGAGAACAAGAACCACAGCTCAATCATGCGGGGGAAACTGTCTTCATGTGGATGAACCTGTAAGATAAACGACAAAGAAAATGAGCAAAACCGTTTTAAGCATTTGATAAAAAAGTCCTAGCGGGACAGAATATTTGTGCCAGAAAATAGCGCAGTTGTAAGGACAAGAATCACTAAAACAGTGAGGTTGTTAGAGTTGCTTAGTGCGACTCTGCATCGTCTTGTAGACAAGAATGTTATGATAATGTGTAATATCAGAATCATTTGAAACAGTATGGCCTGCACGTAGTTTAAAGGACTTTCTAAATTAGAACAAGACATTTTGAGCCTTACTCCATTCTCTTCTGTCGCCAGGGCGTCAAACAAAACACACAAAGAAGCCACAGAGTTCAGTTCTGATGTGGGAATCAGTTCCTTGCAATGGTGTCTTCGGAAATCCAGCACTTTAGGAACAAACTTCTCAAACAGTCTCTGCAGGTGCTCCACAGATTGCTGGAAAAATAGAGACGAAAAAACAGTGATGAGGTTGTTTATTATATATTATATAATTAACCAAACAGCAGCAAAGAGCGCTGTAGCGGTCTGCAGTTGGAGACATCGGGGCACGTTCACAAGCATTATTCAAGTTGTAGCAAGCTTAATGCAGTGTCGTCAGCCATTTTGTGCCGTTTTGGTGAAATGTCTTTTCTGCCCTTTATTGACTTCCCAGTTAGTATGTCGTTCGCCTGCCCATAGTGAGTATTAGTATGGGAGTGGTCCTCGGTTTGGGGTGGCCCGGCCGCTAGGGGAAGCCCCCAGTCTTCCAACGCACCCAAACCCCATTAGACAATGCAGTTGTTAACCAAGTAAATTCATGCAAAAAACGTTCTCAGTGTCAAAACAATCAAATGTAATGCCCTAGTAATATACCTTATCTTGTCTCTTTTCTAGCCAGCAGTCTACGTAAGGCTGCCAGCCAAGGTCTCGATAGTCTGAAAACACCATACCACAGCGACTGACTGTAGCAGGTGAAGCTACAGCTAAGTCTTCTACCTCAAACAACAGGGAAACCTAAAAAAGACCAACACAAGATTATGGTTATGGTTGACACTGGTTAGTTAAGTGGGACGCACGTTGATATTTATTTAGGAGTAAATACAATGTAAATAGAGGAGGTACTTCAGATGGTATTGCAAACAATAGGGAGTTTTTCGCAATAGGACGGCAGGAGGAAGAGGACGGCAAAACGCTTGTGGGTGACAAACGTGACAGGGCCATAACTTGCGCGTTTTGTCGTGATCTTCACTTAACTTTAATGTTTTGTGGTCTTCTAGGAAAATATCAGTTTAAAAGAAGGTGAAATTCGGCGTAAAGTTATTTCAAACAAAGTTATTGTCACGCTTGTCATACAAGGTTTGCCGTCTTCTTTCCTGCGTAAGCCACTAATGTCTGGAAGAGGGATAACCAAAATATATAAAGCAGCTGATACCACTACCAGTACCACAGTCACCTCAGACCAAGCCAAAAACTGAAAGGAAAACTTTGTAAACTTCAGAGGATGAGCCAAAAACAATGGAGACGATAGTTATAAAAGAAATTTAAATCACAAACGCATTTCACTCGATGGGTAGATTCATTAGAAACAGTTAACTGACCTGGTCCGGCATAGCGATTCGTTCACCATTGATGAGTGTTAGAACTTTATTGTCGTCCATAACGGAATTCATGGATTCGATCCACAAAGTGTCCACTGGAGCGTCAAACAAAATCCATTTTTCATCTGGACGCTCATCTAACGAAGAAGATTACGACGAAATACCTAAGTACTCATATTAAATTCTATATTATTCTAACAGTCAGCGTATAAAGGAACAGCACAACAGGAAGGTACGTACGTCTCTATAAATATGGTTTGAATGGTCACAATTTTCACACAATAACACCGTGCACAGCATAAAAAACAGTACCCCTGGAAAGTGCTGCTCTTCAATTATCACGTACTTTTTTTAATCATCTTGGGTTTCGTGAAAAAAAAAAACAACAACAACAACCTTACAGGGAGTTATTCCGTCCGAAGGGCACACTCCTAATTGTGTTTCTCATCGAAGTTTTCTCTGTTTTTGTCGTCACTTTAAATGCCCCCGCACAATACTTCTTGGGGGTGGGGCGGGGGGGTTGGGGGTTTGGTTTTCTCTCTGCCACGAACTGAACTTATGCCTCGCTACAACACGAGAGTTACCAAGCAACTCCACTTCCGATCAGTCTAAGTTTTACGCTAAACTATGCTAGGGGCCTTATTTCCTTCAAACGCATAAAAACTTAAATAACATAACGTTTTACTGGTATCCTAGCTAGCAAAGTCTTAAAAACATGAAGAGTGGATAACAGCTCACCTGCACATGTCTGCCTCATGACACTAGATAATACTCCATCTGTCCACTCGTTTGTGTTGAGATCAAACTCGCCATACAGTTCACCAAGAGAAAGAGCCTTTGGGTTAATAGGATACTCCTATAAAATAAAACACAGAAAGAGAAAATCAACACAGGGCAACCGCCTGAGTAACAAATGATACGAAAAGAGTACGTTGAAGGAATTGAAACAGTTTGTTTGTCACATATGTCTTCTGTGTAGATTCTCTGTCTGTTGGACTTACCCTGACAACGTTAAAACTCGAGTCTCCATCTCTCTTTAACCGTGTCATGGAGGCCTGTAGGATCTTCCAACACACACTCTTCCCTGAGCCTGTTTGGCCCACTAACATGGTCGAGTGCCTGGTAAAATAACAGTTTGTCAACAACGAAGTTTTATCACACAGTGTTGGCCACATAATTTTAAGAGAGACGTGTATGGTTAAACACGAGGAAGATATTTTTCTGCGTGGAAACGCAGAGTTCTTTCTTCACTTTCAGGTCAACTCTTTCAAAACGGAATCTCGTGAAACGTGGACAGCCCTTGATAATGGACATGAATTAATGGCTGCTCCCAGTCAAAATGCACTTTTCTGTTTGGAATTCAATTGTAATAAGACTTCCTTATAAGACATAGGGTGATTTAATTTTTTAAAGAGCAAAATCTGAAGTTGAGCTTTTACGAAATATATACTACTTATGAAGGAGTAGTTTCCTTTAAATGGGAGGGCTATTTTGTTTTATGTTTGTACTTTTTACTCTTTTAAATTACTTAAGGGAGAAAAAAAATAACAAGACACTCAACAACAACAATACCTGGAGTTCTTGGTCTCGTACAACTGAATCACCTTTAGCATGGTGGACGGGTGTGGCTTTAGACCAAACTCCTTGATGTCTTTTTCTATAGCAGTTCGCAGCTGACAAGAACCATAAAACGTATTCAACAATGCACGAGCCCTACGTCACCTTAGCAGTTTACTACACTTAAACTCACAAACTAGTTGGTCAAGAATTGGCCACTGTAGAAACGACAAGGAAACTGGGTCGAGTTATTTTTCGCAAAGAAGTCTGGGACTGTAACTGGGAAAGGTAAAAAAACTAGCCAATAGCTGACCAGCGCGTCCCCAATAACTATCCCAGAAACAATTGCGGGACGCATTTCGGCTCCAGTTCCCTTTTCGTTTCTAAACTGGTGAATAGAAGCAAACAGTATAAATACCAACACATACATAGCAACCTATTTGACAACAAAATCTACGACAAATGCCTCCTTGTGGCGTTGCTATTAAGCAGTCTAAGATGCCACTACGGCGACGGCAAGGAGAACGTCAAAAAGCAATTGGTAAGCAAAACAACATCTTAGCACGTGCATCACGCTTTTTTTGGAACATTTCTTTGCCGTCACTGCACTACCGCGATCGTGAAACTGCCTAATTTCACGTTTTATCGAAAACGTGAACTTACGGCGACGAATCTCTCTTACTCTTTTTAAACTTGAATATTTTTCTTAAGAATTCAACTCCAGAAGAGTTTGCCTACATAAAACATGGTGAGCGAGTTGGGATAATCACGCTTTCGTGCCGTCGCAGTCGTGGGATCTTAAACTCCCTAATTTTGTAGAGAAGGTAACAAGGATACTGTACATTTGCTATCATACTTAATATATCTTACCTTGCCATAGTCTATAGTTGGAGCCTCCACGCCAGGAAACAGATCAGATACAATGCCGTTGAACAAAGGCAGATCCTGAGAGGTTAATTTGGCAATGTTCATGTCTTTCATGGACAGCAGCAGAATCTGATGACCAAGACATATAAGCATATAAGAGTGCCTTTTAAGTGACTTGATGATTTAACTAACTTGGGTAATTTAAAGTGATGCCTGTGTTTAGTTTACTGAATTAGAAAGAACAAATGCCTCTGATATTTGACCACTTAGATCTGCTTTCTTTATCATCAAGCAACCCTGGAGCACTGTTGTATTACAAGATGTATGGACAGCTAATTTGGGTGACTCGCTAGTCTCCTATTTGGTACAGTTATGAAGATTGGTTATAACAGCTTATTTTGTATTTTGTTCTTTTGTCTTTTCTTTCTCTACCCGTCCTATACTCCAAACAGAAAAAAAGATGCTTAAATTACAGGAATTTGGTGGTAGACCAATACAGGCTCCAGAGGTTGCAGACTGTTATTGATGTCGCAAAAAGAAATAATTTTAATTATATGATCTCACCTCTTCGTCTGACATGTCAGGATTGGCCCTTTTCTTTTTGCCAGCATATCGTAGTACAGACGTGAGAGCTCGCAGACCAAAGTCATAGTGATCCTGTTTGGACAACTGCTGCACTGCTAAGGAGTACAGGGTGTGAACCTTCCTGGCAAGCACCTGGCAACAGAGGGGATTGTGGCACGACGATTAACATATATTTTGGTTCAAAAAAGGTTCAAGTAAAAATCAATTTAAGGTTGCCTTTATCAGGTAAATACCTTTGTGTTGTTGAATCCCTCCGCAAACAGAATGATCTCGGCTATCATGGCCGAATCTGGTACAACCATGGAAATAGGTCTAAACATGCTCTTTAAGTTGTCTGGTAATTCGGTTCGACCAGCATATCCTGCGATATAACAGACTGAATTTCAACTCACAATTAAAGTAAAATAATAAGCGGACAGAATTTAAGAGAAACAAAAGACACAAGGATGACGAGGAACGAAAAAACAAACAAACAATAAAACAAAAAGGAAGGAAAAGAAAAGGATGATAAGTCACAAAGGTTGAAATGACAGTGCTGAACATGTTAGAGCGGTTTTCATTTGAGTGTCGAAAGGTAATTGGTTTTGCGTTTACTACGCTACGTGATTGGCTTAAAAGATTCGCGCCACTTTTTTATCCAATCAGAAGGAAAACCAAAACCAATTGTGTCACGCTCGCATGCATTTTCCCGCGCTTTGCGTCAGCTACATGTAATTACTTCGAGTTTTAATTGGTTCACTGTATTGTCTGTGTCCATTGTGATTGGCTAGAGTAATTACTTTGGTTTTGGTTTTACGATACTCAAATGAAAACCGCTCTAGTACAGATATGAGTACAAACAAAATTACCAGGATTCATAGTGATGAAGATACCGCATGACCAAACAAGGTTGATTTCTCGTCCTTCAAATACAAACCGAGTTGCACCAGCTGACAGAGCCGAGAGAATGGAGAGAATCTGTTGGGCTACCACTGACAATACTTCAATGTTAATACGATTGAACTCATCAAAACAGCCCCATGCTCCTGTCTGCAATGTGAAATATTAAGAAAATATAAAAAACAGTAATGTGGAGTACTTCACAAATTTGCTCTTGCAGACCACCAAACTAGGCGGTTTTAAGCTCACTTGGTTTGTTTGTTTTTTAAATGTCTCTCATTAGCAGGGCCCTTCAGTACTGTACTGGACGTGCATGGGGACGTTAAATACTTGTGCCTTCATGTAACAACCTCTTTTATATTTTGAAATGGTTCATAATGCCTCCTAGACAGATTCGCTTTTTAGCTATTTTGAAGATGGCTTTATACCTTACATAAGTAGTATTGTCCTTTTGTCCACTTTTTTGTTTCTGTGAGTGGTTTAAAAATAAATTTCGTGTCTTGTCTTATCCCTCCAGATTCCAGCTTCCAAGCTGAATGGGCTACCAACGCTTAAATACATGTGAAGATATATCCCTACCGTCCTACCTACCCACCGACCATTAGCAAACAAGCTAAGAATGATCTCGATATACATGCGGTATTGACCAAGCGTGAGGTCAAGATGGCTGTATAATGCCCGAGTTCTATTACGTCTCGGTCAATAAAAGTCATATAATAGTAAATAATGTATAATTTCCATACCTGTGCCAAACCACTGTACATGCGCCCCATTGATTTGTAATCTAGACCCTCAGAACAGTTCACCACAATGACGTAATTACCAAGGGCCTTTCCAAGATCCTTGACCGTCTCTGTTTTGCCTGTACCGGCAGGTCCTTTAGGACTGCCTCCTCGATGAAGGTGAAGAGCTGTTGTCAGTGTCATATAGCACCTATATAAAGACAAGATAATAGATTTGAATCCCTTGGCTAACAACTGTTTCGAGAAAAATTGTGTAGGTCGTACGTTTACCACGTGATAATGTCGCACAGAAAGGAAGTTTAAGTTAAAACACCTCCACGGAGAGGCCTGCGTGACGGAAACGTGTATGTTCATGTTCATGCCCTTACAGCCGTGGAAGGGCATTGTATCTGCATGTGCGAGACCGACAAGGGAGACAAATGCAAATGTCACACAAACAGAGGTGTGTGGCAAGCCAAACAAATATCCATATCACACCAAAAATTACTAAGAGAAAAAATCAAAAGAGGGTTGAAAAGAATCTATGACATGGGAAAAGTATGTCACATAATCGTGTTGGCAAAACAATTCAGTTTACAGACCTGTCTGTGAGAGGAGTGATAACAAGGCGACCAGAATTCCCGAGGTACTCATAACCATACTGGAACTGAGTGTTAGTTTGTCGTACTACACAGTCATCAATATCCTGAAATCAAAACATAAAAAAAAATTAATCAGAGACAGGAATACAATGTTAATGTTAACATACTAATATCAAAAATGTGATTAACAATTTTAAAAACAATAAGGGTCGTTACGTTTTGCAGAATTGGACGTTTGTCATTCACTATGCAGTCTACGAAACATCTGGAAACAGAAAAACCTGTATTTGCTACATCTCAAGAAAGCGTTACTCTTAATTATTCTCTATTCTATATCAACTACCTTCTATAAGGCAATCACTTCTATTAAGCGACCTCAGTCACCCTTTCCTAAATCCCAACTTTATTGTCTTCACCTAAACTAAAAGGTCACTTTGTAAGGAAGTCCTTTTTATAACAGTAAACTAAATACATTTGTGTACGGTTTGTAATATGGTTTTTCCATTTGGCACACAGAAGTAAAGAACTCTTTGTGGCTAACGGCGCCTTATGACAGAAACGTTTCCCTGTCACCGTCTTTCAAACAATTCCCTGAGGGTGACCACATAATACAGATTTGACTGCATTGAGTTCAGCAGACAACAGAACAGTAATAAGTAAACATGTCACTGTAATACCTTGTCCCAATAGAGTCTCAGCTGGCTAAGCCATTCAAATGCAGATACATCTCCACAGCCAGACTTGATCATCTTTTCAATCACATCCCTGGCGTGCACCTCAATCGTAACCAAAGCAACAATCTTCTGTCGCTGAATCTTAGTCAAGTTACCACGAATCATTTCGGAAAATTTGTTCAGCATGGAGATCTGTGGAAAAAATGTGTCTGGTTGGTTACCATTTGAACGAACATTTCATTACACGAACAAGGAATTGCAACTGAAAAAGTTCAGTTGGAATAGCACAGACAAAGCACAATTGAACAAAAGCATCAGCAGAAATACAAAGGCACAACTCTTCCAGTAAAGGACCAGATACCCATATCCGCAACAGGCCACGACACAGAATTGAAGAAAAATTAAAACTGCAGACTACAGTGGGTGTAGTAACTCGTGAGTTAGTTTTTAGTACCTGTTTCTTTTTCAAACTCTTCAGCGCCTTCTTGTCGCCTCTTTCTTTAGTGCTGGCTAATGCCTTGGTACAGTCGCTGGTCCACTGCATTTGACTTGATGTAATCGTCAGCTGAAACAACAACAAACGTTTATGAGCATTCTTTGCTGAGCATTTCAATAAATAATCAACACGCACCAAAAATTGAAGATTTAATGTCAATACAGCCATGGACGCAGAGGGTTAGTTCCTTGGATGCAAATGCTGGGCTTTTTCACTCTGATTTTTAGAATGCGAGCTAACCAGGTTTAAACCCAATAAGTGATCAATCCCATTAGGTATTCCCGTCAAACCTGGTAGACCTGGTTACCAGTTATGGCCAGTAGTGGCTAGGATCAACCATAGCAACCCCAGTGAACCTGCTTGACATGCCTAACCAAACGTAGTAACCCAGGTAGGCCTGGTTTATATCATGGTGACTAACATCGAAACAGGTTAACCAGGCTTCAACTCTGTCAGGGAGCGTGCAAGCGCAGTGCATGAAAAGGCATCCTTTTTAAATATACACGAAGAACATTGATCAACCAAGAATTCATCACTGACCTGACCAGCCCACTCCTTGACCCACTTGTCGCGTTTACTAGTGTTCTTCTTCAGGGCTAGTCTGCACTGTTTCAGTAGTTCCTTTAGGGTCCACCGCATACTTCTCTCAACATCACACAGCCATGCCTGACAAACAAGGAAGAACATATTATATGTCCGAGCTACCACCAGAGCATATACAGACGAGAGTGTCGTGCATGACCATATTACCTACTCATAACAGGAACAACAACTAGGAATAACCTTCTAGGTGGTTAAATCCTCTGCGTATCCTTCGTAGTATTATGAATTACTAAGTAGCACGTTACGTTAGCACCAGAATTTGAATGTGCCTTTCCCTTACCATCAGAGCTAACAGCATGAATGAAAACATACCTCGACAGGGCCTTCCAAAAGAACAGAATGACCAAACTCTACGAATTCTCCCTCAGCAGAGTACATGCCAACTGCCTCGGTTTTCTGTGTGATACCCATCTATACAAAAAAAGGTACAGATTAAGGTGTGATGTCTCAAAAGATATTTCGGACGCTTTTTTTTTCCACAAAAAAAAAAAAATTTGTTACCTTCGCCATCTTGAGGGACTTGATGTTGTCAAAGCACTTCTTCAAGTGAGGTTGAACCTAAGAGAGTAACAATATTCACGGTTTATTCACTGGTCCTCTGTTACTTGTTAAATTTTCTGCAAGGGGTAGAGTAATATGCCGTGTATAGATATTCTTTAAGGTAAATGACGATGAAATTCACTTTTAGGGGCATTTGTCATGAAATTCGTAGGTAGGTTGCTATCCAAGTGAAGGAAGAGATAGCTTAGATAGCTTGCCAGGGCTGAAATCAATTGCCAGTTCCCACTGAACCACAAGGAAAATATTTGTCTTAAGGTAATTTTCAACTCTGAAAACATTGCCGGGCATCTCTACAAAGTTGGTCACCAGCAGGTTTAATAACCTAAATAATCCAACTCTCTAAAAAGGACAACACTTCTGGGATAACGTTTTAACTACAACTGCTACTTACAGCTTCAGGATTTTTGGACTGGCCAAGTATTTCCAAGAGATCATCGTTAGAAAGAAAGTAGAAGCGAGGGAATATCTGCCTCTTGGTCTCGAGGTACATGTCGAGTGACTTCTGAATCTCCTCCAGTTTCAAATTCATGTCATTTAGTGTGTCGAGAAGGCCTGCAAAATTTAATCAAATAACATAATTGAATACTCAATGCATAAAGCGTTTTTCTTGTTCTTACAGAGTTAGGCCACCAAAAATGAAATATTTCTCAGAAATGGTGGAAGTAAAAGAAGCTAAATACAAGTAAGTTCTGGAACATTCCTTCAAATCTCTTGTATCTTTGATAAAAAAAAAGAGATGGGCTGTTGATCAAAGTCACGAAAAACAGAAACGTATAAAACATAACCTGGATGATGAGTTCCCCTCAGTGCGTTGTTATCTCTGTTCAGTCTCTGCATGATTACCTGCATCAAAACCAAAAACAGTGTTAAAAAGAATGCAAATAAACTATTAGGACCAATTCTAAAATAAAATTTTACCTTCCAGTTAGCATTGACACCATCAAACTCTGCTGATTCTCTGGGAAGCTGTTTACGAATGTCCTCACCGAGGAAAATATTCTGACAAAAATTAGAGCACATCATGTTAAGTGAGGCAAGTAAATTACAAATTATGTAAATGCTGTTGGGTGGGAGGAAGGGTTGCTGATGGACGTAAAATGTTGCCTTATTGCAAGAACTGTCTTCAACTTTGGCAGTCTGCTGTGTAGCAATGTGGCTACAAATTATCAGTGATAGAGAATGTTCACCAGCCTTAAAAGGTTACTTAACCATGTGCCTCGCTTAAGTGGAAGGTGGGTGCCTGGGATACCCAGGGGCTTCCACTGTGGCAAGCCAACCCTAGATATAGAATACTTCCCCCCATGGCTGGCAAAGGCAACCCAGCCATGAGCCCACATTCCAGCACCCGTCACACTGATGAAACAGTGGAAGGAAGAAAAATAAGGGATGGGAGGCCAGGGGGGAAGATGCTAAAGACATCAACTGTCATTTTCTGGATGAGAAAAAAGAGGAGAGTACGGTCACAGATAACACCGTTAACTATTAATAACAAACCTCTAAGTACATCCACTGTCTTTGTACAGTCAGGATCATTTCAGTGACTTCCAAAATGAGGGACAAAGTTCTTTCCCATTTGTCAACCTGGTAAATACAGAACAACGATGAGTGCTTTACTATCATCATGCACCATAATAATTGCAGTCTAGATGAAAAGCTCAACCACCAAGGCGCTGATGAATGAGTGAACCCGTCAAATCAGTTACAATCGTAAGAACAGTGACTTGCCATTTTCATCAAAGCTGGCTAGGAGGCCCAATGAACTGATGGTACAGAAATCTTTGGTCCCCACCGTTGCTGGTACACATTACCTAAGGACATCTAGTTTAGCTTTCCATACGTAAGTATTTCGTTATGTTTTTCAAAGTTCTCACCTCAGCTTCAAACGCTTTGACATATCGTGACGCCTTCATGGTGGACAAGGTAACCTGGTTGTCTTCCAACTGCTGGAAGACGTCATCAGTTGCTCTGAAAATAAAAGAAAATGCCTTTAATAATGCTTAATAATTCATGTCAATGGCCTTCCACCATAAACATATAAAAACCTAGGAATGTTGACAAGTCCTTGATGACAAGCATTTTGAGTCGGGGCAAAACAAATCTATGTTGCTTGATAATTCATTCAATGACCTGCCGACATGTTTTCGCTTAAGCCTAGGAAAATTGACAAGTCCTTGATGACAAGCATTTTAACTGATAATAACATAAGAGTGCTGAGGAGCGAGAAACTGCGACTAACACGTAAGTTTTAATTTATAGTCATGTGGAACTGTACGCTTGAGCACCAGTATAAGAGTCATTCAGTACATTGTAAGAAAACATAACATCCATCCAACAACACCAAAGATATTCTGAAATTACACAAAGAACTGAAGGAAACCTGCTCTTATTTCCTGAAGAGTAAAGCAAATGTCCGGAAATCAAACAATATACTTAACACACAAGTTAACACTTAAGTTAATCACCAATTCAAATTTTAACTACTAAATGAGAATGCAACAAATGTCTCATCCACTCAACTCTACAAATTGATAATTGTAAACAATTTCCAATATTCCTACTTTAGTCTGAAGTGTCCACGGTCCTTGTAGGGTCCGATGTCCAGGGTAATCTGTTCCCAACTTTCTGCGATGCTTGCAATGGCCTTATAACCAACAAAAAGCATTATCGTTATGAAGTGATTTTTCTTCCCTTGAAATAAAAGAACCCCTAATTAAGATGAACGCATCCAGAGATAGTTAACATGGAAGCACTTTTGCAAGTCTACTAGTAGAGAACAGGTAGAGAGTAACTAGCCTGTTTGTTTAACCTGACTGTCGAAGAAAGATCAAGTTAACACACCATTAGCAGAAACAGTTCTAATGTAACCAAGCAAAAGACCGAATATAAGTGTGCAACCCTTCGCCGCCCTTTTCTTTAATCACCAAAAATGAGATCTTCCCCAATTAGCGTCAGCTAAATACATCGACACATGAATAAAGTTCATCATCATCATCATCATCATCATCTTCTAGGACTGACAGAAAAATGAAGACCATAAGTGGCATACTTGTTCGATGGACAGCTCTTTGCTAGCAGCGCCAGACACTTCACTGATTTGCTCTGCAAACTGATCCAAGCCAAGCTCAATGATCTTTTCGAGAGTAAAATCGTCAGCTGAAAAATAGAAAAATAAGTTAGTCAGCAACAACGTTAAATGTTTTCACGCGGGTTGATTCTCAATTTTCTTTGCGCCTGGGGCTGGGAGACAAAAGAAGGTTAAGAGCCAAGCCAGGCTGAATCAATATTGACCTGACTGAAATCAGATTAGACCTGTGACATTCTTGTATTACAAGTACAGTGGTATAGCGGCATTCACGCGTCATATCTTCATAGACTGAAACAGTCTACCAAACCATCTCTTCACTCACGAATCATTTTTTACTTTAAATATCATTCTTACTATACCATTTTGTAGATTAGACCTGTTACATTCTTGTATTACAAGTACAGTGGTATAGCGGCATTCACGCGTCATATCTTCATAGACTGAAACAGTCTACCAAACCATCTCTTCACTCACGAATCATTTTTTACTTTAAATATCATTCTTACTATACCATTTTGTACCTGCACTAATGATTTTTACGCGCGTTTTTTATAATTTTTTAATATTTTTAAAGTTCAGTTCTGGAACTTCTTATAGGGATAACCTCGCGGTCCACCTTTTCAAATATGTATCATGTATCATGTTTATATGCATATATGTATTTGAATGAAGTATTTTTATTATCTTCTAAGCTTGATACGGTCTATAGAGCAAAAATACTATCGATTTTTATTTTCTGCAAATCAGTAGCTAATCAGCAAACCCAACGGCCTTATTGCTGAAACTAAGTTTACACATGTAGAAGTTATGTACAACTATAAAACATATTCACCATTGTGGTCAAAAGGCTTCTGAACCTCAGACTTGATCTGCGCCCAGTGCCTGTCCCTCATAGCTGGATTTTTCAAGTCTTGGATCAGAGGCATGGTACGCTTGAACTGCTCAATACGCGACTTGATGGAATCACAGATCTCCCAATTTTTATCCTTCAAAAGCAAGTTCAAACCATTATTGGTTAACTACATAGCAAAGTGCAATCTCTTCTTTTACGTCGCCAAAGGTTCAGTTGATTCAATTCTTTTTTCCCCCGAAGATCGGAGTAAACCTTAAAGCAAAAAATACTGATATCCAGTGTCTCCTTAACCTTGAAGGAGCCACTTTAAATAGTTTACAACAGATTGAAACCATCTTGGAAGCTAATTTAAAACTCCCATGGTTAAATGTTATGGTCCAGCTGTTGAATCGTATTTCAATGTAACTGGTTGGTCCAAAATAGTTTCATTCAAAAAGCAAGATAAGAATTCCAAAATCATACTAAGAGGTTTTGATAAGCTTATCAGCAGTTCGTATATTTTAGAAAAGATTGTATAGTCTATAGATGACAATTGATTTACCCTGAATGAATGTAACCTCCGTACCTTGACTTCTCTGACCAACTTGTTCAGTCTCTTGAAAAGCAGCTGTGATGTTGTCTCCATATCTGTGGTAACCAGTTCCTGAAACTTGCCGACCTTCCAGGCATCCCAGAGCTCTTCCCATTCCTTGGTGATTGTCCAAACTTGCTCCAGATATTCCAGATCCTTCTCTATTCCTTGCAAGTCCTTTGACGGTGGTTGCTCGATCTTAAAGATGTTTAGTCCTCGTCTAAGCTTAGTTTCTTGAGACTTTAGATTGGTGACTTGTTCCTGGTAAGTTCGTACCTCTTCTAAGGCCTAAACAAGACAAACAATAGTAATTCAAAGGGTTTTAATTTTCTAAACTACTAGCAAACATACAACACAAAAGAGAGACGCTACATAAGGCAGTGAAATGCAAAAAAAAAAATACCATGGGATAGGAATTGGCTATGCAATTCACGGGCTGTCAGGGATCAAAACTGATCAAACCTCTTTTCAAGAACTTCCGAAACACTTGGCATTATAGAGAGAACAGACATTTACAAACCTCTTTAACAGATATAGAGCTGCTATAAGGTCCCTTGTTCTGAAATTCATCAAACAATGTAGTCACTGTTTTCTTAAAGTCTTCAGAAGAATGGATTAGCCCAGTCTTGAACTTCTCCTTGCTCTTCTTCAGCATAGCATCGCTGTCAATCAGACACTGTTGAAAGGACACCCATTCGCCGTTCAACTGGTCCAACATCTGCTGTACCTGTTACAAAATTAACGTAACCTGCACTTAACAAGACAAAGTCATTACGATGCGTTGATAGTCATTCCAAGTGAGGAGTTTTCTGGGAAAATTTTTCTTTCATAAACCACTAGCTCTAGTTACGACCAGCATTGTTAAAGCCTCTTTCAGCGCTAAGAAAAGCTCTCGTAAGCAACCGCAGACAGTTTTGTGAATTACTGGGTAGTCTTTTCCTTTTTTCTTAAGTTCTGTTAAGCAACCACTCAGAATAAAAATATCCAACTTCTTGATAAAAAAATCTACCTTAATAAATAACACATTAAGCACTAGTGGCTCTGGTGTTAACTCTTGATGTGATGAAGAAAAGAAGAGACTACAGGAATTTAATATTAGTTTTACCTGAGTATATTGGTCATTAACAACACATACTAAGCACTAGTAAGAGACCGTCCTAAATACTATGTTTTTTTAAAGCTGGTTTCTCCTAGCATCAGGGATAAAACAAGTTGGGAACGGAGACGACTTTTTTTTGGTGGAGGTGGAGGAGTGAGGTACAGTGGTACAGAAAATAATATACTACTACTACTACTACTACTATTTTTTGTCGTTACTTCTCTCACTGTATCTCAACTACACACCTCTTCAGGGATAGCAACCTCGTACTTCTCAAGAATAGCAAACTGCTGATGTAGAGGGGGGAATTTCGCTTCAATGTTGGACAAGTCTTGTTGAAGTTGCTCTAAGAGAGCCAGACTATCACCAAGCTGGTCAAGAGTTTCTGGAGGAGCACTGAGTCTGTAAAGATCACAAAGTTACTGTAAATTTCCTAATAACACGGGACAAGAATAGACTTTCAAAAAGTCCTTCATCGGATTTCATATGGCGCGGGACGACCTCTCGCGACTTCATCGCTCGCCAAGAGGTCGACTTGTAGCAAGTCTAGGGACAAGAACTATGACTTTAAATCCTAAATAATGCTAGCAGATAAGGAGTATTAAAACCGTCCATCTTTGTGACGTTGCTTGAACTATTCTTCTTCGTGACTTTGCTGTGCTTGTTTAGCTGGTTGAAGTTTTAACTCATCTGTTGCTGTGGTATACCAAAACACTCCTTTATTTCAAGTATCAAACATCTTACCAAATTTACGAACTCAGCTCCACCCAACACTATGCTTATCTCCATAACTCTTCTTGACATCCTTATGAAGCCAAAAAATACACTAACAAGGTGGTTGTGCCAAACTAAGTGCAGCACTCATATCTAAGACCTAATGTTAGAAGTGTAATTATATGAACCTTTAGATTATATAAATGACATGCGACGGGGGTAGCCTTTTACTGGAAGTTAGACACAAATTTTTATCCCTAGAATATCCGTCTCAGATGACGTTATATATGTATAACAGAATGAAAAGATAATGACCAATACCCATACCCGGACAATACTCAATAGTTTCTGTAACATCAAGAAATATTCATAACTAGTGATATCAATGTAGGGAACGCTCATTTCATAGTACACTAAACTTCAACTTTACTTTATAACCAAGATGGCGATTTTGAACATTATTGGTTTATGACCAGCCATCGATGCTATGTGAAGTAACGTACTGATAAATAGAATTGAGTATCACGTAACCTTCGATAATAATACTGGAAAACTTACTTCTTTGCATTATTCTTCAGGAAATTAGTCAACTCCAGCAGTTTCTGGCTTCCCATTTCCCGCAGCAGGGTTGTGAACTTGCTTTGCCATTCATTGCAGTGGCTTAAAAGTGCAAACTTTAGAGGTGAGTTGTCCAGAAGCACAAAGTCGATATTAAGTACTGTCTCTTCCTTCTGAAAATTGTTGGCAATTTCTGTATACCTGGAAAGAAAACACTGACATTCAGCATTGCTTGGGCTCAAACCAGGGACAAACTTTTCCAAATTGTCAGTATTACTAACCGCAAATTTACCTGCAATATCTCTTAAGTGAATGATACAGTGTTTAACCGTTTGATAGTCCGCAAACGTAATGTTGAATGACGCTAAAAAACTTATTGAATACGTAGAAAACAAATTACGTAACGCTTTAGAAACGAACAGGTTGCAACTTCTTTCATCAAAACTTTGAATCATGGTTTACTTCAAAATTGTACTGTTTAAAGCCAAAATTACACAAACCTGTAAATGTCAGCGTCAAAGGAGGACACCGGTGGGTTAAGTCTCTGATATCTCCTGATGAAAGCGTCTTTCTGTATTTCCCAGATTTCCCGGTAGCTAAAGAGTTAATGCTTCATTAGTCATTAAATAATAATAATGATAATAATAATATATGGGTATTAAAAAAGGTGTCAAATACTGCTGGGTTTACTTAAGCAAGTTAAGGTTTCAGCTTGTATTTCCTTCACTGCTGGATAGATCCAAGGTGAAATGAGGAGCAGAACCACTCTGACTTACTTGTTAGACTGTAGTTTGTTTGTCCTGCGTTTATTCTAGAGCATGACATTGCGGAATTTTCGTGATTTTAAAGATAATTGAAAGCTTCACAATTCATTTGTAAATGGGGCAAATGGGGGATGAAATAATTTAAAATTTTATAGACAATTCGATTCTAAATTATAGTAGATAGGATAGTTTCCCTAACCAGTGTCCCACAAAGTCCAACCTTTAAAAGGGAACAGATCCCCCCAACCTTCTTCGAAGTTGCTGTCTTTAACGCTGATATCAGGATCTGACAGTGTGAATGGTCAGGTGGCAGATAATGTTAATGATCTGTTAAAATGCCAGAAAGAAAACTCGTAATCTCAACCTACCTGTCCCAGGTGCTGAGGTACGACTGAAGATGAGAGGCATTAGCAGACATGCCAGCTTTGATACTTGCTTGAATCTTTTTTGTCTCATCGTCTTTTTCAATGATCACGTACACAGGCTAAAAAATGAAACAGGAATGATTTAGGTTTGCTTTGAGCCCTTTTCATAATCTGGACAATTTTCTGTTGCGATAAATCTTTAAAAAGATGAAATTACCTCTTTAGTTGACCTCTTCTTGGTCAGAAGATCTGGAAGTCGCTGGAAAATTGACAGACAGGCTGTCAGCTGAACTGCAATGTTGTCCATCATGCTGGCAAGTTTCTTCAGTGTTGGAGAAAATTCAACCTGGATATTAAGATAACAAACAGTGAGCAATATTTAGTTTAATCACGACATTGTGCATCCAAAAGTATTCTCCCATAAAGTGGATAGTCAAGGCTAAATTCTGAACCATAAACAGCTTATAGCAATCAAAGTTCTCCTTACTGATACCTCCCCATTATGTTATTATTATTATCTTTTTTGGGGGGGGTTGAGTGAAAATATCAAACTTCGTACAATCCTAACCTATATAATTAATAAGGTTTCTTAGGTTAGTCTACTTGATATCCTTAAAAAGGTCTGTCTGTTTCTGGATTTGAACATCCTCCCTACATTATGCACTCACCTTATCACCCTCCAACACAACTTTAACCCTAAGAAGAGGATTTGGAGCGCTCTTGCCATCCCCATTAATGGCTCTGGAAAGTTCCTGTAATGACCATTTTACATTTAGTCGAAATGCTTCCTCCACCATGCGATCCATTTTCTCTGTGTAACGTAGCCAGTGGGCTTGAACCTGAAATTTAAACAAGACAAACCATTAACTACAATGGTTAAACTTTTTTTTAACAATAACTGAGCGATTTCTCACGTGTCAATTGGTTGAGACTAGTACATTTGATAAGAGTACAGACCATGGAAATGACGTGATGGTTGTGAAATTTGTTTGTCTCTTTCTCGCGAACGAAATTTTCCCAAAAGCTTCAACGGTGAGAGACGTCAAAACTGTGTTATTGTAGAAACAAACTTTGCAGTGAAACACTGTATATCATTTCTTAACATACCTCTTGTCCATCATGCTTGAAAACCTCATAAGTCTGCTTCATGGTACCAACAATTTCCACATGGATGACTTGCAGTCTTGTTTGTACAATACCGCGATGGCTTTTCTGTAAACAAAATGAATAGAATAGAATAGTGTCCATATACTTACAGTACTTCTAGTGATTATAGGAATGCCCACACGATAAGGCAGAAAGTAGGTCCTTTGACTGTCTGCAGTTCCTTATTTTTCCATTAAATTGTCCAAATCGAGCCCTTACCGTTAAGGGCTGCCATCTTGTTTTCATATGTACCAAGGGCACGGGCCCTGGGGTTTATAGTGGTGCAGGGGGGATTTTTCTTGGCTACACCCATCTGAAACCAAGATGCCCGTCCAAGACGGTAAGTGCTCGATCCGGACGATCTTCTGAGAAAACAGGGGACTGTGAATAGTTTAGTAGGTCCTGGTTGTTCAAACATTGGATAGTACTCTCCACAAGATAACAGGGTAACCGGTCATTTTGCCCCGCTAAATTAGCCCCTATGTTCAAGTCATTCAGCGCACTTCAAATGTAATATTCCTCGTTCTATAAGCCAGAAAGCAAAACAAGTGCACTTCAAATGTAATATTCCTCGCTCTAGAAAAGAGGGCTAAGTAACCAGGGCAAAATGACTTGGGGGCTAAATGACCGGAACCAATAAAACAGTGGATGGATATGTATTAGAGAAACAACTTGCATTATCTCAGTGGATATATAGCAGTATCTAGCCTTTGAGCAGCTGGACGGCAGATATCTGAGACAGCTCACCAACAAAAAACTCTAAACCTTGTCAAATGGACAAGCCATCACAGCACTAATGGTCTAGTTATTTAGGTAGTAAGAGCAGTGAGATAATGGAAATATGAGAATAAAAATAACAAGCATAATGACCGTATTACCTGTTCCTCTTCGAATTCCAAGTTTTCATAGTGCTTCTTGCCATCAATCTTAACCAGTAGCATCTCACTGATCTTCTTACAGTTCTTAGAAATGGTCAAGTTTGCATTCTTGTAGTCATCAACAATTTCTTGTACCTACAAAACATGTAAAAAAAAAGGAATACAATGGTACCTCTTTCAACATTTTTCTCTGCCAGCCTATTATTAAATCTCTCAAATTATTATCCAACTACATTGACGCCACTTAATAATGCCAACCACATACACTGTAGACAGTGCTAGCAGCAAGAGTTGTGAAAACTATATAACATCAGCAAGGTAAGAAAATTATAAGACCTTCACTTCACTATACTAGTAGTGCCAGTTGTTATCAAAAGTAATTCAAAACCTTCAGTCCCAATAAAAGTGTGATACTAAACTCTTGTCAACTTCAATTTTTCATTTGACAACGGATTAAATGTCATAGATCAGGCTCAAGGCTGGTAATATTTATCCTTCAGAAATGAATAAATATACATCTCTGTTCTTTTAAGTTATTTGAGGGTGTGATTAGTCTCAGTGAGAGCCTTTTACCTTACTACAGTTATTTCTGCACTCTCCAATGAAGTAATCTGAGATTCCTTTGGATGCCCATGTCAGCTTAGTCAAACCAGGATGGATTTTTTTGTCCAGTGATCGGATTCTCTCCCTGAACAATCCACGTTCTTCAGATGACAAAACAGCAATGATTCTGTTGATCAAGTAAAAACAAAGTATGTAAACGCTTTTCTCTTGGCTTTTGCTCTGTCTGATAACTTGTAAGTCCTGTTACTATTTTATCTGTGTTTGATGAAAGCTCACCAACTCTGTACACTTACTGAGCTTTCCTTCCAATGCATTCAGTTGATTGACAGACATGGAGGCTGTTATAATTCCAATATTACTTCTAGACTCAAACAGTTTTCTTTTGTTTTTTAACAGCCTATGTCAACCATGACAATGCAAGCTCATGTACTGTTTCAGCACTAACCTGTTGTAGTCACGGACAACAAGAAGCACATTTTCTCTGAGAATACGTAGATCTTCCTTCTTCATGTACAGTTCAGACACATAATGTGGTGTCTCAAACATCAGCTTTTCCCAGTACTGGATTTCATTAAACAATTTCAGAAGAGTTCTGTAATAGAAAACAAATATCCTTTAACCCTTCAAGCCCCAAGAGAGGGAGCAAAATCAAATAATATTAATAAACAATAAGTAATTAACTGAATGAAAAAAATGAAATGACAAAATGACAAAATGTTACAATGTAATAACCTGTCAAAATTGAGATCAAGTGTTCCTGATCTATCAAGACTGCGACGCATCAAAGGAATCTCCAGAAGTCTGGTAGCATCTTTGTCAACAGTAGATGTCCACTCATTAAATGTTTTCCTCACAAATTCATCAAGGGCCTGCAGATTATGTAATGTAATGGAAGGACATTGAATATTTAGTACTTACAGCCCTCCTAGAGCAGCATCACGTCAACATGGTATCACGTGTTATGAGTAATAAAAAATAATGAACACAGACATTGACAAAAAAATTACCAGAGTCTTCCAAGAATTTATGTTTTTTTCAATTTCATGACCATTCTCAGAGATCCAAGGACAAATAGTTGGGTTTAGATAAAGGACTTAAATTTAAAAGGAAAAATATCTTTCCACACATCTTGAGTTGAATTACATCAAAAAACGTTTAATATATTAATTTTCATTTTTTTACCTGAGCAAGCTGTTGATATTGTGACCTAATCTCCTCACCAGTTCCAATCAGAGGCAGAAAGAAGGCTTTATTTAAAACCTGTGTAAAACAGAAAAATATTGGGATTTTCCTCAGTTATTTGTGTTTATGATCAGACTTTTCTTGATCAGATCACAGAAACAATACGTTAAAATGCCCGAGGAAGACATTGTTATTGGGTCTTTATAATATTTGGAAGAAGGAGATTTCTAACACCAGCAAGCTCAGAAAGAATTCTGAGCTCTGGGTGAGAATCTAACTTACTGAATTTTTTTCTTTTGGGAATCTGGACATTATCTGGTGTTCTTTGTTTATTACAAATGTATGTTTTCATAGTAATCAGTTTTTTCCTTCTAATAAACATAAATGGGGACCTCCTAGGAAAAGCAGTAATCTTCACACTTCCACATTTTTAAATCTTAAGGCAACTAAAATTTGAATGAAAGCACTGTAGGTGTTTAATATTTTGTATGGATCTAAAAAAATATAATACCCACCAAAGAAGGGTCATTGGAAATCTGAGGGGAAGGGGGGTCATGCCAAACTTTTTTAAAGGAAAAAGGTGGGGAAGGGGCTCAAAATAAAAAAGCCATTCATAAGGGAAGAATTGATACTTTCTGGAACAAAACATTCAAGGTTAAAATAATCCTCTATTAATATTTACATTCATTGGTCGATCTATACGTCTTTTGAGCATCCTAGCCCATGCCGCAGATCCTGCATAATTTGGGTACATCGGTGGTAAATCTACAGTCTTGGTGTTGAACTCTTTCTTGACAAGATTTAGTTCTTCATTAAAGAGCTGGTACACCTCCACTGTTTTCTTGTCAATTGTTCTTTTTATGGCCTACAATTAACACAAATGAAAACTCTTTGAGCATTCTTATACCTATATAAAATTACTTTATGGGCAAAGGTCAAATTCCTCTATCAGGAAAGTTGAATTAATATTTTATTCTTTGTATAAATGGCCCCATCATTTCCAGAATTTCATATCAACGAAAACTTAAAACACAACATCTAACTCTAATTTAGAACATAAAATACCACCAGGGTCAGTTATAACGCAGCAGATTTGACAGAGAAAAGTTTAGGGCTGATTTCTTTGTTATCACTTAGGATAAGAAAAGAAGTAGTATTGACAAATCTAGCGCTGTCACTAAGTGAAGGGGGCTGGCCATGATGGGGATTTGCCCATCTCTACAAGCATGACCTCTTTCATAAGACACAAAGTTGAACTAAAAGAACTTTCTAGAAGTTCAGTTCCCCCCCTACTAACTGCATATTCCCAAAAACTTGAAATCTTAGAGACAGCCCTGTTGAACCCTCAAAATATTCAAAGACCACTCTTCTTAAAACCATCAAGACGGAACACAGTCAGCTGTTGCTTTGAAATTGTTTATACTGAAATGTGTTCTATAGTACCTCACGTGATGACAAATGTTGGAAGATATCCAAGATTTCCACTCCCTCTTGAACAGTCGTTATTGTATCAAACGCAGAGGAGATAAGATTTTGAACCATAACTTCTAAATCCTTCACACCAGCACGAAACCTTAAAACAAACACATCAGTATTCAATTACCATGTACCAGAAAAAACTCATGATGCACAATCCAAAATTGAGCAAACTACAGTGTATAATCTCTAAAAAAATGACCATGAAGGTGTCTTGTCATCAATGATAAACATAATTATCAAAGTTAGCCCAAAATATGAGTTAAATAAGGCAACATCAAACGCAACTTTGTTTTTACTACAGTGAGTCTTTCTTTACATTCAATTTCACGAACACAATAATATTGACAATTATAACAACATTCAACAAACTTCATAATTGTCATTATTCAGGACCACGGCTATTTTCTGTTTCTTTTAAAGTAATTTGCCTTCACTTACCTGTTATAATCATCATGCCATGTAGTTGCCTAGTTAAAAAACAGAAAAAGCTGAAAGTAATTTTATGACTAACAACTAATTTTTCTGGTAATTTTAATACAATCGTGATCGCCTCCTGATAACTTAAACCCTTGCTAACGCAAACCAAAATAGATTTCACCTCGATTTCCTTCATACATTTACTGTAATTTTACCCTCGGTAACACAAACCCTGGATAACTCGAACCTCCTGCTAACTCAAAGTAATTTTTCTTTCCCTTCCGATCATTTCAATACAATTTTACCCTTGATAACTCTAACCATGATTTTAAGTGTAGCGAACTCCAGTTCATTAAACACTGAATGTATTTCAAACCAACCGTGTATAAATTCTTTGTCTTTACTTTTTTGTTAATCCAATTTAAATACAATGTTTAGCCCTGTACTGATTAATCAAGCTTTGTAATTGTTGTTTAATTCCTCTTTTAAAATAGCAAAATTTATCTCGCTGCCGGCCCTTGAAGTGCAGTGTGTATGCTACTTGCATTCCTCCCCTCCCCCATGATCCCATTTCCTTACTTCTAGTTATTTGCTTCGAACTCCCGATAACTCAAACTTTTTTCAATTTCCCTTGAAGGTTCAAGTTATCAGGAGTTGACCGTACAATATTATTGTACACCAGGCCCCAGTTGTTCAAAAGATAGCACTAACCAACAGATAAATCAATATCTAGAAGTATAAGAAAAACTGATTTCGCTTTAATTTTAGTGGATAAAGTGATTTATCCACTGTTTTATGGCATTATCCTTTGAAAATTCCCTCTTTAAGTACAGTCTTTCTGTTCCTTTACAATTTAGCCTTTAAGACACTTCTCCCCTGCCTATTTGTGAGTAAGGATATTTTCTGAAACTACACACACTGTTTTTCTATTTTGCTGCTATAGTAAAGTTATTATTCATACCTTGACATCTAAAATGGTTTTCTTCACATCTTTTAAAATCTGCAGATTCTTTTCAAATGTAGCTTCAATCTCCAAGAGACTCCTAACAACCTCCGGGCCTCTTACACCTTGAAAACAGGGTAATGGACTCTTCGCTCCATCATACATTCTGGCAAAGTGGATTTGCCCCTCACACACCTAAAATCACAATATAATTTATCTCTGTTATAAAATACATGCCCAACTTATTGTAACCATCATTACAAACACGAGAATCTATAAAATGTTCCTGCAAGTACAGATTGAAGGGACTGATATAAACAACTGGAAATTGCTGAATATTATCACACACCTTACAGAAGATCGAGTCACAAGAACGAACCACCAACTAATGATAATAACTTTAGAACAGCTCGTCATTCACTCATCTCACACCTGATTATGCAATTTTTTATACATTTTTGAGATGCAATAACATCTCAGTTTTCTTGAGTATGTACAGTCAAAACAGAACAGAGTTTATATACCTCAAGAAGATCTTTGCATCGCTGCACAAAAGCATCAACTTGGGCAAAAATACTGCTCTGATCAAGAATCCATCTTTCACTTGACAGCTTAGAGTGCATTCTACTGATCTGCGTAACAGAGAAAGAGAACATTTAAAACCCATTTACTTTTCACAAAGAATATATTTACCACCTGGCAATTATTGCTAGTAAAATGTGCATGATTGTATCCCTAATACTAAGTAAACTTATGTTTTCAACAAAAAATAAGGATGTTACTTAAATACGGAGTTGTTAGGGTAAAATTCCAACTAGCAACAATGGCCTTAAAATAATGAGATAAATCACACAAAACAGCGACAAATGAAACAAAGGTGGCTAGTTTGAAACAGTGACAGTGACGAATACAAGTGCAAATACAAAAGTATCTACCTACAGGGACATGGCTTCCTTGCCAACATGTGAAACAAATGGTTTTGAACTTCAGATTAGGGATCTACATACCCTCGAAGATAGCCTTATTACCGGTAATCATTTTTGGTCATAAAAAATTAACGATATTCAATAATGCAAATTCAAAATTAATGCATCAGCATCATACCTTGCTGTAAGTACTCTTCCAAGATTCACAGCACTCAATGCTCTCCTGCAAGCCTTGCATACTTGTCTTGATTCGACCCTCAAATATATCATCCAGTGATATCTTGGTGCTGCATCTCTTGATAATCTCGTTACTCACCTATGCGGGGCCAATAGTAACTGTTTAAAATCTACTTTCTACAAGAGACATTTTTTTCAAAATGTGGGTCATAGCCAAAAAATTCCTTTAGTGTTTTTGAATTCTCTGAAGCCAAACTGGTGCACACTCTCCTTACATTTGCTGAATGCGGGACAGGCAATATATTAAGAGGCCACGTTTCCAAAGTGTTTAAACAGAGTACATGTGTAGCCACTTTCTGCTACAGGCTACAAAGAAGCAGAGTTGGATATGCCTATAAATCTTGGGTACAAGAGTCCAGCTCATTTCTTAAAACCCTAATCCAAACTATGCAATATTTCTAATCCTTTTTATAGCTCAAAATAATTATTATGCACCTCTGCACCAACAGCCATTCCCAAGAAACTCCAAGAAAATATCTGTTTTTTTTAAAACACCTAACACCATCAGGCCAAAACAGAATACAAACTACACTTTTTGAGTCAGTATACACCTTTACTGTAGTCTGAAAAAAAACAATGCCAGTCCTAGAAATTCTGGAAGTACCTAGAGCACTGGGTATAACAATGTGTACAAAACATTGAGTCATAAAAGAGTTTGAGATGTGGAGCCTGTGTGGGCAGAGGGTGCAGGTGGGTTCTCCTATAAAATTAAGATAGGTGTGTCCTATGAAGGTTGAGACAAACGAAAACTGATACCCTATAAAAAACCCAAACCTGAAAAATGCACCCTATTCAAGGGGGAAAATGTTAATCTAATTAAAGCAATGCACAAACCTTCATTAAATCGCTTTCCAAATACTCTAAGCAATAGCTCAGTTCTAACAGATAATTTTTTTCTCCTATAGCTGGGCATTTTTATACACCTGAATTTTAGCTGATACAATTTAAGTACCCTATCCGAGGAACACACCGGGAACACAATACAAAAACGGGTAAAAATAATCTACCCTTTTTAAGGATCAAGACCCTCAAAAACCATATGCTATCACCGGGACAAACCCCTGAGTTGCTGTAAGTTCAGACAAGACTTCACTTACTTTGCACCCTATTTCACCATATGCTACTTTACCAAATACTAAATCTACCTTTCTGAGAAGACCAGTGAGCCTCTCTCTACTCTTGTAATGTTCAGAGTTCATCCAGATCATACGAATAATGTTCAGTATTTTTGACAACATGCCAGGAATGTCTTTAGGTTGAGCCTGAGCAAGTTCCTCACAAGGTCCTTTGAGTGTTGACAGGAACTTTAAATTACTCTGTGCCTGTGCTGACCCATCCTGATAGCAAACAAAACATTTTAAAATGATTGATAATCAGAGGCATTTTGCAGCTATTCATTCAAGTGGTACAAACCTTCTATCAAATGCTGGAGTGTAAGGGATGTACTGTAACAAGACAAACAAGAGGCTTACAGTGTACATCATTAAATAAAGTGGAGATTTTGCCGAAAAAAAGTGTTTTGAAGCTAGTTGAGTGGTTTCCTGGTCACTGTCATGCTATAAAGAGCTAAAACTTACCACAAACCGGTTTACAGGTTGCACACTTCAAGGCCTTCTGATCCAGATGCAAAATATCAGCTTGCGAAGTTTGGGCATGCGCAGAAAGCAAAATTTTGAGATAGTTTTTGGGTTTAAAAGTGACACAGCAGTCTTAACTTTTACTTTTCGCTTTCTCTCCTCCCCTCTTTTTTCGCTTTTCTTGCCTCATTTTTTTTTCCTCTTGCTAGGCATTAAGGCTTCATTTTGGTGGGAATAGTTTTTTAGGAAAGCTTTTAGGATCTTAGGATTAGGTGAAAGGAAAGGTAGGTGGGCAATGGAACAAGATTTTCATGGAGATTTTCAGGTCAATGTTACATGGTTTTTTGCCTCTTTCTTCGGTGTCCTTGACTGAATTCTGCTCATTCTGGTATGGTTTGAAAGATCTCTTCACTCTGCACAAGTTAGCAGACAAAGTTGTCCTTGACCATGAAAACTGATGACGTCACAAAGGGCAGAAAGGATGTGGACCTGCACGGGCAGTTCAGGGGCAAATGGGTTAAACAAAGGCCAGAAAAACATAGATTTTTTTTGTTATTGTTTTTTTTTTCATACAAGAACACCACAACTCATACACAAAGAGTTAACTATAGGGTTGCATACAAGTTTATTGGTCTAAGAAAAGCAAGGGGAGAAATTTTTAACAATATTATTCATCAACAGTGTTCAAACATTAACCGAAACAGTATCATTCTATAGTCATCATTTTTCAATAGAGTGATTTTTATTATTACTGACAACCACATATATAATCTGCCATCTTAAGCTACTTAATATCATTAGTCATACATCAGGACTTTGAAATATCAGATTGCAATAAAGGCACAAACCTGAATGAGCTTTGAGAGTTTGAGAAATGGTGCAACATAAGAACTCTTGGAATGCTCCAAAACAGACTGTATTCTTTGAACTCCTGGTTTGTCCAGCTGTTCACTAATACCTGAGAGATCGGCACAGCGACTACGCCAGAACTCAATCTCTTCTAGTGGCCCGGAATTCTCTGCTGCCTCAAAAGTGTCCTGACTACTTAGCACTTCCTTAATTTGCCGTGTCCAGTGAATCATTGCAGCTGAAAACCAAAGAATTGCATAAGTCACACTGATGAAAATGTTGTATTTGAGAGCTACTAAATGATCAGCAGCTTGTCTCAGGAGCCATTCACACTTACCAATAGCATTCAGAAGGATCTACATTGTAAATGAGATCAAACTCCGACAGATCAAGGTGACACCACCTTCCAAGAATATTAAATCCAGATGAATCTCAACAGAGTAATTGGGAGTGATTATGTTGTATGTTAAATCTGTTATCAGGTTAAACCAGGGGTTAATTCAATAAAACGTTTACAAGGTTAGTGTGTTTTTTTACAAGAGTAGCTATTGTTTTAGGGTACAAAAACAATAGTTGACCCCAGTAGTCAGCTAGCCTAGTTTGATTCACAGTCTCATTACTTTCCTAGCTTTACTTACTTCTAGGAGACAGGAAATTCTGGTTTAACATGGAAATGGGTTTCACCTACAACATTTTATACTGGGGTTGCAAAATTGGATTAGTCAAAGTGGTAACAGTGTGTGGCCCCTGAGTTACAAAACAGTATGGTTCTAAAAAGAACGTTATAATGAAATGTTTCTTACTTTCCAAACGTTGCACAAATTCTTTACTCTTGGCTGCCTCTTCGATAGAAAGCCTTGTTCCTTCATTTGGGACGTATAATACTGTCTTTCCTTGCATCTTGTGCCGAGTGTCTGTTAAATTGGCCATAAACTTGTGTAGTTGAGCTGAGAAATCATTTTTAATGCCTTATTTGTGATTAAGGGTAATAATACTTCTTCCTTGAATAAAAAACATCAACTATTTTTCAGCAATAAGGTACAACAACATTGATCTTTGATACCAAGGGCTGGTTGAAAATTTCATAAAGGTAGCATCATCTCTTTTTAACATTTTAAAGGACAAGTTCACTCCAGAAGGGACATTTTTCTAATCAAAAATAGAGAGATTACAGCACCTCTAGTTACTGACCATTTTCTGAGTCTCCAAGTTCTATCAAATTATTATCCAAACATTGTCAAAAATTATTCAGTAATCATGAGGTGCTATTTTTATCATACTGAGCTAACTGGTCCTCAGAGCTGTCATTAAGGCCTGTAAACTGTACCACCTGTCATGGCTGATCTCACTAATCCTTGTCTTGATTCTACGAGTGATCACAGTGAAAAGCTTAAGAATACACTGTAAATTTTTTGTGAGATCTTTCAGGTGAATTGTGATTGTTACAGCTGCTTCAAAACTTGTTGACAGCCCTAGGTACTCCTATTCACTAAGTCATTCTGCCTGGTTAGCTCAGTTGGGAGAGCGCCGGTCTACTGAGCGGGAGGTCGCGGGTTCAAACCCGGCGGCATGTATTAAATTGTGGGACGTTAAAGCTGCTTCAAAAGTGCCTTGTTCACATCTCACTTTCACACTCATGTATGGGGGCATCATTACTCATTCCTTCACTACTTGTAAACTGCACCTTAAGCAGTCTGGCAAAGTCCCCCAACCAGTGTTGTAAATTATCCCTGAAAAGCCCTGAGGGGAGTGGATAATAAGATATTTACAATTTACAAATTCAAGTGGCTGGACATTTAAGATTACATGTACAGTGTATGCAAGTAGCCACTAATGAGTTTCCTACCAAGAATTGACATGATCCTTGATAAAAGCGTCTATACACCTCTGACATTATGAATTATTTACTCGCCCTTTCTTTACACATAAGTCTTTAGTAGTAATATTATTACTAATTAATATTATCAATTTTAATATTAACATTAATCATCAAAAAGGATACTATCTGGCCAAGATTTATTTCCAAAAAACAAAGGGGCATACACATTTGTCATCAATCTCAGTAGACTTTCAATATGGTTAGCTTTGATTGTACCAAACTTCAATTTCTGTTCAATGTTATCAGGTGTGATGACTGCATTTTCAAACCTGATCATGTACGTCATTTCTTCAACAGGATGGGGAGGGACAGACAGTGCCACTTGTAATCCAAGTAGCTTGTCAACATAAACCACTAACAGCCTGTGAGTGTAGTCCCTTAGGAACTTGACTATAGTAGCATCATGCTCTGCTGTCCACATGTCAGCTTTTAGTGCACTTAAGGTGACTCTTTCCTTAATCAATGGTACCTTAAAAAGGTAAATAATCATAATTCTTCATAAGTACAATAAAGATTAATGGATACGATCCTCATTAAACCCATTTGCAGAATAACAAACTGCTTTCAAGCTGTATTCCTGAAAGAACTGAATATGTTACAGGTCAAAATTAAATACAGGTTAAAATTTTTAAACCATGTTGATTATCAATTTCCTTTGTCTCCTAGCCCTAATTATTTAACCTGAATATACAAGTAACTTTGACCTGTAACATATCCACTCATTACTATACATTTGTACTCACTATCTATCTTCTCACTGGCTAAGACCCTACCGTTAATTTTGGAAATCTGTACAACCTACAAATTAGTTAGTTATCTGCTAGCAGATAACTGACTAATCTGTAGGTTGCGCACACAATGCATGATTTCCAAGAGCAATGTCAAATCAGTTCTGTGCAACGGTGCATTTGTTGTTATTTATTTCAAAACAATGTATAATAAAACAATTTTTAGCTTTGGTTTTTGTGATATCCGGAAAAATCAAGGTCAAGGTAAGTGTATTCAGCTGAGCCAAAAGGCCGAGGCTGATGACACTGACCTCGACCTTGATTATTCCAGATATCACAAAAACCTCATCCAATAATTGTTTATTATTACGAGTTGCTTCACAGGGGCATGAAAAGCACTGTCAAAACTAGAATTACAGCTTTGTCTTAACTCAATGTATCTGTGTAAAGCTATGCCCAACAGACACATCTGCACCTGCGCTCAGTGCACATAACCCATTTAGGCTGATCTGACAGTAGCTTAAACTGTAGTCTTTTAGATCTAAGAGATTGAAGTACAAGTATAACGCGTACTTCAATCTAAAGCTCCCTACCACGATCAAGCCATTTTTCTCTAGTTGCTCAGATCAAGATCAAGTCATTTTTCTCTAGTTACTCTCACCATTTCTGCTGGTTCAAATTCTCTCTCGCCTTCCGATCCACCACTGCCGTGACCAGGAGAGACCCTGTCAACTTCCAAACCATTCTCAGACGAAGAATTAGACACGCCATTTTTGTTTTCATCTGGGAGTGCTAGCGTGGAATCCGTCACTGCTCCTGCAGCTTCAGAGGCAACATCTGAAGATCCACCTTGCAAGCTCGTTGCGTCTTCGCGGTCTAAATCCATAGTTTAAGCATAATTTTCTTGCAATGGCTAGTTAAATCAACAAAAATATTGCAAACGCAGTCTGAATTCAACACTTGCAAATTCGTTAAAATACAGTCTGCATCTCTTAGAAAGGCCCGGAAGCTTTCCGCTGAAATATTAGCCTGTTGTAGGTCTTTGTTTTCGCTCTGAATTATGCCTTGACCAAGAGCGTTTATGTTATTAGACTGACAAGACCGCCATTTTTACCCCATAGCAACAACTGCCTCGTTTGTGTGATGCAAGAGTTCCCTCACCAGGATAGGGTGTGCAACGAGTGTGCAACCGAAAATAAGTGAAAGATCAAAACGACCGTGAGGAAAAGACCCGTGTCCGTGACCCGTAAAGAAAAGACCCGTCAGAATATTGGCAATCTAATGATATTCCTAACTGTAAAACCAGCCTTGCTTCTCTCTGTTGGTCATAAATTTCAAAGCTGATTAGACTCTTTTTAGACAAATCGGTCTCCCATTCCATTTTGTTCCGGCTTGGGTATCCTGTGGTTTCGACAAAAATAAAAAACCCGAGTAAAATTACTTGCGTGGGGTGGACGTGTTCATAAAACAGGGGTCAGGCCGCGTTGAATGCAATGATGACTGTCCGTACTTTTCAACTTTATTCTTAGCAAGTTAAGGCCACTACTCCATTTTAAAAATGCCCAAGAGTGAGTCGAGGTCTCGCTCTAGAAGTAAGAGCGGAAGCCCGCGCCGAAAACACAAAAAAGAGCGCAGCTACCGGCGACGATCGCGAAGCGGCTCGCCAAGCTCGTCTTCTTCTAAGAAAAGAAGCCGTGATGGTTCTCCTCGCCGTCGCTCTCGCGATCGATCACCAAGAAGGAAGAGGCGATATTCAAGAAGCAGGAGTCGTTCTCCAAGCGTTGATAGATTTGGTAGATCAATAGTAAAGAGGAAAGCGGACGACTCTGAATCCAAACGGAAAGAGGAAGAAGAAAGATTACTCGAAATGGAACGGCAAAGAAAAATGTGAGAGTATATCTGCTTCGCTTAATTTCTCTTTTTTTTTTCTAAGTTCCCTTTTTCGTTCAAAGGGTTGCTGTAAAGAGTCTTTGTTGGAGTAGATTCTTTTTGAACGCCGAATGAATCAAGTTTAATGATTGGGGTACGGTTCCTAGAAAACTGAGTGAATCAATTTCCAATTCAATGACCCCAAATGAACTTGTTTCACTCAGTTTCCAAGCCCCACTTAAAGCTTCAGAGTCATTTGGCCTTCCGCAAAATACGCCTGTCGGTTTATCTGGAGCCACGTTGCACGATTGAATTTTCTTGTCCCGAGGTCCCTATTATAAAAGGAAGTCCTTGTTAAAAGCCAAACATTTAAACACAAAAGCGAATGCATATTGGAATCCACCGTGGAGCACAACAACAGGGAAATCTAGTTCTTTTGACCCAGTTTCCCGCAGATTTCTATTAACAATTATTTTTCAGGGCTAAATGATGTTGAAGCAGTGATTTTTCCCATCGATCAAACCAAAACTGATTTCCTAATAATGTAACCTCCAGATTTTTCAAACCACCAAAATACCAGGATTTCTCCGTATAACCCAAAGAGAAGAACAATATTAGTTTTGAGCCTGTATACAACTGCCACCTTTGCAGCAGCAATATGTGGTGGCATTTGTGTAGATGTCTCTGTTTAGTACATGTGCATGTGGGGCTGTATAATTTAAATTTACCCTGCTAGTCCAACTTTGACCTTAAGAGAGAAATCTATGGACAAGGTCATGAGCCTTTCTGTGAATATTATGAAAATTGGTTTAGACTTGATTCTCAAAAATTTCACGACTGGTTTGGAAGTAAAGAACATTGGGGGTTTTTAATCTTGTGTACAGCACCTCTTCCAGGGCAACATTGATTTTTGTGGCCTTTTTCGGCAGGTCAAATTATTTTGTTCAGGTTGGGCTGTATCATACTTCCTAACAGAGGAGTGAACCAATTTCAATGTGCGATATATGACATATGTATTTGCTGGTCCAACTGTTTTTTCTAAAGAGATAAATCCGTGGAGAAGCTCATTACTGTTTGCAGCTTAAATGTTGTAAAAATTTGGCTTTAGATTTGGTTTGCAAAATTTAAAGGAAATTGTCTGGAAGTAGGGACTGACAACTTACACTGAACAATATTATTTTTTTATTTATATTCTTTATGGCTATCTCTGATTTACTGCAGAGTTTAATCTGCTTTTATTTGCCAACATGTTTTCAATCTAGTCGTGCAACAGAAAAAGAAAAGATGATGATAGAAGAAGAAACACAGAAACGAGTGGAGGAACTTGTAGCTAAAAGAGTTGAAGAACAGCTCGCAAAAAGAAAAGATGAGATTGATGCTGAAGTTATGAAACGAGTTGAAGAAGCTAAGACAGTAATGGAAAAACAAATGGTTGAAGAATTTGAAAAGCGGCAACAGGAGCAGCTCGAAGAACAACAAATGAAAGAGGTTAATGATATTCATTAGATAGTAATGTATCAGTTTGGGTTCAAAATTTGGGGAGAAGAAAATTATCAAGAGTGAATTGTATCTCCACTTCCCTTGTACACTAACCAAAATTGCCATCATTTTCTCATTCATAGGAACTACACGTGTACTTGTACACTCGTGAATTCCTCTTTCTAGCCCCTTTCCCTCCCTTCTTTACTTTAAAGTTGTGTCATTTTTCTGCAAACACTCAGATTATTTCCACAGATGCGAGCAACCAGTCACTTGAGAAGGGAAACATTGCCAAGTACAGTCTGTCTTTTCAAGCATTTGGATTTAAGCCTTACTATTTTTTGTGCCATTATAGCCTTGAAGTTGACATTTGTGTCAGACATTTGCAAAAGACTTCAATTTTGCAAGAACTGTACATTTTTTGAACTTGCTGAAAGCTTAAGGAACTTTCATCTAATGGAAAAATTATTTAGCGCGCTTCTCATAGGAACATTGCATTAGCGGAACAGAGTTCAAGTCTTCACAAACTCTAAAGAACACTGCAAGGAGCTGTTACCGGGAAGATTTCATAGGAAATGTTAGGCAGCCATGTGTATGTATACTGGTAAAAAAAAGCTGCTCCTTTACATGTGCTTTTTGTGGGCTAAACCAGCTCATAAGCTTTTATTTCAAGTGAAATGTAAAAGTTTGTTTTTGGTGTTTATTGAGGTGGTTTCGCTTTGCTTTAACTGGAAACTGAATTTAATATTTTTATGTTGTCTTTGATTCTGCTTTTGTGGCAGTCTCTTAATGGGTAAATTGTACATGGGAAAAAAGGCTTAGAAGTACATTTGTGCAAACAACTTACACAAATGGAAATTGTGCTTGGAATTTCACTGGTTTTCCATGCAAGGTTTGGATCCTTGTGTGAAAATAAATTTTTTATGGTAGTTTGTATGGTCAGAGCACATTCATAATAATTACCTGGAAAATATGCATTTTGTATTGAGATGTTTATGTGTTTCTTTTAGGAAGAGGAACGTCGTAAGATTAGTCATCTTGAAAACAAAGTTCAGGAACTCCAAAGACTACTTGATGATGCCAATCAAAAACTGGTATGTTTTCTACCAAATGTCTTTGATTTGAACCATGTTTGGGTGGGAATATTCTGTTGGCATGGGATGCAAAGGTCGGTTGCCTCAAGTGGGGTAGACTTAAGTCTACAGAGTATATCATGTGCATGTGGCTCCCATCTTCTTCATTTGAATAAATTTAAACCAGGTTCGCTTGTATTTGCCTTGGTTTTAAATTCACCAAAGTGATAAATGAATATAAAAATCTTACTGGTTTAAATGTTTTCAAACCAAAGAGAACTTGTTCATGAACATACTCTGTGTAGTCAGTCTCAGGGAGACAAGAAGGGAAAATGTGTGACTTTTTTATGTGCATATCATAGCAGTAATCATCAGTAATGCCTTTGTTTACTTGAGCTGTATTTTGTCTTAAAACTAAAACAAATTGTACTTCTATTTCATCACACTGCAGGAAGAAATAATCTTGCAACGGTGGTCAAGTTTGGTTTGTTTTATTGATCTACAGTTATTTAGTAAAAGTAACCATGCATCCAAATAGCTGAATTGTTTTAGAGGACTTACTCATGGATTCATATTCATTCTGAAAATTCTGAGAGTAGACATACCGTGTATCATTTGGAGATAAGTATTCTTTTACTTTTCCGGCTACACTTGATCCATTTGTTCACCAAAAAGCACATCCCAGACTTAGGGTTTTTCTTTTTAGAAGACACCTCAATAACAATGTAATCCAATCTATAGTTCTTGAATGAAAAATTTTCCAAAAATGGGATGTGCATCAAAGCATGTAGAAGCGCATGATCTTGCAGAATTCACAAAGGTGTGCCATGATTCAAATGAAAACCCATGTATAAGAACCTTGTCATCAAGAACCTGCTAGGCTAAAATAGTAAAAACCATTTAGAAGTAAAACTCTAGAGGATCTTGAAAATGTTACTTATTGTGTGTGTTTTTGCTTAGTGTGATTACATCATACATAAGTTTTTTTAATACTAAAGAAGGTTACAGCCAAATTCATTAAAATGAGAGGCCACAAGATTGATATAAGAAACTATGTAAAGACCCAGTTTATTTATATCCTGCATTCTTAGTAGACGCCTAATTTGCAGGGTTCTCCCACAAATTGGGTTCTTATATGTGGGTTTTTTTTATCATATTACTAGCCACTGTTGGCTCTATTGTGTCAAGTTTATTAACAGGCTCAGGTAAGGGGATATGCTTGGTTACTGTACAGTTAAAGGTATCTGATTGCATGCACTTCTTTTTTTTCACTGGATATACAGGCAGAAGAGCGCTTGGCTATGGTGGAAGAAAGAAGGACATTGACCGAGCAGAAAATGGGTTTAGAGCGTGAAATTAAAAAGCAGGAAAAAGCCGCACAAGACATGATTCTCAACAAGAACCGGAATAACAGAGAAAAACTTGTATTTGGATTTAAGAGCAAGGGAGCCCTGTAAGATGCCTTGATTCAGTTCTTCCTTAGACGAATTTATTTGTCTGGCACAAGAAATAAACAATGGTTCTAGAAGCAGTTCTTACCATACACAGGTGCAGAACTTCTTCAAACCAATGGTGCAAGTATTTTTAAAATAATTATTGATAATTCGTCTTTCTCTAATCTCTTTTCTCTCCTTTCTCTTTGTCTCAATTATCCTACGCCTTCCAGTTTTACTTCATACATGTATGTTTTTTTTAGTTTTCAGCAACTTAACTCTATTTGCTAACACTGTATCTTTGACATTTAATAGTCGCTTGTCCTTTTTCAATGCTTTCCTTGTAGAATTCTTGTAAATATTAACACATTAAAGTGATTTTCACTGTTTTATTGGCTGTTGTTTCATATTTGGTTGTGGTCTAGAATTGCATAAGAGATCTTTAGATTCAGGGACAAGGATGACTACAAGTACAAGATTTGGAAAGCCTCATTTCACTATCCACATTTCCCGAGATCAATTGTCAATAAATATGCTCTGCAATTTTCAAGAACATTAGGCTGATTTAGCAACAGAAAGGGAACGTTAGTTGACGATGGAGCGCCCAAACAAACAACTCGCTTGACCAATGGCAGAGCAACAAATTGGGCACCGGAAGTCGAGTTTAGTCGTTTTCGCGCGCTTTCCCGTCGTCAAATGACGTTCGCGTTATGTTGCTAAATCATCCTATTGAAAACGGGGAAGGCTTTTAAATAGGGCCTCCAATATAACCAATTTCCCCAGATTTTCAGTTTACCAGTGAGCGATTCACTGGCATCGTTTTTCATTGTTTTGCCATGGCGACTACGATTGCAATAAAATCCAGATCATGGGACATTTTCATTTTTATATAATACAGTTGTGGTACCCTTTTTCCCATATCTTTACTCATGCTGACGTAGTTAATGCTCAAACTTGAGGTAGCTCCTAAAATTGTCAGCTGTGCGCTTAAAATATCGGCAGTGCGCCTAAAAATATACATCTGGTAGCACAAGTGCTCCCAAACTCAAATTTAAACTTTGAGCCCTGGTCAATGGCCGGTAATACTTGACTTCGCGAGTTCTCAGTTTTAATAACCAGGTCATTCTAAATTGACTATAAGCATGTCCTTCTTTTACTTTTTTGCCGCGAGAGCGTTTTCATTGCAAATAGGATAATTATCATTTTATACAAGATCAATTAACCTATCATCGTTAAAAAGTTACTAAACAAGCAGTGGACAATTGGTCTATCGATTCGAATAGAAAAGTACCAACTAACTACAAAAAGTGGAGTCGAGATGTCGCTTATCAACGCTGACCCTCTTGAAGCTTTAGGAACCACGGAGGAGGGTGGACTGGGGTGCCTTTCTTATGGTCGAAAAACAATACCGTAAATGACCTAATATAATGAACGCCTCTTATCTAATAAACGCCCTCTCCACGCTGTTAAAATTGTTTTAGACGCCCTGTCTAATCGACACACCTTTTGAGAATTACTCCAAAATACTAGGAATTAGCAAAAAGGAGCACCTACCAGGGTTTGCGTATTTCATCTTGTTCAATGTCAAGTTCAGGATAAGGGTACTGACTCGTCCCCATTCGTCTCTCATTATTAGTAATTGGCGTGGAAGACTAGAACGGGCTCTTTAATGAAGGGGATGATGGGAAGGGAGAGAGAGTCTCCCCTCCTCTCGCCTTCCCATCTTCCCCGCGCGCATAACCCAAGCGCTTCCCTAGTAAATAATTAATGAGTAGAGACAACTTAGAGACGACTGGGGACGAGTCAGATAAGGGTAGACTAATGATTGCAACACAGTAACCCTGAGCGAGAATTCTGACATTGGGATTTGTAAGAGCGATATGGATCTCTAGACGTATAAATTGATGGAGTGAATTTTCCGCGCTATTTGTAAACTCTATTGATATTTTTGTCGAAAGCATTTTAGTTCAGCTGAGCTGGTTACAGTCATGAGAATAAACGCCTCCTATCTATTAAGCGCCCCCATATGGACCCCTAACATTGAATGGATACCCCGGGCGTTTATTAGTTCATTTACGGTATGTACTGATTTTTGGTTCATAAAATTTACTACTCACGAAAATAAAAAAAGTTACATTTTTGAAGCTCATGCTGGCCTCTTTGTAATCTTTGCAACACTTTACCTGGTCGTTTTTATTCGTCTTACTTGTTGAAAGTTGGAAGGTTTTGCCAACTCCTCGTCAATCTGTCCGTTTCAAGATCTGTTTCTTAAAGAACGGTTGGACATTCCGACTGATGAAATATTTGAAAGGGTAATTTCAAAGAACCAAAAATAGCGAAAACGTGAACAAGGAGCCAGCTGATGCTTTTTGGCAGGATTAAAAAACAGGACAAAAGTTCTGGAAACGTATTTTAGGTTTCAAGCCATTCTGGCCGAAACCCAAGCGGTCGAAGTGTGACAACGAGGCACAACTCGTCGACGAAGTCTGAAGCTATTTTACAATGCCATTTCAGAGATAATGAGATTGCAACAACTGTACCTTTTGGGCTTTTCAATTTATTTATTTATTTAGAATATTCAGTCAGGGGTGCCCATTTCAGTGAGGCTGGTGGGGCCTTGATGAAAAGAAAAAACAATAACAGATGAAAAAAATGGAACAACTAACTATAGGGAAAGTATTGAAGGCTCATTTTGGCTTGGATCTAAAGTGCCTTTTTAGGCCAAACCCAAACTTATTTAAATCATGCTCGCTCCTCAGGGCGAGAAGAGGCGTGTTCCAGATCTTGGCTCGGCTGAACCTGAAGGAGCCCTGGTACTTAGTTGTCCGAGCTAGCGGCAGACGGAGCAAATCTTTTTCGCGCGTGTCACATGAATTGAAATCACGCGCGTGGCTAAATTCATTAGGTAAATATGCTGGAGCCAGGCCATGAAGGCTCTTAAACACTAGCATGCAATTCAAAGATTTTCAGCTTCCAGACATATACGGCAAGTAACAGCAATAATTAAAAATCACTATCATTAAAACCGCGGTCCGATTTTGCTATTTTTGCTCACTAACAGTTGCTGGGTTTTATTTTATTCAGTTGGGGGTAGGGTTAGAGTTAATGAAACTTTGAGTAATAACTGCTGCGAACCTAAAAACTAGTAAGCGTTACCCGCCCCACTACTGCATTTTTTTTTCTCCCTAGCAGCTTCGGAAATTCTTTCCAGTCGGCAAAGAAAGGCTTTTCGCCATAGAGTTTATGATAACATGCACTTTGGAGATGCTTTTTTTCAGTTTAGTTCTAACGCAGACCAGCTTAGTCCTTTTTCTGGACTCAGAATCCAGTGTAGATCATGGCCCTCAAATTCATTACGTGGTATCGCCTCGGATACGTGACCGAAGTGAATTGTCCGAGATGGTCAGGGAAAACTCCGGTCGAGGACAAGGCAAATCTATAACTTCAGACAGATTTAGCAGAAACAACGTGACGAAACAAGAGAGCGCAGATTTGTAAAACCGAATTGACCAAATTGGTAGAGTGGCGCGTAAATTAAGCAGAAGGGCCGAGTTGTTCAAAGCTGGGTTAAGATAACCCAGGGTTAGTGCGAGATTTGAATTCAGATTTGAAAGCTTAAAAAGCATTTCAGTTTTAATTATCTTTGTCTACAAGTTGACGATTGGAAGCCCTAAAAATAACAGAGAAAATTATCCTAGAAAATACTTTTGAACATGAGAAAAACGAAAACCGGGTTAAGCGAAATAGGCCTATGAACAACTGGACCCAGAAGTAATCTCCTACCCAGATCTCTTGTTGACGGAAGTCGAGTTCGGTCCCTCCCGCGCCCTTTTGACGTTGCGTTGTCTTGCTAGATCTGCCTATTGAGCACTTCATGCACGACCTCTGCCAGTTTCCTACCCCGGTATCACTAATGGGCAATCTACACTGCAGTATTTCCCGTCTGGAACTCACTGATAAACTCTTAGTGTGCATCGGAGGATGCCATGCAAGCTTACTTTGATTTAATTCTTAAAAAATGCCTCCGTTCTGTATTGAAGGATGCTTTATACTACTTCAAATTATCCAAAACCAGGAGTCCGCCACCCCTGCATCTTTCTCAAAAGCAGTGAAGTTGAACTTCTCAAGAATTCCTAAAAAATGTCCTGAAGTAGCATGGCAGCTGTAGCAGCTCAGTGCTATGAAAATAACCGCTTTATGTTTGATCACTTCCTTCGCCAGAGAGAATGAGTGCTAGTGTTTTGTCTCGCATGGCTCCTTCGATAAATTCCGACAACGATAAAACACCATCTCTGTTTGTGTCAAAGTTCTGGAAAACCTTAAGCGTTCGCTCCTCAGGTGTAAGTTCGTCCCATTTCGGTATGCCCTTGACTTCCTCTGGTCTATCACCCATTGTTTTGTAGAGCGCATCGACGATGCGGAACATTTCTTGCTTTGTAATATGCCCGTCACCATTTACGTCGTAAATACTAAAGGCAAATCGAAGCTTCTGTTCCATTGTCCCTCGTGTCGACACCGAGAGAGAACACATAAACTCACGAAAATCTGTGAAAGAAAATTTGAGGGGAGGCTGGTGAGTATGTAGGTATGTACCTTTGATGGAGAGCATCTTAGAGGGAGTAGCCTAGAAGCAGGTTTGGGGAAAATTTTCTTTGGCGGATTCCGGCCCAGCGCGCGAGAAAAATGGGGTGAAGAAAAGTAAACTAGAACTTTAGTAATAATTTGGTGTATGAACACGTTCGAGTTTTCAATAAAGCAATTGCTTGTAAATTTGTTCGCACGGTCATGTGCCAGGTGTTACAAACAAAGCAAAATAACCGCCGTTACTATTTTCCTGGCACTCTACCTCAAGCAAACAACCAGATCCAACCTTGTAATTAAGACTGTAAGTTACACCAATTTATTGGTAAATCATACTGTTTTAAGTGTAGAGAACATAAACTGCTCGCATAATTTTCTCTAAAACTTTTAAAAGGCATGGTGCGATCATTCACTGCTAGGCAAGGCGCGCGGCGCCAAGTTAAGTATTTGACACGCAGAAAACGAGTAGTTTTGTTGTTTTGGTAGTAAGTGCCTGGCATACTACCTTGGATTGGATTCTTATTTTTTGGCTTTCCTACACACCTTGAATTGTTTTTTACTGGTGAACAACTAAGTTTGTGCTTCCTCCTGCTTCCTACCATTTAAAGTGTTTGTTCTGTATTTGAGGCCGTTTTTCTAATTACGTAAGAAAAGCCATTTTAATTACACTAACCCAACTTCCTCTCCTCCACAGGGAGACGGGTGGTGTAAGCTATGTCACTGCCCCCCTTGCAACCATAAAAAGACAGTTCTCATTTGAAAAGTCCTCGCTAGTGAAAATAAGTATAATATTTAATGGTTCTGGTATAATACTAGTTTTGATGGGAAAGTTTTCTTTGTTTCACTTGGATTTTAAAAAAGTATTAGTTTGCAGAGTTTTAGACTTCCTTTACTTACACAATTAATTTATTTGAAATCGTCAGCAATTTGCAAAAACAGATTTGAATTGTTTACAGTTCTCCGACTTCGATCCCGCTAATGAACTCCCGCCAAATTAATACTCAGCTGAATACTGGAAATAAATATTTTTAAGGTCATAAATTTTTACTTCATTTTATTTCAGATCTCCGACTTCGATCCCGCTAATGAACTGCGCCAAATTAATACTCAGCTGAATACTGGAAATAAATATATTTAAGGTCATAAATTTTTATTTCATTTTAGTTCCCTTAAACTAAAAGAAGAAGGAAACGTTTTACAATTTTTTGTTAATTCAGATGTTTATTTTTAAATTCATAGACTTTATCTATGAATTAAATTCGAAATGGACGGCCATGTTGTTTAATAAATTTACACTCAAATTGTTTCAGCATTGTTGGTAGTCTACGAATTCACTAGGAGTAAATTGCAAATCCTCGGCAAAGTGGAAACACTTAAGGTTATATGGAAGCGAGATGTAAATGTTTTATCTGTAAACTCAACATTTATGAGGCAAAAAATGCTCTGACAGTTTCGGTGCAGAAATTGTTAACTACATGCATCGTCCATCTGCTCAATAAAACGAAACAGCTCCAGAAATGGAAATAGAAAGCATTAACTAACTAATATTCCGAAAGGTATTGATTATGAAGTTGATAATGTGACTGGATTTCCTTGAAGAATCTCTTTTAACGCTGTTGCATAACTTTAATTTGAGGATAAATCTTAGTTTGTGAACGTACTAAGCTTTACTTTTGTCAAAGTCGTGCGAAACGCTCTCTTCGGGGTAATGGCAACCGACAAAAACCTTTCGTCCCCTTTGCACCTGTCTGAGAAATGCTTGTCAACGCTTTTAACAATTACCGAACTTCATTTATTTCTCTGGCACATCAGGCAAATATATATCCACAAAAATTGTTTATGGAAATTAGTAGTTGAAAACTTGGGCGGTACGTTGCTGGCATAAGATAACCTTTTGGAACGATGGTTTCGAGGGCACTGATAAAATGCGTTTGCTGAAATATCAGCGGCAATTTCGTGAAAAACTTTATAGCGAGTTTTGGTTTTCTTCAGCGGCGTATGAACAGGGTTAATGTTATATTTCCTTTGCGCTTCTCTTAACGCTGCTAAGCTCTCTTTTGTCGAAATGGTATCTTTAGGACATATTCCCGCTTTCTCAAAAACAAGAAAAACTACCTCACTGAAAAGAAAAATATATATATTCGTGCAATAAGAGGCACGAAAATTCAATTACTGACCAATGTTTAATTATTCATGACACTTCGGAACACACTGTAAACACGAGTCTTTTTTGCAACATTTGTTTTGATCCTCGGCAATTTTTGTCTTCTTTTGAATCTTGGGGAAATAAATTTTGTTCTGCGAAATTGATAAAGAGTTGTCGAGAGGAATTTAAAGGCTTGTTACCGGTAGAATGCTTTAGTTTGTTCCCATAATCCGTAACAGTTACAAAGGTATTATCTAGGCGACATTTGCTCTCTCGATGTGCTGTTTTTAATTTAACTTATCGACTGAGACTTTATTTCAAAATGAAAGTGTTAGGCTATTGTTATACAAATGAAAATAGTTTGTGATCAAAAGAAATTGGATGAAATAATTCCATGGATTTCTTTCACGAAATACAAAATAAAATGAAATGAATTAAAGTAAAACCTTTTCTCATATTATTTTAGGATATAAACATTTACGCGTCTTACCAATTTTTTCATCTCCGTTGACATCAAATCGTCGAAAAACACAGGCGGCTAGCCGCGATGCATCTCCCTTATCAAATACTTTTTTGTACATCTCTATAAACTGTTGTTTCGTCAAATAACCGGTCGGGCAGTCCTTTAGGAAACCTTTGTACCAAGACTTGAGCTCTCTCTCGTCGAAATTTGTGTGTTTTAGGAGATCACCTAAAACCTCAGGATCAAGCTTTTTGCTTTGTTTCTTGCCCATACCGCGAAACCACGGTTTGCAGCTTGTCAACTGGTTTGTTGAGTCGCGCCTTGGTGAAGGCAGTTCACAGCAATATGGTGTCTGCCAACCAGCTTTCGTTTTCTTTCCTTTCGGTAGTTTCTTGGTTAACCTTACTGCCTCGGGTCGCAGTTCGATTTGACAGCGTGGTGGTGACCTAGTCTCTTGTTACCAGATGCTGCATTTGCTATCACATTAACAACAATTATTAACGCTGGCCACCCATTGAGGGCAAATCAAAAGCCATTCGTGCTACAGTCCAATAGCATTAAAAAAGGTCAGAGACGTGACATAGCGGGGCCTCTGTCTATATGCGCTGTAAACCTAAAGTTCAACCGTTATGCAAATATAAACATCCCTTGCTTACCACCGTAGGATCTTCTGTCACCATGAGACTGTCATGAAACGCCAAACAGTGACTCGTCAATCACCTGGAATAAATTACTCGCTCTAGCAATGTTGAAAGTTTCTTTTTTATGTGTTTGATTGACAAGTTCGCTTGGCGAAAAGATTAAGAAAACTCACTGAATTGCTGAATACAATTTTCAAAGAAGTTCTGAAGGCTTTTATGTTAGCGATTTCTCGCCTGTCAAGTCTCATTCTCTTTCATAGGTGGCGTGATAATTTGAATGCTTTTGCATATATTAATATTTATCTTTTACGATTTCTAATTTGAGGGACCATTCTGTCATTGTTGTGAGCCCCGCGCTATCATGAAGGGGAATAAATTAAGAGTGTATTCAAAAGATAGGATCTCAGTTTTTAGTACCTTGTTTTTCACGAAAAGCGAATATATTGTTCGAACCTTGAATTGCTAAAGGGTTCTTACCTCAAACACCGCATAACTACAAATTGTACGAAGAATTTAGATAAAATTGTTGAAAACGATATATTATTGAAATACGTCAGTCATACAAATGTTTTTTGCCAATCAAGCCTTATAACTATGTTGTCGTGTTTTAAATGTGTTTTAGCATCAATTTTCCGCTTCGAACTTGTGGGCCATTTGCGGGATAAACTTAACAAGCCCTGAGCAGTTATTTCCCTCAAGGCAAAATAGATGAAGGAGACTACAATTCTCCTTAATTGTGAAACGACCATTTTAATCAACTTGAATTGCAAACGTAAATATTTTGAAGTCTCTTTAAGGCGCATGGCATCCAAACTTAGATTCAGTTTAGTGCTATATGGGATGACTTTTTTTCCTCATTAATAAATGTTTGAGTCATAATGAAAAATGGAAACCTAATACCAAGGTAATTGCAGATGTTTGTGACAAACATTTGTTGCCAGGCCTGAAAAATGCTCGAGATGCGGCCACGCGTCTCAGGGTTAGACGTGTTAAAATGGAGATGTGTCAGTACAAATACAAATTGACTCCAACAGCGTAAAAGCATTGCAATATTAAAATGATCGAATTAGTGGTGAAAGTTGTAGAAAATTGTACATCAGGTGGAAAAAATCTTTACTTGAAGAAGAAAGATAAGAAATGCTAACGCAGATAACCCACATTTTTCTTAATGGTAATTCGTTATCGCATAAATTCAAACAAATTCCTTGACCAACTTGTACACTGAAAAATGTTCATTTTACGATGGGCGTGGATGAGAATGAAATAGTAAGAAAATGGATCAGTGAAGTCCGCATCACACGGCGGAAGTCGGAGAGAAGAAGTAAAAGAGCCGGTAACTTTATGATTCATGTCGCAAATGCTGTTGCCTTCGATTTTTGCCTTTTGAATATCTTTTAGTAAGGGCCTGGGGAATGCTATTGCCATTCTTTCTTGAATATCTTGACTTGATTCAGAATTGAAAGATAAAGCAGATAAAAGAAAAACTACTTGCATGATAAATTAATTTAATGTTTTTGAAAATCCTGCCAGGCAATACATCGTTACTGAATATAATACTTCCGTGGCTGCCTTTCCTTTCATTCACGCATTCTTCGTTAGTTTTCAAATTGTAATGAAAGTTAAAATTCACAGTTTAAAATTATCGGTAAAAAGCAATTTCCGTAAGCGAATACTGTTTACTGATTAATATCTGTTATTCTTATTATCAGTAACCACTATAGGCGGACACAAGCATATTGAAGTTTTTTTTCTTTTTTTCTTAATAATGTTCTTAGTGTCAGATTGGAAAAATAAACTCCACGAGTATGCTTCTTGTAAAATACGCCCGAGGTCAGGAAAACAAAGAGCAAATATTGTAACTATATATAGCGAGTTAATAAGGCTTTTATGTTGATTAATAAAACAAACGGTGACTTCAACCGATGGTGACCACAAGATAAATAATGAAAGGGATTCAAAGTGAAGTGAGGAAAAACGTTCTACATTTCATTTGACGATAAATACTGGATTCTGTAAAAAGGACTTGAGAGGGCCTGTTAAAAGACCACAAGCATAATATGTTCGGACTGCCCTTAAGATTCAAAACTTAAGTTTTCTTTGTAAAATGCCGTCTCATTTCCCCCTGGCAGTGGGAGGGGTGCCATTAATCGCCCTTTTTTGGAAAGGTAACTCTAACATCGCTCATTTCGATCCAGTTCGGTGGAAGCTAGGCTTTGAATCGAAGTATATTTGTAAAGCATAGAGCATTTACAAGTGATCACTACCTTTAAAATGCCATACCATGGTAACGTGACGTCAAACGTCTCCTCTCTATTTCAACTGGCACGGCTTCGCAACAGAAAAAAACCCCATGATATTTATTTTTTTGAACCTCCATGATACTGGTAAACTAAGCCGTGAAAGGTAAAGTCGACGTTGGATAAAATATTTAAGTGTTACCATTCGGTTAAACTGTATTGAGGACAGAGGATTTCTTTTTTTGCGCAAGTATTAATATTCTTAATATTTTGACGTCTTTGGTTATGGTCACGATTAAATAATATGTATTAATCGATTTCTGTCACTGTAGGAGTTAAACGTAAATTAGAACAGCTTCAAGCTAATATCAGTGGAAACTGGGAACATGATGAATAGTTTTTTCCTTCCACTGTTTCACAATGCAACTGGTGGAAAATAATCAAAATAATGACTAATGAGCGTGTCATGGCAAGTATGGACGACTGAGCACTTTATTGCAAAACGTCAGGTTGCTGAGCGGCCCACCCATCCAAAGCCACCAAATATATTTGAAATTTTCAACTTAGGCCCCGTCCACATTTATGCGTCAGTTTCGTTTGAAAACGCGTACATTTCGACGAGTTTAGGCCTTTCGTTCACACTAACACGCTGAGTGTTTTCATCGAAAGCGCATCTATTTGAAAACGCTCTGGAAAGAGGATGAAAACGAAAACGCATACATTTTAATTCGTATTAGTGCGGACGGTCGAAAACGCAACAAAAGTGAAAAGGATGACGTCATATGTACCACGTGAGTCGTAAAATATCGCAGGCGCGTGTGTTTTTGCATGGGCATAGCGTTCAACTTACGTCACGACGTACAATTCTATTGTTTTCGAACGTTTTAGCATGGACAGTCGAAAACCCATCAAATCAAAACGGTAGGTGGACGCGAATCGATCGACGCGTTTTCGATGACAAACGAAAACGCATACTTTTAAAAATGCGTTAGTGAGGACAGGGCCTCGGTTTTACTGAACCTTTCGGATCTGCTTAATTTAGCAACTAAAATGATCTACAGAGCAAGGGAAAGAGTCTTCGTAAGACTGACAATTTACATCTTTATTTGTAACTGTAAAACAATGCATATTATTAAAGTGTAAATAAACGTGTTTTAATGAATAAATATTGATAACTTTCTAAGATTGTATAACTCTCGATGTTTCTTCACGAAGCACACAAGTCCCTAACCATTAACCTGAAGATTAATCACACAAAAAGACTGATAGACTTTGTTACACATGTGCTTCAAACAAAACTCTCAGAAAAAGAGAAACGAGTAAAAACGGAGCGGAGAGGAGGAATTATAATTGAAAGTGCAAATGAAGAAGTTATGGGGTGGAGTTCGTAAAATGGTATTCTACCGCAGTGCACAAAAATTAAAAATGTTTTGGTAAAAATTTTAAACCATGACTAAAAGAAATGATAACTATGGTACTTGATATAGAGCGTCCTGGAGGAGAGGGGGGATTCCAAAATAACAGGGAGTACAGGTGTTGCTTCTCTTTTTCTCTTTAAAGATACTACAGTAATAGCCCGCGTATAAGAACCTGGGTTTTAAGAACCTGTTAGGCTAAGATTTTCATTTTAAGCCCCCTCCACATAAGAACCTATTTAAGCTAAAATTTTAAATTAGGTTCTTATCAGTGGGGTTGCTGTAAAAGTGTACAGGTAGAAACTGCTGGATTAAGATCATCATCTATTTTGTTTTTCATTTCTCCTCATTGCTTGAGCTTGAATTTGGTATCAACATGAGTTTCTTTGTTATGTTTTGTTAGGGACATATGCTGTACCTGCACTGAACTGCCTATAGGCATTGCTCTATGGTACAAATAAATGATTTATACTGTATTATGAGATGATATTTATAATATATATAGTATATTCAGATGAAATTCATATGAAAATAAAAGAACCTATTTTAAGAACCTTGGTAGCCTAAATTTGCTTTAAGTACCATTTATATAAGAACCTATTTAGGCTAAATTGAAAAATTTAGGTTCTTATACGCGGGCTATTACTGTATCACTAATTTTGGTATTATCATTTCGGTAGTCCTCATACAATTTGTGTCCACGCAATCGCGTTTCCAGAGTCCCCCTCGTCACCCTTGTCCAGCGGAACGGGCAATGACGCTCCACTGGACAAGGGTAATGCAAACTCTGGTTACGAGGTTGGTGTTAAAGCTTCGTATACGCAGGCACATTGGACCGATCACAATCTCCCTTATATTTGCCTTTGGGCTTTTGCAACGCGTTGTGTCCTGAGAAATTATATTAAAAACCGTTGTCATCCTGTATCTATGGCAGTGAAGATTTCATATCTTTTTGACCTCAATTTTATTGGAGCTTTAAAAAGCCCAAAACACTCCTACATTAGTCTCATTAATGTTCTAATGAGCGTCACAGTAGCACTATCCTGATATGGATCTGAGTAAAACAGAATTTCATGAATGGAGTTGCTTGTAGCCTGAGTAAACAGACGTCATTTTGCGACGCCACCACTTGTTTCCTCGCGAAATGACGTCTGAGAAAGGAGCGCAGAATTCCATGCTGATTACGTGTCACTACCAAAATCTGGGTAATGCTTCTGATTGGTTGCAACAAATTTTCAACCAAGCATTACCCAGATCTGATGTCGCGTCATCAGTATGGAAATTATGCGCTCGTACGTCATTTTGCGATGTCCGCTGCTTTCTCAGGCTAAGTTGCCTGTAGTTTACCTGTTAGACTGAGATCTCTACTAGTTGAGTTGTACTCATGTGCATTTACAGTCATTCATATATATACTCTTTCATCATCGTTATGCCTATTGTGGTGAAGCCAATGCTAGTGACCTTAACGGGGTGGGCATATGCACATATTTATCGTTTCCTTCTCTGAAAGAAACTTCTTGTTCTTGGTGTGCCTGCGCACCGTCGTATAGTTCTTTCTCCATAGTGTTATGAATTTTTTTCTTGGCATGTCCTTATTCCTTGCAGAGATTATTTAAATGTTTCCATTTGTTTTCCAGTGGCACAGCTTTTCAGGAATGACTTGCTTATTTACAATTAATTGCGGGAATGAATGCAGAAACGATGTGTTAAAAACAGTATCGAAGATACCGAAAGGTGTTGCAAGAAAACTATAGCTGCAATGATTGAACAGTTTCCTGACTTTTTCCCAGTCATTTCACGAATTGCCTTGTAAGTTCTTCAGTTGTAGGCACTAAACTATTCATCGTTGACTGATCCACCCGCACCAAATGTTCAGTCGTTGCATTTATTACTGTTGTCTCTCTGAGTTCAGTTTTAGTTGCACCTACTAACCTGAATCGTCTTAGAGCATTTTTTACATTTCACGTAGCAACACCAGTAATACTTGCACTCACAGCGCTCCTCGATTTGAAGCACTTTGGTTGTATGACCACGCCCACAACAAAGATACAAGCAACTACCCTTTCCAGTTGTCTTTGGGTTACACTCCCGACCCGCTGTCCCGAGAGTCCCTCGGGAAAGACTACGTTTGCAGTAGTTGGGAGAAGGATCCAAGAAGATGAGATCATTTCGAGTGTATGGCACTTTTCTCCTCGGCTTAAGCATTTTCTTACTGCTGCCCTTGTTTTTAGTGATCACGTTGATGATTCGGTCATACCTCCTCTTCAAAAGGGTGGCTACATCTTTGAACTCCTTAAGACGTCGGAAACATGTCTTTGTTTCGCAAGAACCAGACACGCCGTGGCATCGGCAAATAGTCTCCATTTTTTCTCGGACAGCCTAAAATTAAAGCGAAAATAACCATTCAGAAGATAATTAGGAAATAATAGCCACATAGTTTCACCGTTTTTTTTTTTCATCAAAACGGGGAAACAAATTGCACACAGTGTCAAGCTTGAGGACATGAAGTGATTTTGTTTCAGTCTGGTGGCAATTGCTTGCTTTCAATTGATTGGCTGGAGCGTTTGGCACACGCTACTCTCCATCAAAAAACAAGCTAATGGTAACCATTCCGTAAATGTGATCACAGTTCGTCTAATGTATCAAAGTCGTTCCCAGTATCTTTCTTCCTCTAGAAAAAGAGGAGACGCTGGGAACGATAGTTTTGCTTACTGCGCTTTTTAATGATTCACCGCGTACCGTGTAGAAATTTCCAGTTACTTAGAACTGTAACGGTTCCGTTTGTAAATAATACTATAATTACGCAATAACATAATTCAATTTGTAATGCTTGTTGTAGAAGAAACGATGGCTCTTCGGAATTCTGAGGGACAGAAAAGAAAAGCAAGGAAAAGAACCTCTAACAGATTGCCTAGAAGCTTTGAGCTTCACTTTCAACGGCATTGGATATGAAGGAATAAAATATTAGGTAAAATTGGCCCCAACTTCCCTCTAAAACTATGCTGTCAATAAACGTTAGGCTTGGTTGAAAACTGATGACAAATTTGCCCAGAAAGCTCTTTAAACGGGGATTTAAGTACAAGGGCTTAAACTCAAAAATTAGAGATAGACTTGCCTCGGAATTTAAGGTATCCTTTGTTTGTGCCTATGTTTTCGCGGTCTACTGCGAATCAATTTCTACCTTTATGGTCAATTAGGTCAGTCAGAAAATCTATCTTAACGGATCTGTACCACAGAAGAGGCATTCTCTGTAGTCTTGGGGTCTATTCAATAGCATCACCCTAGAATTTTTCAAGGATCTTAATTAGAGCGAAAAAATTTCTTAAACCTTACAGGGCATCTGGAGCCAGCCCTTGTAGCAAATTGTCAACTTTATATGCTCTCGATCAGGCTCTCGATGTTGTTCGGCATTCTCAGTTTCTGTTAATTGGCATTTATAAGTTATGTCAATAATCTCTGTTGTTATCTCTACGCTTCAGAAGACCACCAGGAGCGTAGGAATTATGACAAGTCAATGTGATTTCACCAAGTCTCAGCTGGGCTGAAAACATTATAAACGTTAAGTATTGCTTCTACGTTTTCTGCTTTCGATTCGGGAACAAAAGGCATTTTCCAAGGACAGTTTTCTGAAGAAAATATTTGGATTTAAGTAGTGCATTGAATAGAGACCAACAGAGGAGGCACAAACGCACAATAGAGGAGGATTACATAGGTACTAGTGTAAATGACTCCTATCCTAAATTCTGCGCCCGTGGAGCTGCGGTTCGAAAGTAGCAATTCAAAGCTTCATTTGTTTAATGTGACCTATGATTTCTAATTCGACGACTATGGCCAGAAATTCCGTTCAAGTGGATGATAAATTGCAAATGAAAACCCATTTGCAAGGGTGTTGTAATCAAACAGTCGATGAAATCTCCCGATGAGCAACTTATAAGGCAGGTTCTCTTCGTTTCTCGATACTTGGCGAAGTAACTTTTAGGTTTCTTCCTTTTTTCTGGATCCAATTAAAGTAGCTTAAAGGCATGAAAGTGTAAGCGTCGAAGCTGAGATAACAGACGACGAACTTTCTCAGCGCCCTCCCTAATACCTTCCATATTTGGGACATATGCTACGTAGATAATAAATCTGCTTATCGAAGGTTTCCTTTATTTTCTTCCTGCTTTGAAGTGCATGAAACTTGTTAATCAAAAAGTGATTGATTTTAAAAGAATTTTTTCAGCTATGATGTTTTTCAAAGTTAGAGTACAACATCACGGATTTTACATAATTTGGCGATATATTACGATGAAATCAGCATGGCCCATTCTAACGTCGAGAACAGCAATCAACAAAATTAGAGGAAATAAACCCATTACCCCTCGATTAACGCCCCTTAAAACTGTTATAAAGGTGTCGAATAGAATCTTTGCACCTTTATTTCACAGGATTTGTTTACAACTAAAATGACATATTTTACGTCTTGTATTGTTCAGTTAAAAAAAAATTAAAACAGAGGAAATCGCTTTCTTTTGAACTCACTTTGTCGTCATTTAAGGTCGCTTTCGAATTTGTTAAAGCTAAAATTCATGCAGTTAAAATCTACCAGATGTGTTAAAATTGACTATTAAATAAATATGGCAGTTTTCTTACTGAAAATGGGTAAATGGCGAAATGTTTAACTTTAAATCATGTAAGGTGGTACTTATATTGGAAACAGGTGAATTCTAAATAACTGAGAGAAATGAAACCAAAAAATTTAACGACCCTTGATTTCTCAGGTACACGTCATTAACGACAACTGTTTGATGCATTGGGTCTTTTCATGGAACTTTATGATAGGACTTTATTATTGAACTTTACTATGGGACTTAATTATAGAACTTTATTATGCTGAATGATGTTGAACTTTGTAGGAGAGCAGTTTGGGAGACATTTTTAGTCAATTCTGGTAACCTGTTAAAGATTAAGAAACGCAAATTATCCTTGCTTGTTTCTTCACTAATTATTAGCATATGGATTTAGTTATCTATATCTTTCAGTTATTCCCGTCCACCCAGGACTATTCATGAGGAAAAATTTATCTCAATGTGTTTATTTTATAAGGACTTTGAATCGAAAGTTAATCAGTCTGCGGTAAGACCGTAAGTAGACTATCGGAAGTTCTCATACACAGCTGTTCTATCTTCAGAAGCTGGATAACTGCTGAGTCAAATAAAGATATAGTTGTAAGATTTACGCTGCAGTGTATACTGTCAAAACAAAAATGGATTTTAAAAATACTTGTTTAAGACAATTCCATGAAACAATTACCTTCAAAAATCGTGCTCGCTTTAGCGTTTATGTGTTCCTGCTCTTACAGAAAAGCAACGCTACACAAACAATCTACTCTTGAGCGGAGAGAGGATTCATTTAATGAACCACCACTGGAAAGAAGCAGCTTCCACATATTGAAACTTCATTTGAAGACCTTAGGCTGCGTAAAGTGCAACCACATAACGTGCGAGTCACACTCGAGGATGACGTCATTCATTTATCGGCTCTTGACTCAGTGTAACCAAGTCGGGGCTCAGATTTTCAGCTCACGCAAACTGTTAATAAACTCTACGGTTTTCGTGAGATTTTTATCTTTCAGTTTATAAACAGTGAATTGAGACTAGGAAAGGATTCTCAAGACTAATTATGCATCATTCTAAAGAGCGTCATTTAGTGCACGCAGTGATATTAAAAGAAAAGACTAGAAAGACATTGTTGTAGAAGAGACATAACAAGATCGTGATGTTTAGAAGTATAAGAGCACCATGCGTGTGTTCGATGCCTCCCGACAAGATAAGAAATACCTACACGAATTTTGATCCTATCCATACTCATAAGAGAAGTCAAGTAACTTAAAGATGAACACTCAGTGCTTTCCTGTCCTACTGTACCCACCTTAGGTGGCAAAGGTTTTTTTCCTCTCCTCATTCCTAAAAGTTCGACTTCGAGAACGGATCTCTGGAACCAGGGAACTCCTACTGGTGCTTTTACTGTTTTTCTCCCGATATTGTAAAAAGAGCGTTTTTTTAATATTTATCAAGGACACTGTTTACCAACTATTTTTGTAAACTGCATTCCGAAGGGTTCTCCTTTGAAAATCAGGATTCAAAATTTCCTCATTCTGTTATATAAGAGTTTGTTTTTCACTCATTTTCCTACTTATATGAAGAATATGTTTTCACTCTGGTCCTCTTCCTATGATCTTCGTGGCAACTACATTCTTTCCCTAAGTAAACCTAAAACAACTACCTATGGTCTTAACTCCTTTTCTTACTTTTCAGCTAAGCAGTGGAATGCACTGCCGGACTTTTTTCGTACCAGTTTTTTTGCAGACTTTAAGACTAAAATACAGGATGTTACCTTCATGTAGATTGTTTTTGCCTGACATACTTAAACTTAAAATTGTGAATTGTAAATGATATTTTCTTTCCTTGCATTTAATGTATATATATATTTTCTATATAGTTTTTATGTAGTGTCAGCTCGAAGATATTAGCTTGTTAGCTACTCTAAAATTCGAGTTTAAATAAAGTTTTATGTTATATGTTATGTTATGTTAGGATTGTCAATAACGATACCATGGCGATGGGTCACTGGAAAAAGGGGCACAACAAACACGGCCACCTAAGGTAGCTGAGGGCAATTGATTTAAACAAAGCTTAGCACTTTTAATACAATAAAACGCAGCAAAATAGTCACCTTCGTTCTTATTCTCGATACGTTTTAAAGTATTTAACAACGAAGTAATCACTCTTGCCTCACAGAGATCTTTAATTTCGTGACTGTCTGTTATCATGTCACACGCAACAGCTCAGGTGACACGTCTTCAAGAATGTTTTATTGAAAACTTTGTGACAACTGAGAGAGAGAAAATCCCGCTGCAAAATCCCGTGCGTACACTTATTGATCTCTGATAAGCTCGTGTTTGGGGAAATGCCTTGGCTTATTTTCAAATCCCTTGTTTCTCTGTTTATTGTCAGTTCGCAAAGGTATAATGCAATAATTTAGGAAGATATCAAGTGAAATCTGTTATCGTTCGTTTGCGACTGGCCTGTTTTTAGCTTGTGCTTACTGCGTTTACAACAAAATCAACCTGTTAAGATTGAGCTGAAAAAAATGTACTTAGACTAGATACCTTCAAGACACGGCAAATATTAAATCAAAAATTGAACCATAAACTTAACGAAGTTTCTTAAAAAATATTTTGTTTAAGTCTGAGGGTGAAAACTGCAAAAAAGCCGATCAGTTCAAACGCAGTACCATCGTATAATATGCCCTTTGGTACTTTATTAGCTAGAAATCCAAGAAGGATTTTTGTAACATTAATATGTTCCATTTCTAAAACATTACTAACTGTTTTGAGTATCGGAAATCTTTTTCCTTCAGTGAGAATGGATTGACGACGGCAATAAAATATAATAAAACATTTTGTGAAAAATATTGAGTAACAAACCTTAAACTAAAAGTGACGGCAGTTGTACTCGTAAACGTTCAATGTGTCGCACAGGAACTTTTCCTTTACTGTGATCTTAACCACTAGAAGAAAACTTATTGTTTCTTCAGAAAATACAGACACCTAACCCTAAACCTAACTCTAACCTGTAGAGTCTAAACCAATAACGGATATAACCTTTACCACAACAATCCCCACTAAAATTCCAAAATGTTGCGTATGTTTAAAGAGAAAAAACTGTACCTATTATTATATACCATTTTAGCCAGAAGATAAGTTTTCCCTATTGTTAATGAGACTAGAGATTTGATATTCCTTTCATCTAAAACAACATCGATAAGTCAAGCGCTGCAGTTTTTAACGATCATTTGGGACACTGAATACATGCTGGCAGCCCTCATTGTGTATCTCAGACATATTTTAACGTGTAGTTGTGTTTTTTCTTTGTTTTCCTTCTGGCTAATATGTAATAGTTTTGTCTCCTTCGAAAAGTGCTAATAATTGAATCAGAGGAAACTATACCCCACGATGACGAAACCATTTCATACCCGAGGCCCAAGTCAATCCAAAGTTCACATTAGTTTATTTAATAATTACTTTTTGGATACTTTGTACAATTTCTCGTTACTGAAGTGAGAATACATTTCATTAAGTAACTGTTCACTTCTTTCAACACTTTGAACTACAATATCAAAGAGTCAGAAGATGAAAGGAACCGACCGGGATATATATAGCAAAACCGGTGCATACGTTCTGCGCAACCGAAAACAGCAGATCCGAAAAAAGACGCTTTTCTCAAAACCGGAGGTAGCCACTTGAGTGGCCCAGTAAGATAAGCTTTTGACATCAAATTATATATTTAAGACATGACTTCTTCGCAGCATGAATCATCACTCGGCTCATCTAACCATTTTTTTCAAGTCTCAGCCGCTGCGAGTTTAGTGTCACTTAAAGCCTATTATACCAACGCTCTTTTGAGAAGTTACTTTCTTGTGGAGTGCCTGTGTTCTTGAGCCAAAGAGAAGCGATTATCGTTAGCTATAGCTCTCTCAGAATCTTTCAAGAGATGACGCTCTTAAATGAAAGGTCGAGAAAGGAATAATCACCACATCCCGGAAGCAAATGTTCAGTTTAACCCAAGAAAAAAAATGACTTTCCCACACTTCCTTAACTTCAGTGCTCTCAGTTCCGGTTTCTAGCCTGACTTAAGCTCTAAAGTTAGGCAGTTCTATAGTATTTAGTTTTCCTTTTGAGCATTTTGTTCAAGCGACACCAATTGAGAAACTTTTTACAAAATTTAATTTAAAAGACAGACAATGTTACCTCTCTTCCAGCCTCGTTATTGTGCAAGTTCATCAGCGCTCGACTTGTGGCCCTAGGATCTTTCATACGCTTCTTCTCCACAGCATCTGCAAATCTTTTACTGAACCTGGTACCGTACGCGATATTATCACTACAACCACCCCAAATCCAGTTCTTATTTTTTAGTTTCATCTTTGGTGTTCTGCCGCAGCCACAAACATCCAATCTTCCAATACTACATGCCTGAGTAACACTGTAAGCAACTGCAGCAGAGGCAAGTGCATAAGCATATGCTGATTCCTTTGTTCCTGTGTAAACAACAGTACACCACGTTTTGAGATAATATTTTAACGAGCGTAAATTACTCATTATCTAGAGTGTCTGTGTTTTATATTGTTAGTTTGTTTACTTAGTAGCCATTTTCGCCCAGCACCATAAAAATATTTACGTTATTGAGGAAATTAGTTTTGTGGTGGAAGAAGATCAGTTTCAAAATTAGTAAAATGTTTTTGCAGATGGAAGTTTGAAAATCTCCGCGGAACATAGATGCGTCCAATTCACTTCTTTATAAAACTGAGGGGTTTATATATGATATTATAAGAATACAGAGGATATTAATAATTTAGGTAATTATAGGAGTAGTTCTATGAAAAGGAGCTTACAGATGGCTTGAAATTATGTATTAAGTAGACTTCAGGACTGAATATTTTTTTGAAGGTGTGGTGGCGTAAAAAATTCAAACAAGAACCTAAAAACATAATTTGCTGATCAAAACCAAGGTTGTTGAGGAAGCAGAGGGTTTTTAAGAGGGTGGAAAACACGTCAATCGACAATTTAAAAGAGTGCGGGTTTGGTGTCAAACCGTATAAATTTAATTGTGGATAATCCGTTTAAATGTGGATCACGTATTTTTACAGGCCAGTCATCAGAGTGATTAAAGGGTTGAAATATTTTAGTCTGATTAGTCTGAAAAAGACAAGATGGCCTGGGTAATTCCAGCTTATAAATGCCCTATGTCGCACCCGTGTTTATTTTTATGGTGGAAATTAGACCTTGATAATTTTTCTTATTTGAGCTGATTTATGACATCTCTTTTGTCTGGGTGATACAAGAAATAATACAACCTTGACTCACAAACCATTTTTTTGAGCTCAAGAACAAAAGGCTTAAAATTCTTCATGACCGCAAGGAATAGAAACAAAAGATTGAATACTAACAATTTGTTGCTATTACGGGAACATATTTGGTTACTGGGTATAAAAACCTGTCTCATGACTAATAAACACACCTCGCTATATTTCTTTGGCAAAATAATGTTCCGGAGTCTTTACATTATTACTTCTGAGTAAAGTTTTTAATAACCTCTAACACGAAACCAAGATTAAAGATAACAAGGCAATGCGGGGAGGCGGATTTGATTTCTTGCCTCGAGCGATTTTCAGGTTTCAACGAGGTACGGTCCCAAACGATTTTCAAACAATCATATGTCAACCCGAATGAGTACATTACCTTTCCGCACGGCCAATATCGGAGAATCATACGCATGAAATAAACCATTTCTATGAAATACCACTATAACATGCACTTGAAATAACAACGGCATATTCATTAGCAACTATTTACCTACCTCTCTTAAGATCGTTGTAAAACGATGGGGCTCTTGATATTGTCGAGCAATTCCATCGTCTGTTTTTAAACTGGTTCTGGCATTCTGCCTTGGTCATTTCCACCGCTTCAGATACGTACTTCATGACAGAAAGACTTCTTCTACAAATTTTGTACTGATGTCCGGCGAATCCATGTATTTTGCCACAGTCAGTTCTGTTCCAGTGGTCCTCTGAACTTATCTTGACGGCACTGTTGGACAAAGAGAGTAGTCATACTTTTGGCGATACTGTGGCGTTTCAAAGCAGATACTTGCTTTGCACTGTCGAATAGTACGACCGATAAAATTACAAAAATCAAGAAGGTCAGCTAAATAGGAATACTCACAGCCAACGGATTGCGTGTAGGTTCTGTGCTAAGGCGCAGAGTATGAATAAGATTGTCGTGGTACGAAACAGAACTTGCATGTCGCTCTAAACGTTCACCGTCCGTTCTTGTAAATAATAACTGATTAATAAACGGCGAGATTACTTCAGGACCTGCCAAGTAACAGAACACATTTATAAATAAGGTAAGCTAATTAAAATCAGAGGCAGCCTTTCATATCAAGTGTTTGCCTGCGCCTTCTCGACTTGGGTTACACTATCTGACCCTTTAGTGCCAAGTGTCAAAATAACTGCTGTGGTATAACACATATATACCTGGTGACTCTTATACGCGATGGTGTTAATCACGCAAAAACCTCAAGCGTGCTCCTTGTGAGACCAAAAGAAAGTCACGAATTTGTAGATTAGCAGGACTGGTTTGTGTAGTTTACTGCAGAAGCAGATGTCAATACTGAGTTTCTGTGTCTCGCGTAACAACAATTTTATAGGAAATCTTGTACGAGTAATTAACTACGCGTTTGTGTTCCTCGCCGCCCCGCCCTTGTAAGTGTTCGAAAGCTCCGGGGCATTTTTGTAAAAGTGCTTTCAACAATCCTGCCTTAAGTTTCCGCTGGGGGTCAGGCAAAAACCGCCGTTAATACTCGACGAGTATGACAATTATGTGGCACGAAAAATATAAACCACCTACTTAGAACCAGTGACGTAAGGGACAAGTAGAAGGACTGATCGTCAGTATCATCTGGGCGGTTATCTGTCAAAATTTTGATATGAATATGAAAGTACCCCTCCTTCCTCAAGCACTGATAGTTTTCAGTTTTTTTTACATTTGTTTTTCCACGAGTGCAAAATCTGTATGCGATATCTTAAAGAAAGGCAACTTTGCTGTTCGGAAAATTGAAGTTCGCCTCACAATATCAGAAGACATATTACAGCTTTTTTAAATAACGCAAAAACTGCGAAACAAATGAGAAAATAGAGGAAGAAAAGAAACAAACCGCATATGGCAACAGAAGGCCTCAATGCAACGAGAAGGAAGCAGGGATTTACTTAAACAAGTACTAGTTGTTAATTGGAAACAAATAAAACCACTTAACAACTGCATTAGTAAACCTGCAGGTGACATACCGTATTTATTCGATTAACAGCCTTGGGCGCTTATTAAATTTGCGGACCTTGAGAGTGGGCGCTTATTCGAGGTGGGTGCTGATTCGAGGCTGGGCGCTCATTAAATTTTTAACATTTTCAGCAAGTGTAGTATGTTTATTTTGCAACAAAACAATAAATAGTAAAAACAAAACGCGAAGATGTAACAAAGCAAGGTGTCTGTAAGGAGATACTCTGAAGAAAACTCCGTCTTCGGGGAAGTCTCTTATTAGTACGTATTCAATTTTTGGGGGGGGGGGTGTGAGGGGAAAGGGGGTGGGCGCTTATTAACTTTTTCTGCCTTTAGGATGGGTGCTTATTCGAGGTGGGCGCTAATTCGAGGTTGGGCGCTTATTCGAATAAATACGGTAACCACAAAACTCCACTGAGATGGATCGGGTTAGATATTGCGCGGCTAACACACAAGACTGATGTCCAAGAGGCATCACCCAAGAGAATCCGCGCAAAATGCAGAAATCATGGAGAGCCGATGGAAGATTTGTAAATCCTCGCGTAAATCCTTAGCCGATAGCAGATTTGTACACAGCGATGCCTTTCCATTTTTTAGCCCTGAGGTGATTGGGTGATCCTTTGATGAAAGCAGCGTTAAGATTAGCTTTTTAATCGGAGGCGAAAATACATTGAAAGATCATGCAGGAAATCCATGCACGGAAGTTTAGAAACCGGCTTAATTGCCAGCAGTTTGTTGGATTTTTAGTCAACCACAGACGAATTCCAAAAAACTTTGGAAGCATAAATCCCATTTTATAGTGTTGTTAGACTTCTATGTGATTTTCTTCACTGAAAAGAACCAAAAGTGGTTACAAAAAGCTTTCGTTGACAGCTAATAACAGAATGTCTTGGAACGAGTCGTCGCAGAAAAACCAGCGAGGCGAAATACCGCCCAAAGCCGTACGAACTGCTGAACACTTAACTGCACCATTGTAAGGTTTTGCTTCGTCCATGATTTTCTCCACTGGAAAGAGTTATAGTTATACTTTGGTTCAAGAAAGTAGACTGGTTGCTGTCTCATATTTAGTCTACTTAGTTTATTTACGGCTAGTAACAAAAAATCTCTTGATCTCTCCCGTAAATCCTTAATACGTTGCACACTTATTCTCGAGATGTCACGACATTTGATCATTGAACCAGAAATAGCATTCAACATCTGATTGTCACCGAAGTCAATAAGCAAATATTATTGTTGTTTTTTCCTCTTAATAATGTTTTGATTTCTGGCAATGGGGTATTTTTAATGACCTGATTAACGTCGCCTCGAGTCTAAGGTTTTGTTTGCCTGTGTTCTTAACGAATCTTCATTCCAGTTTTATTACAAGTGCGGGTATCTAGATAACTTGAAGTGAGTGCACTTATGTACCTGAATGTACATGATGATAATTTGATCTGACAGTCTTTAAACAGTTCATAGTGTTAAAGCTGTTCTTAAAAACAACCATGCTGCGTTTGAAAAGCCACCTTTCAAGTACAGTCTACTGTGTAAACTACTATTTAACAACTAAATATAGCATTTAAAACAAAGCGAGGTCAAGCCCCGCTTAACAGATAGATCAAATATAAAGACAGTCTGAAGTAACTTTTCAACATGAAGATGTTTTAAAGAACAAACTAACTCTTCAGCACTCACAGCAACTTAAAGTGCAATTTATAAGTGGAAAAAATTAAACTAGCAAACCTATCTTCATCTCTATAAACTACACGCGAAATAACTTCTTTTTCGAGCAACAGAAGCAAAACCTGGGTAGCGTAACGTAATTTTATCTTACGTATAAGCCTGTTCATTCAAACGACTCAGTTTCTTGGTGTACACTTTCCAGTACATATTCAATCCTAGAACTGTTAAGTTTCCAGAGCATATGACCTAATTACTGCACGACACCACTGAAGGGCTGCCTTATACAAGTAAAAACAAAATAGAAAAGGCTTCTAAATATGAGTGACCTAACCTTTTGAAGATTATAATCAAGTTAAAGTTAATACAGGTTTATATACTGATTTGGAGCCCCGATAGTCACCTTCGGTAGGTTTGAAGTCTTCAATTTGGCACCTACTTGTCTAATAACGTGAGTATATTTTCGGAATTTTTTGTGCTGTTTTCTCTCCTTCCTGAAGGAGTCACGCTTCTGGTTAATCTTGAGGTTTTCTTGAGGCGAAAATAATTGCGCGGGGAAGGAGATCCTTAAGCCTTTCTTGATAGATCGTAATTTCTTGCTCAGTGTGAACGTTACAGAGGGCAGGAAGTTAAGACTGATAAAAAGACGGTGGCTGATCCGATATTAGGACAAAAAGGCACCAACACCAAACAGAAGAATTCGCAATATGACAGCAAATTAAAATACACTGGACTGACTTATGAAGCGATCTGGTTTCTTTAACGATCGATGTTACATCAAAATTGTTGCGGTTTAAAGCCAAACTGAGACATGGCCAGCATCGGAAATCATTCCCCAATTTATATGAGTTCTGAGTAAACAAATACTTCCATGCGGTTCTACAAAAGGAACTGTGCAAGAAGCGAAATCCAATTTATGTAACTTCGTTATAAAAGCAACACAAATCAGATTCAAAATACTCCAGACTCCATGAAATGCTGTACTAAAATCACAGTTTTAAGTACCAAGACAGGAATCACCGGCCTTGGCTAGTTAAGCTATTTCTTTATCTCTTTTCGATTGGAAACAATCAGAGCATTCCACCCACCCACATATTTTTTAATTCTTTTTTATGAGTTTCCACGTTTTTAGACTGGTTCCGAAGCTAAAGCCGATATCCTCTCAGCCCACGAATTGCAAATCAATTACTTTCAAGTCGGTTCCTGTTTTTCCTGTTCTTCAGACTAGACGCGCCTCCTAACTTCAAAAGTTTATTAGCATTTATCAATTTTACCGTAGTCTGAAACCTGCTTCGAAAGAATAGTACAGGAGTTTCAATGTTAGCTTTTCTCGGTTATAAGGATAGATATTTCATTTTCTTAAAAACAAGTTATCGTGTTTTAATGGCCACAATGGAGTGTGGCTGTGAGCGACAGAACAGGCGAACAGCTTTTAGTCAAACTGAAAATATGGATTATTCTTAGATCCAATGATTAATTGAACGATCAGTAATGAAGAAACTCTTTTTTAATCAGGAGTCAGGACTTATTAATTACTGAAGAAAATGTTTACATGATTGTTGATTTTCATTATTCTGAAACAATCTTTGTACCTTGATATCACAGCTATCCGCTTAATCGTGAATTCTGATCATGTATTCAGAAACGGTGTCTTATGTGTGTCCGATAAATACAACTATAATACTAAGTCGGACCTTTTTCATATATACAATTTACATAGAAATGAGATAACTGATTAGCAATAACATTTGCGATGTGTTAAAAGAAACTTAATAACGCCCCCTCTCTTCGTTAGCGTCTCCTCACACGCGAGAACTGCGGACGGGGTTCAACAAGAGGACCCGCCCCTAGCAGTAATGGGAGGGGGGCTCATTAATTTCTTTTATATACTTTGAAAGTTCAATAGTAGATCAAATTCAACAATTAAATGGCTTTATACAATAATCAGAGTTATTTGTTACACCCATCAATTCCATCCGGCAACTGAACTTTCTAGGTCAGTGGATTACGACTTGGTAATAATGTTCATAAAAAATAAAAAGTTGAGACGGGTTTGCCGACGCCGGAAGCAGATCAATACACTCCACGCGCGCGCCTACCCGGCGATCTACCTGTAGCCTTTTCTTTCCTGGCTGTATCTATCCATTTCTAACATTCTCAATATATTATTGTGAAAAGATTTCTTGACTCAAACCTAATTGTTATAAACAATAATTGCGCTGAAACGCGATGAGCAACATTCATTTTACTCATTTTCTTATACTAAAAGTTCCTCAAAATGGGTAAATTCTACTTGAGGAATTAAGAATTTTTTTTTCTCAGGTATTTGCCAACGTCAGGTTTTAGCTTTCCTCTAACTTTCCCCACCTCGCGTCCTTACGGACATACGATGGTCGCCTCCCCCGCTTACCGTAGGAAGGAAAGGCGACCAAGATCGAATCACGAGAGATGGTCTTATTGCCACGCCCCTGCTGCGTCAGTGCTACAGTTTCAAAATATTCCCAAAGTAAACAGTCAGAAATTTGCAGCAAGGAAATTTTTTTTCCACTAAAAATAGCGTGGTACTGAGCCACAAGCAATGTAACAGTCTAACACATATAACGATAATCCTGTCCGGAAGTAATCTCTATAGAAAAGGCGTTAAAACCTATTGTGTCTGTCGTGTCTGGGTGTGTAAAAATAAAGATATTAAAAGCATATTCTCTCAATAAACAAAAATTTTGAGGGACAGACTCAAGAACGACCTAAGAAGAACGATTAAGCAAGACCGCCTGAACAACTGCCTACTGATGCATTGTTAAAAATTGATTACAGACACACTGAGAACCTGTGAAGATAATTTTGCTTGTGCCAACGAACAACGCAAAGGATATTTCGGAAAATTTGAGTAGGTATGGCTGAGTGGAAGGTAAGCCCTCCCCCTTCCCCACGTTTCAAAACGCTCCGCCGCTTCTGCTGGTTTAGTTTTACACTTAAGAATTTTAATTCTTCCTTTTAATTCTTCCTTAAAAGGAACGAACTAGGCGACACGCTATACAGGCAATCTCATTAGGCTCCTTGTCGAGACATGTAACCCTCCTTAGCTTGCATTCTATGCCTTCTGTCTTCCGTCTCTAATACCATTCAAATTCTCTTTAAGCTATTTGAATTTTTTGTTGTTGAATAAATCACTCTGTGAAATACAACAAAACCCGCATAAAGTAACTTTCATCGCATCGATTTTAACCCGGCGTAGTGTGTGTACAATGTAAGTGCTTTCGAGCCAGAGTAGATCAAGGTCTTGCCTGATAACAATATACTTCTGGCGAAAATACTGCATGGTTCATTGAGAATTCTAAAGCGTAACATTTTAACCTTAATCAAGCAATCAAAATAATTGTATCTTAACAACCAGTGTAATAGTCTATAGTTAAAGGAACCAAAGATTTAATTCAAGTTTAATTGCGCGTTGTCAGTACGTAATAGCTAGATCATGTCCGCGTTTGCCAAGTTATATAGAAGCTGTTTGGGAGAATAATATCTTTTATTAGACAGGATGAGATTTTGCTACGCCCTAGGAGAATCTGAAAACAAAATGAAATGGAGGGAAAGGGTTGCTGGGTCCGTGGCGCCCCAACGGTCACCATGACTACGAGATAGGTGCAAGGTGTAAGGTGCATGGGAGATCTTGTAGCCATAGCAAGCAAACTTTGCTCGTCTTTGACGTATATGATTATCCTTTTAATGACTTTGAGTTTTCTCTCTGTTGGAAAACCACTGCCATAAAATACCTGCATTTTATGTAGTCATGTCTTGTTTCCATGTGTACAGTACAGTAGCCTGCGTAGCAAGCGCCGGTTTACTTTTTAGGGCGAAGGAAGAAATCTCGAGGACGCGCGAGGGGAGAAAAGAACAGGAGGCCCTTCCCTTTCCTTTTTTCCCCTTTGCGTGTTCCCCTCGCGCGGCCTAAAAAAAAAAAAAAAACTGGCGCCTGCTACGCAAGCTAACAGTACAGTGACTTGAGCTCATTCTGGGTATTGAAAACGATGCTGTTATTGAATAACAACGAAGAGAAAATGAAAGGGACCTTTACTAATGTTTAAGTTGAACGCTCTTAAAGAACATTCCGTTAAGTTGGCCCCATTCTAGTTTTAAAAAGTAGTTTTTAAACTATATTTCTTCAGAAGAAACTCTTACTTCTAGTAACTAGAGATTTTATTTTTTGATAGTAGACTGCTTAAGAACGAAGACATTGTAAGATGTTCAGTAAAATCATTGTATGTCACACTTGGGCAGTTTTTAGTGTCGGCGTTTTACTGAATGTTCAGTGGAAAAAATAAGCTTTTTGTCAGTGTGATAAAACAAGGATTAACAAGACAGGTGCTGGAACACGTGCGATATTACGTTCTAACTCTATGACCTCTATGGTATATAGACTTTAAAGTGTGTGCCATATTAAATATGAATTGTTATTTTATAAAAAAAAGGGTGATTTTACTTAACGTAGTAGAATATTACGCGCTATTATGTACTAGCTCCATCCCCCTTTGGTTTACTTGTAGCCATTCGGTTGCATTAGTTGTTATTTTCTGTTTCAAGGGCCAAGTAAAATCACTCTAATCCATATTAGATGATGTTGCACAAGAACGCATTGCTGTAAGCTTACGTCATACCTGCACAACAGTAATATCTTAACACTGAGCAAACCACGCAGAGGACCAAACTTTTGAATGCCGAGCCACGGTTTCACTTGTGCTAAGAACGCTAGACTGTTTATAAATTACTCTGTTTTTTTTTGCTCACAGCCGAGATTGAAAAAACAGGGAAAAAGATGAGTTTAAAATAAATAAAATTGCGCCAAAAAAGCAGTATTTTAATGGTATAACTGAATCTTTTCGCGGGATATTCAGAGTCACTGGAATTAGTGTAGTAACTATTATAACAATAGACTTCTATCAAGAAAAAAAAAACAGTTTTCGAACCTTGAGAAAAGTGTTCTGTCATGTGCAAGAGAACAAAAAAAAAAATTCGCCCGGTGAGACCGCATTGAGTATCTCCAAGATGTTTTTGTGAAGCAGCTATATTTCGCGTGGAAACGCTTACTACCGGCGAGTTAGTACTTGGCAGTGCGTGTTAACTAGGACAGAAACTGTAAACCAAGGATGCGCAGATAAGATAAAGAGGTTCAGCTTTTTATTTGCTGGTGACTTTCTCTTGGAGCAAAGTGCATCTCATTCATGATGCCAAAAAAACTGAATAGGTTGAAATGACAAATTTCTTCCAATTCGTTTGTCATCCTCTAGCTCTGGATGAGTTGTTTCCGGAGCCCTAGTAAGTGTATAGTGTAATGTACGTCTATACACAGGATATGCATGTAAATTACCTGGTAAGATGAACGCTTTTTCAGGCTGGAAAGTGCCAATTACATTGTATATGAAGTTTGTTTTCTTAAATGATATATTAAGTATATCTGTTACTGTTTTAAACATTAACTCAACGTTCTAAACAGCACCGAAAACAGACGTAACCTTGTCCTTAAATTGTTTCACAATTTACTGATTAAGGCAGAAAATATGGCTTGGAGACGAAAGCGATGTTAAGGTGATCTTCTCTCAAGGCGCGGAATTTTTCGTACAGTGACAACGCCCAAAAAACAATTAACTCAAAATGAGAAATCGATTTGGTAGAGCTGATCAACTAAAGAGTGACAATTAACTCTCAACAAAGAACTTTATCGTTAATTATGTTAAAAGCAACTGTGAAAAATTTAATTTTGTTACTTATTATGATAAACAGTGGATTGACAGTATAATTGAGCAGAAAAACGTTCACAAATTTGCTGTGGCAGCATACTTATTTTATGTGGCTGTTGTTTCTTCACAGTCTCCGTCGAGAAAGGATCAGATATCATGGTCAGAGAACAAGATTCGTTTGTTGAAGTGCACAGCTTTGAAGAATCCAGTTATACAAACTACAAGATCTAGACTTACTTGAAACCTGCAAAAATCTTGACAAACGACGGCTTCAGTTGAAACAATGTGTTCACTATTTTCTGGTTCGTAGTAATTACTACTCTGAACAATCTAAATGTCCTGCAGATTGAGAATGAACCGCTACACCTCTTTTAGCAGGCATTTTCTTTTGTTATTTAAAGTAATAAGCGGTGTTTTATGCTCCCTTGGCTATTCCCGCTGAGTAGTGTTGGTTCACGACCATAGGAAAACAATGGCTGACTTAGGTTTCCATATGAAGCTAAAATGGTTACCCATAGGACAAAAATGTGCTTCCCATAGGAAAAAATTTGAATTAGGAAACAACTGAAAAAGTTTGGGCCACATTTAACTTGTTAGCATGTTCGGCTACTTCAAAAACCCAACTTGCGTCTTCACAATGAATTTGTTGATAAATGACCGTAGGATCAAGACATATGCAGCTTGACTTCTGTCTTCCTGCTTTTAAATTCTGCTCGATTCAACGGCGTTCGCGCTCTTAATAACGTTCCTTAAGAGATTACTCACCGCATGTGGAGTTGTCTCAGCAACTAAAATTACAGTGTTGTGAACTTCTAACATGTTTGTTACTAGTTTGTAGACTTTGTTTGCAATGCTAATTCAACTGTTGTTTTTAACAGTGGCTCACCTGTTGAGACACCGCCGTTTACGTGAAACAACGACTTTTTGTATTGCTCGTTCATTGCGGTATTTTCCTTGAACTTCATTTTAACCACCATGATTTTTGTAATAATTCTATCTACAAAGTTTGCCATTTAAATCTGTTTCTTTCCTTTTATACATCTCCGCTCATTAAGGTTGCAACAGGTTACTTTTGTTTCTCGCTTTGCTCAAAAAAGGGTAGTTCGGCGGCCAGAAACATTCAAAAAGACATGTACTTCTCAGACAACAGATTTAAGTTGCCCTTTTTTACCATTTAGCCAGTGTTAAACTATAGACACCGAAATTTTAAGACAAATTCTATGGAAACTCTCGAATGTTAAATAATTTTAAACCATTGACTTAATTCAGTAGTAGGTGTTGCAATGTTCTGCACGGTTGATAAGCAGTCAAGTGTATGGAGCACTTTCAGGAATAAGGTCGCGATCAAAGTCATGAACGGGAAAAGCATAGAAGAATGACAGTTTTTTCCTCTAAGATACAGAGATGTGGGATCGTGATCGTAGTCAATTGTGAATTATGAGAATGTGCGCAGGGGAGAAAGATGCTTGAAGTTAGTGAACATGATAAATCCTAACATAAATTACAATAATTATAATCCTTCATTTTACATTTTGTCTATGAAACCAAAAAGCTTTATAGATTCGTTGATTCGTAAAACTGAGCGCAATTTTCTCTTTGTTTTTAACTAACACTAACACTAAGTTTGAATGTTAGCTTTATACATGAAGCAATTGTTAGAGGAAATTGGAAAAACAAATGTCTGTTTCAAAGAAACTCCATCGTTCAACAAACTACAATTTTTTAAACCTCTATCCTATGCTTGATAAATTTAGTGTGACTATGTTTCTTGCTTACGTTGCAAAACAGTTACCACAGGCTTTGTGGCGGTTGCTGGATGCCGAAGGACCGTGCATAATTAGCTTTCACTCTATTTCATGCTGCAGACCACAGTCATGAAGGTAAAATGCTTTTTGACCTCAACTATGGATCCGCTCTACACCAGTCGTCAGAGACGAGTTCGAGTTCCGTGAATTATAGGCGGCTTGATTGACCAAATCAAATAAATGAATTTAGTATTTTCAACAAATGAAGCTGCCAGAGAAATGTGGCCATATTAACAAGACTTCTGTTAAATATCTCAATAGCACAATATATTTTTGGTTATCGTAGAAGGGAAAAAGTAGGTACTAACATGATCATTAATCTACCTGTAATAAGAAATCTTTAAAACTTTCAATAGAAAAACTTCGTTACTGAAATGTGAAACTTTTCTATGCTCAAAGATTCTTATGAAGAAAATGAATTATTTCAATTCTAAAAGTTAAGGACAACTTCTTAGGCACTCCACAATAACTCCTTTTTAGGGGTTGTTTTAGTTGACTCCAAGTTTAAATATTCTTTTTACCAATGCAGTTGTTTTAACTCTTGCTTTGGTATCCCAATCACACAGGAAAATGGCAAAATGGCCCCAAAACTAACCCCAGAATGGGGATTTATTTCACTGTACATAAGGAATTATTATAAAACTTTGAAAAACACTTTGCAGAAAAGGTATTTTCATTGATTGTTAAACATAGAGTGTTCTAGAAAATCTGAAGGTGAACAATAGAACTCCATTAGTTACCATCTTGATAACATCAGTATAGTTTGGTGACATTATGCGGGATCGCCTATTTTGTGTTACAATTTGTAGCTCTTTATCAGTTTAAAATGTTTCCGTCAGACACTTAGTCACACCTGGATGGGCAAGTATGACTCTTTGATTAAGAGGTGATGTGCAATGTAACTTTGCGACAAGCTTTGGTTCATCTAATACACAGAAACAATTTAAATCAAATCAATTTTAACGTCAACTTTAAAGAGCTTGTTAACGGTAGAAATATAACATCAAACAGATTACCATAAAAAAAATTGAATATACGTTTTTGTTGTTTTATCATTAATAGATTCTACCTGAAAGAAATTTTTTTTTTCTTTTTCTTTTCCTTTCCTAAACCTGTTTAGTAACCTATGAGCTTAATGAAAAATTATTAAGTATTTTTGCAACTTAGTGCTAAATTTAGTTATCGGATACGCAAAAGTCACGACCATGTGATATTTCCGGACTGGATGTCCATTCTTTTGAATTTACATGGCTCAGGGTCAGATCAGGCCACTGATAAAAATTAGAGATATTTTTATGTTACGATTCCCTGGCCTTGTTTGAGAAAAGCAAAATTCTCCTCCTCTCTCAATATGGGTGACATTTACTACCAAAAATGTAAAAGAAAAGTTCTGCCTTTTCTTTTGATACACTTGCACTCAAAAAGCTAGAAAATTTATTCCAGTAAAAGATTAAATCTTTACCAAAATACAGGAAAACAATGAAACAATCTGGGAAGACATAATGGCCATTTACAACAGTTCTTAATGTAAACAAACTATTCAATGGAGTGTAAATCCTCTAATACAACCAACACAGGCTAATCAAACATAGCCTGAATGAGCAATGCTTATTTACTTTACATCAAAAGATTTGCTATGTTATAAAACGTTATCGTCCCTTCCTCGCGGCCTCCATCCAAAACTTGTTAATCTTATAAACTAATTATCATGATTCGTTTAAATAAAAGAATGAATAGCCTCGAGCGGAAATGTTATATTCTGCTGTTGCTATCTCTGTATTAATGACGAACTACTTTACATGCGCGCTTAAAATAGTTTCGACTATTTTCGTCGCTGTGGAATGTCCATGGCTAGATTTAAAAAAAACAAAGGCTTTAACATGAAACGGAACTATCTAGCGATTTCTGATACATTCCGTTCTGCGTTTTAAAGAGTAGCCTTTCTCTTTCAAGGACAATCTTATTTTACGTGATTGCATGACTACTGAGATTACTACATCGGCACACGTGATCATCTCATCTTAACCGAACTCGAAACTGAAGTCTCTTTAAAACTTTTTTTATTGCCCCTTACAAAAATATAGAGTTTGTCTCTTTTTAGCGAAATTTCATTATTTTTAAACTACGTCCTTTTAATTTTAATTAATAAAACGACGTAGATGTTACCTTCGATTTGACAGGAGCCAGTGGGAATCTGTCCTAACTCTAAATGACTTTGCTAATGTCAGTCTTTACACTCTCTTGTAACCTCTTCACAATTTTCTTGAGCTTACAGTTCAATTTAGATAATTTATCTCCTGCAAACATATACCATTACTGTTTAGCTTGTGCTCCGTTGGTTGCTAAAAATTGAAAACTTCAGCGATACTCACCGCGAGCTGTCCGGGCTGAACACACGATGATCACAGAGTAAATCAGGCGTGTTACCGCTTAAGGCATGAATAAACACCTTTCTCTTTAATCAGACTTTTGTAACTCAATTGATAAAAGAGGATTATAGAGGGGCAAGCTGAATGGGAAGACCGCTGAAGGAAAGTTAACCTTATCTATAAAAAGACTACAAAAAATAAGTTAGTTATAACCAAGCCTACAGTGGTTCAGGCCACACCCAACGGTCTCCTTGAGAAGCAAAGTTTTTTCCTCTTTACCACGAATAAAATGATTTAAAAAAATTATCTTGTATAATGGTCAAGCTGGTTGTGGAAAACTTAATTGTCGATCATCTAAGCTTTCCTACCGAAAGGAAGATTTGAAATGGGCGTTCTCTCAACTTCGTAACGCTGCAGGTTTGTCTTTAGGAAGAGTACCAGAGGTTTCCATTTAGCTCCTTGGAAGGTTTATCTAGCAAACCAAAATATCAGGCCCAGAAATAATTATGTGTATCAAACAAAAAGTTTTTGTTTGATACACATAATTATTTCTAAGGGTAGGTGTTTATGTATTACCAAATTATATAGACATTATTACAAATATAGCTAAGACAAAATCCTAAGAAAGACAGAGAAAAGAGAAAGAGATTGGAGAGAGTTGGGCCAAAACTGCCAGGCACTCTTGACTATCTGCCTGATTGAATTCACACAAAATAAAATACTGAAAAAAATATCATTTTACAACAATCTTGTCAATCTTGGATAGCATGTTAAACAATTTGCAAAGAAAGTGAATGTGATATTGGTTATTTCCAAGGCAAAAACTCCATCGGTATTTTATTTTTGCCAAAAGCCTCTGACTTCAGTGATTTGAATGAAATGCTGAAACTAATAACCCCCACACTGAACATTTTAGGTCTGTCTAATGCCGTCTGTAGAAAGACTAGTATCCTCGGAGAAGACTTTTTCAAATAGTGTTTAAAGAGAAGTGATTGTCCTCTGGACCTTTTTAACGGCGCCCCAAAAAATCTGTTATTTAGTTCTCTAGATCTGTTGCAACATTGAAGTATACAGGAAAACCAAATATTACGAAACAAGCGCAAAACACTGTAAAAGCGCGCCAGTAGCAAACATAACTTTGCCATTACAGCTACTCATACATTTAAAAGACGTTGACATGAAAACTGAGGGTAACTAAAACGAGTCACTGAGGATGCTTTAAATAAGAGCAAAAAAATTGGCTCTGTTCTTAACTTCTTAACATCAGTTTCACTGCACAGGCGATTAACGCCTTACTGGTTGATGCGCGACCACGTAAAACATGGCCATGAGCACTTTCACCGTAAACCCAACGACGTTGCTTTGAATCGAGAGAAAATTCATGGACCACGTGATCTCTTCTTCAACGCTTTAAACGGTGCGCTTTTTTGTGTACGTTATTTGCGTCACATTCTACTCACAGTTTCTAGCCTAGACGTTTAGATGTGATTCAAGCTGTTTAGCGCCACAGAGAATTATATTCTTGCTTTTTAAACATCGTGCATCTAGAACCGAGTCATGCAAGGCTTGCAAAAGCAGTTAACAGGAAGTGGAAAGAAATTTATTATTTCAACGTTGATGTATAGGAGTTTGAAAAAATAAAAAGAAATTCTCTTTATCTCGTCGACCTTTATCAATGTCCCTATCATGGTGAAAACGGCACATCAGAAAACGAAAAACAACGCTCGCGGTTCCGCGACTATCAGCTAAAAACTCAGCGCTTGTGGGCGTAGGCTAGAACCAGCAGGGTGA